AGATGACGAAGCCCTCGAGGAGGTAGAGGTCGTGATCGAGAGCTTGAAATTCGTTCCGAAAAAATCGACGCACGATATCAATTTCACTTCTATCGGATACCCCGATCTGGAAGTCCTGAAACCGATGCTCGTTGAAGCCACGAGCTCGAAAAAAGACGTTGTCGAGGAGAGCACCGTCATTTTCATTGACAACGATCGCAGACCGAAGAAGAGAACTATCAAAACGACCGCTACGAAATCAGGAGTCCTCGTACGAGACATCGAGACGTGCGAAGTTTCTCCGGAAACGTTCGACTTGAGTCTGATTCGACCAGGAGAAGTCATCGACGAAACAACTCTCGCTAAGGTGGGGAAGACAAAGAAAATGAAGAAGAGGACCTCTGAGGTGAAACCTTCGGGTGAATCAGTCGAGAGAACTGTGACAACGACCACTGTGACCCCACGAGAGTTTGCCGTGACCGACATTGTTGAGGATGTTGTTGAAGAAATGGTCGAGGAGATCGTGCTGCCAGATGGGAGACTCTCCACCATCACCACAACGACCACGAAACGGCCCGATGGCACCGTGGAAACAGAAATTGAGGAAGTGGTTCCGTCGGGACCAGAACCGCTCGAGGCTATCGAGCAGGATGAAATCAAGACGCGTTCCAAGAAAACGAGGAAGCCGAAGAAGGACAAACCTCGAGCTGAGGAGGGGTCAGTAGACGGCGTCACCACCTCCGATGAGGGTCCGAAGAGTCAATTCACTACAGAGGACACGATCGAGCTCGAAACCGGCAAGATCACAAGAAAGACAACCACGGAAACTGTTCCCGACGAGAGAGGAGGAGAAAGTCCCGTTACCGTTGAGATAACCGTCTACAAACCGAAACCAGAACACAGGTTTGTGGACGTCTCCTCTATTGGTTTGCCTGAGCTTGAGGTGAGATCCAGAACACCCTTCGAAGTTGTGGACAGAGAAATCACAGAACAGGTAGTGGAAGTCAAGCACTCCACGAAAGATGGGAAGCCGGTCAAACGGAAGACAACGACGAAGAAAACGAAAAAACCTGATGGCACCATCGAAATGATTGTGACAAAAGAAATCGAGGAAACCTTGCCTGGGGAACAAGAGCCATCTCCGACTGAGCCTGTTATCTCGCATGGAGGGGCACAAGTGGAGGAAATGGTCCCTGGAATTCCAGAGTTCATGACCAAGCGGCTGAAACCTCGCGGGAAGCCTAGCAGGATCTACGACGATCGAGCACCTGATGATCAGTTCGTTGTACTCAGTGAGACAGACATCGAGCTGGGCGTGGCAGAGGTGAAGAAACGAAAACTGTTGCGGAAGAAACCATCGAATATTGCAAATCGAGGGGAAGAACTTTCTCTAATCGAGATCACGACTCTCCGCAAACACGACGATCATCAGGACATCAGCCTGGAATCCATCGGTTATCCGGAGCTGGATGTCTTGCAAACAATTCCGATCAACGTCGATTCGCTCGGAAGACCGTCAGAAGAAATCACGGAGCAGCGAGTCATCTCGCAGATCGATGCTGAATGCAGAAAGCGACGAAAAACCGTCAGAAAGTCCAAGAAACCTTATGGCACCGTCTGTAAGACGGAGGAAACCACTCTCTTCACTCCCGATGAGTGGGAAACCCTTCCGCACACTTTTGATCTCCAACCAGTGGAACAAAGTGAAGATGTCGAGTTTGATTCCGGCAAGATAACACAACGGAGGAAAACTAAGAAAGTCCTCAAACCGGATCACGTTCACTCCACCGAGATCACAGAAAAATGGGAATTCAAGCCCGAACCGAAATTCTTCGCCGTTGTATCGCCCGCTGACGTTGGACATCCGGAGATGGCGGTGACTGAGACAATGCCAGTGTCCAAGGACCTCTACGGGCGCCCGATCCGTGATATTGTAGAAGAGCATACGACCACGGAAATCGAGCCTCTGAGGAAGACAACGACCGTCGAAACGAAAAAGAAGCGCAAAGACGGTGTATACGAGAGAACTCTCGATGTTCTTACCGAGGAGACTGACCAACCACAGCCTCTAGAATTCGACCAAATAGTTGAGGATAACATCGTCCTCGATGTCGGTAGGATCGAGAAGAAGAAAGTCAAAAAGAAGAAACCTCGAGATGACGAAGCCCTCGAGGAGGTAGAGGTCGTGATCGAGAGCTTGAAATTCGTTCCGAAAAAATCGACGCACGATATTAATTTCACTTCTATCGGATACCCCGATCTGGAAGTCCTGAAACCGATGCTCGTTGAAGCCACGAGCTCGAAGAAAGACGTTGTCGAGGAGAGCACCGTCATTTTCATTGACAACGATCGCAGACCGAAGAAAAGAACTGTCAAAACGACCGCTACGAAATCAGGGGTCCTCCTTCAAGACATCGAGACGTGCGATGTTTCACCGGAATCGTTCGACTTGAGTCTGATTCGACCAGGAGAAGTCATCGACGAAACAAAACTCGCCAAGGCCGGAAAGACCAAGAAAACAAAGAAGAGGACCTCTGAGGTGAAACCTTCGGGTGAATCAGTCGAGAGAACTGTGACGACGACCACTGTGACCCCACGAGAGTTTGCCGTCACCGAAATTGTTGAGGATGTTGTTGAAGAAATAGTCGAGGAGATCGTGCTGCCAGATGGGAGACTCTCCACTATCACCACCACGACCACAAAACGGCCCGATGGCACCGTGGAGACAGAAATTGAGGAAGTGGTCCCGTCGGGACCAGAACCGCTCGAGGCTATCGAGCAGGATGAAATCAAGACGCGTCCCAAGAAAACGAGGAAGCCGAAGAAGGACAAACCTCGAGCTGAGAAGGGGCCAGTAGACGGCGTCACCCCCTCCGATGAGGGTTCGAAGAGTCAATTCACTGCAGAGGACACGATCGAGCTCGAAACCGGCAAGATCACAAAAGAGACAACCACGGAAACTGTTCCCGACGAGAGAGGAGGAGAACGTCCCGTTACCGTTGAGATGACCGTCTACAAACCGAAACCAGAACACAGGTTTGTGGACGTCTCGTCTATCGGTTACCCTGAGCTTGAGGTGAGATCCAGAACACCATTCGAAGTTGTGGACAGAGAAATCACAGAACAGGTAGTGGAAGTCAAGCACTCCACGAAAGATGGGAAGCCGGTCAAACGGAAGACAACGACAAAGAAAACGAAAAACCTGATGGCACCATCGAAATGATTGTGACAAAAGAAATCGAGGAAACCTCGCCTAGGGAACAAGAGCCATCTCCGACTGAACATGTTATCTCGCATGAAGGGGCACAAGCGGAGGAAATGGTTCCTGGAATCCCAGAGTTCATGAGCAAAAAATTGAAACCCCGCCGTGAGCCTGCTCGAGCGTACGAGGATAGGACACCGGATGATCGATTTGTTCTCCTCAGCGAGAGCAACATCACGCTCGATGTAGCGGATGTGACAGAACGAAAAATGCTCCGCAAGAAACTTCCCAGGAAGCCTCACCAACCGGAAGAAGTATTCCTCGTCGAAATCATCACCGTGCGCAAGCACGAGGATCATCGAGAAATATCTCTCGACTCGATCGGCTACCCTGAGCTGGAAGTGATGCAGACGGTTCCAGTCAGCGTCGATTCCTCAGGGACCCCGATTGAGGAGATCGTTGAGGAGCGCTTCTCGTCGCAGATCAATGCCGAGGGCAAAGAGCGCCGAAGGACCATCAGAAAGTGCCAGAAGCCGGATGGTACCGTTTCAAAGACGGAGGAAATAACCCTACACAATGCCGACGAATGGGAGATCCTGCCTCAGCTTTCAAGTGTGCAACCGGTGGAAGAACTAGAGGAAATCAAATTCGACTCCGGCAAAATTTCGAAGCGGAAGAGGACCAAGAAATCCAAAGGCCCCAAGGATTCGGTTTCTACTGAAGTCACAGAAGCTTGGGAATTCAAACCAGAAGCGAAGTTTTTCAGCATCGTCACACCCCAACGGATCGGATTCCCTGAAATGGAAGTCGTTGAAACGATGCCAGTCGTCAAGGACATTCATGGACGTCCAGCTCATGATATTGTCGAGGAACACACGAGGGTTGAAATTGAGCCCGGGAAGAAGAAAACGACCGTTGAGAAGAAAAAGAAGCGCAAGGACGGGGTCCACGAGAGAACTCTGCATTCAGTCACCGACGAAACTACGGAACCGGAGCCGCTGACATTCGACCATATGGTCGAACAGAGCGTCGTTTTTGAAATCGGGAAAATCGAGACGAAGAGAGAAACTAGGAAAGCTCCTAAACCCGAAGAGCCTTTGGAGAAGATCAATTTCGTCGTTGAGAGTCTCAAGTTTACACCGAGAAGAACTCCGCGAGAGATCAACTTCACATCGTTGGGCTATCCTGAATTGGAAGTTCTGAAGCCGATGCTTGTGGAAGCGATGAGCTCGAGGCAAGACCTTGCCGTGGAGAGCACCGTGATTTTCATGGACAATGATCGTAAGCCGAGGAAGAAGACAGTCAAAACTACGGCAACAAAGTCCGGTGTACTCCTTCAGGACATCGAAAGCTGGGAAGTTTCGCCAGAAAGTTACGATCTGACCCTGATTCAGCCGGGTGAAGTCATTGATGAAACGACTCTTGCTAAGACAGGGAAGACCGAAAAAATCATGAGGAAGGCCTCCGAGCCGACACCCTCTGGTGAATCAATCGAGAGAACTGTGACAACGACCACTGTGACCCCCCGAGACTTTACTCTGACCGACATTGTTGAGGATGTTGTCGAAGAAACGGTCGAGGAGATCGTGCTCCCAGATGAGAGGCTCTCTAGGATCACCACGACAACCACGAAACGACCCGATGGCTCTGTAGAAACGAAAATCGAGGAAGTGACGAGCCCTTCTTCGGAATCTCTCGCGAACATCAAGCCGGCTATAGTTCGGAAAAGCCCAGAGAAATCGAGAAAGTCAAAGAAGGGCACAACTCAACTTGACGTGGCGCCGGAAAAAAGCTTCCCAACCTCAGACGTGAGCCAAGAGGTTCCGTTCACGACCGAGGACACGATTGAGCTCGAAACCGGCAAGATCACGAGGAAGACAATCACTGGAGCTTTTGCCGGCGAGGATGAAGTGGAAAGTCCGGTGACTGTGGAGATAACTGTTTACGAACCAAAACCAGAACACAGGTTTGTGGACGTCTCCTCTATTGGTTTCCCTGAGCTCGAGGTGAGATCTAGAACACCCTTCGAAGTTGTGGACAGAGAAATCTCAGAACAGGTAGTGGAAGTCAAGCACTCCACGAAAGATGGGAAGCCGGTCAAACGAAAGACAACGACGAAGAAAACGAAAAAACCTGATGGCACCATCGAAACTGTTGTCACGAAAGTAATCGAGGAGGCTCTGCCTGGGGAAGGAGAACCCTTCCCGACTGAACCCATTGTCTCGCACGAGGAGGCACAAGCCGAGGAAATGGTCCCTGGAATTCCGGAATTCATGACCAAGAAGCTGAAACCTAGCCGGAAGCCCACCCGAGTGTACGAAGATCGAGCACCTGATGATAAGTTCGTTGTACTCAGTGAGACAGACATCGAGCTGGGTGTGGCAGAGGTTAAAGAACAAAAACTTCTTCGCAAAAAACCGTCAAAGAGTCCGCTCCGAGGGGAAGAACTTTCGCTCATCGAAATCGTGACTCTCCGTAAACACGAAGATCATCAGGACATCAGCCTGGAATCCATCGGTTATCCGGAGCTTGATGTCTTGCAAACAATTCCGATCAACGTCGATTCGCGGGGAAGACCGTCAGAAGAAATCACGGAGCAGCGAGTCATCTCGCAGATCGATGCTGAAGGCAGAGAGCGACGAAAAACCGTCCGAAAGTCCAAGAAACCAGATGGTACCGTCTGTAAGACGGAGGAAACCACTCTCTTCACTCCCGATGAGTGGGAAACCCTTCCGCACACTTTCGATCTGCAGCCTGCCGAAGAAACGGAGGAAATTGAATTTGATTCCGGAAAGATAACAAAACGGAGGAAAACTAAGAAAGTCCTCAAACCGGATAGCGTTCACTCCACCGAGATCACAGAAATCTGGGAATTCAAGCCCGAACCGAAATTCTTTGCCGTTGTATGGCCTGCTGACGTTGGACATCCGGAGATGGCGGTGACTGAGACAATGCCAGTGTCCAAGGACCTCTACGGGCGCCCGATCCGTGATATTGTAGAAGAGCATACGACCACGGAAATCGAGCCTCTGAGGAAGACAAGGACCGTCGAAAAGAAAAAGAAACGCAAAGACGGTGTATACGAGAGAACTCTCAATGTTCTAACCGAGGAAAAATGACCAACCACAGCCTCTAGAATTCGACCAAATGGTTGAAGATAACATCGTCCTCGATGTCGGTAGGATCGAAAAGAAGAAAGTCAAAAAGAAGAAACCTCGAGATGACGAAGCCCTCGAGGGGGTAGAGGTCGTGATCGAGAGCTTGAAATTCGTTCCGAAAAAATCGACGCACGATATCAATTTCACTTCTATCGGATACCCCGATCTGGAAGTCCTGAAACCGATGCTCGTTGAAGCCACGAGCTCGAAGAAAGACGTTGTTGAGGAGAGCACCGTAATTTTCATTGACAACGATCGCAGACCGAAGAAGAGAACTATCAAAACGACCGCTACGAGATCAGGGGTCCTCCTTCAAGACATCGAGACGTGCGAAGTTTCACCGGAAACGTTCGACTTGAGTCTGATTCGACCAGGAGAAGTCATCGATGAAACAAAACTCGCCAAGGCGGGAAAGACCAAGAAAACAAAGAAGAGGACCGCTGAGGTGAAACCTTTGGGTGAATCAGTCGAGAGAACTGTGACAACGACCACTGTGACCCCACGAGAGTTTGCCGTGACCGAAATTGTTGAGGATGTTGTCGAGGAAATGGTCGAGGAGATCGTGCTGCCAGATGGGAGACTCTCCACCATCACCACCACGACCACAAAACGGCCCGATGGCACCGTGGAAACAGAAATTGAGGAAGTGGTTCCGTCGGTACCAGAATCTCTCGAGGGTATTAGGCCGGATGAAAGCAAGAGGAGTCCTAAGAAAACGAGAAAACCGAAAAAGGTCAAACCCCGAGCTGAGGAAGGGCCAGTAGGCGGCGTCACCACCTCCGATGAGGGCCCGAGGAGTCAATTCACCACTGAGGACACGATCGAGCTCGAAACCGGCAAGATCACGAAAAAGACAACCACGGAAACTGTTCCCGACGAGAGAGGAGGAGAACGCCCCGTTACCGTTGAGATAACCGTCTACAAACCGAAACCAGAACATAGGTTTGTGGACGTCTCGTCTATCGGTCTTCCTGAGCTTGAGGTGAGATCCAGAACACCCGTCGAAGTTGTGGACAGACAAATCACAGAACAGGTGGTAGAAGTCAAGCACTCCACAAAAGATGGGAAGCCGGTCAAACGGAAGACAACGACGAAGAAAACGAAAAAACCTGATGGTACCATCGAAATGGTTGTCACGAAAGAAATCGAGGAGGCTCTGCCGGGGGAAGGAAAACCATCTCCGACTGAACCCATTATCTCGCACGAGGAGGCACAAGCGGAGGAAATGGTCCCTGGAATTCCAGAATTCATGACCAAAAAGTTAAAGCCTCAACGGAAGCCCACCCGAGTGTACGAAGATCGAGCACCTGGCGATCAATTCGTCGTGCTCAGTGAGAGCGAAATCACGCTCGATGTAGCGGATGTGAAGGAACGAAAACTTCTTCGTAAAAAACCGTCAAAGAGTCCGCTCCGGGGGGAAGAACTTTCGCTCATCGAGATCGTGACTCTCCGTAAACACGAAGATCATCAGGACATCAGCCTGGAATCCATCGGTTATCCGGAGCTGGATGTCTTGCAAACAATTCCGATCAACGTCGATTCGCTCGGAAGACCGTCAGAAGAAATCACGGAGCAGCGAGTAATCTCGCAAATCGATGCTGAAGGCAGAAAGCGACGAAAAACCGTCAGAAAGTCCAAGAAACCAGATGGCACCGTCTGCAAGACGGAGGAAACCACTCTCTTCACTCCCGATGAGTGGGAAGTCCTCCCGCACGTTTTCAGTCTGCAGCCTGCCGAAGAAACGGAGGAAATTGAATTTGATTCCGGGAAGGTTACAAAACGGAAGAAAACTAAGAAAGCAGTCAAATCAGATGACGCAATCCACACCGAAACCACAGAAATCTGGGAATTCAAGCCCGAGCCAAAGTTCTTCGCGCGTGTCACGCCCGAAACCGTTGGATATCCCGAAATGGAGGTTGTCGAATCTATGCCCGTCGTCAAAGATGCATACGGTCGGCCGATTCGAAATATCGTTGAAGAGCACACGCTCATCGAGACCGAGCCGGGGCAGAAGAGAACGGTCCGTGAAAAGAAGAAGAAGCGTAAAGACGGTGTCTACGAAAGAATTGTCGATGATCTGACCGAGGAGACTGATAAACGACAGCCCCTGACATTCGACCGAATGGTCGAGCATAACATAGTTCTAGATATCGGTAGGATCGAGAAGAAGAAAGTCGCCAAGAAAATACCTCGGCCGAATGAGCCTCTCGAGCAGCTTGAAGTCGTGGTCGAGAGTTTCAAATTCACTCCGAAAAAGTCGACCAATGAAATTAATTTCAATTCAATCGGCTACCCTGAATTGGAAATTCTGAGGCCGATGCTCGTGAAAGCGACAAGCGCCGGACGAGACGTTTGTCGAGAAAGTACAATCGTTTTCATGGACGTCGACGGGGAACCAAAGACGAAAACCGTGAAGAGCACGGCTTCGAAAACTGGGGTCATCACCCAGGAGGTCGAAACCTCTGATCTGGTCCCCGAATCGTATGACTGGTCAACGGTACAACCAGGAGAGGTGGTCGACGAGACGACCGTGGCAGAAGAGGAAACGACTAAAAAGACGAGAAAAACTTCGACGCAAATCGCCTCGACAGGCGATGTCGTCGATTGTGTACTAACCGTCACTTCTGTGACACCTCATGTTTACACGGTGTCGTCGATGACTCACGACATAGTTGAGGAGACTGTTGAGGAGATAGTTTTCCCTGACGGGATAGTAGCCACGGTCAGGACGACCGAAATCCAGAAGATCGACGGTTCGAGGGAAATTAGAGTTGAGGAGATAAAGCCACATGAAACCCGAACGGTATCAGATGAAACACCACGAGGTGGGTGGAGTCGCCACTGGCTTCCGGATGAGCAGCTTTTGGCGCGGCTTTGTGATCGGCTTTTGATCGAGGCGCGATCCGATTCATACAATCATGGCTTTTTCATACTTCATATGCTTTTTCATCGCTTATTCGAAACCTCGTTCCAATTATTGCTGATATGCGCCGCCGTATATTCTGTATGGATGAAAGCGGTCGAGAACCATTATGGCTGTGGAGCACGTTGAGGAAATTCAGATCCGCTCGGCGCATTCTATGCATCTGCGAGAGAACGGCTCTCACGCGGATTCTCGAGCTTACGCGATTTCGATGCTTATCATTTATATTTCAGGCTTCTTGAAGTCTCTCTAGACAGAGAGAGCTTTTCATGCTTCGTTCTATAATGCTTTCCATCCCGAACCGGGGAATGATTTAAGAGCTTTGGGATTCATCGCTTGAGTTATCGCTGAACGCGCGGGAATATGCTTGTTGTTGGGAAAGGGAAAAACGGTCCAATATTTTCTCCCATTCCCCCATTTGGCTTCTCAAAGAATGATAGGACGGAAGTCCAGCGTTGGGAGAGAGCAAGTTGTCAAGTTATTGCCAGAGATTCAAGAGTTCGCCTCGCTTCGCAAGCTTCGGTACACGATTAGCTCAGTTGCCGTCTTACTTGAGACTCAATCCCTGAAATTTCAGAAGCGGTGCAGCGGAAGCCCAGGAAGAAAGTTGCCTTCAAGCCAATTGTTCACGAGGACGTGAGCTTCGAGGAGTTCGAGTCTCCACCCGAGGTCCAGGAGTCCACTGAGGAAGTTCTGCGACTGGCGCCGCTGCAACCCCTGCAGCACATCGTACCCAAACCGGAAAAGCCGGTGCTGGAGGAAATATCCGCGGAATCCGAGATTCCGTCGACAAGCGAAGCGGCACCGACGGAAGAAGAGCCCTCCGACGAGTTCTTCACTGGAAGCAGCCGAGTTACGCTCGGCGCTAAAGAGAAGCCCAAGAAGCCTAAGAAGCGTCCATCGGTTCAGAAAGAACGGGAGGACAACATAGAACAACCGACGGCAGTGATAAGCATCGGGAAACTCACGACAGAGGAACGACACGACATCACCGTAGGGAGCACGGAGTATCCTGGAGTAGAGGTCCAACAACAGTACAAGCGTCCTGTTGACGTTGATTCCAGAGCCTCGGACGAACTTGAGCACGCCGAGATCGAGGCTCAATCGAAGAAGCAGCTCATCGTCGAAGAGATCTTGGAAGAACTCTTAGTCGAAGAGAGGGAGGAACAACCCTTCGAAAGCTCCCTCAGCGAAAAAGTAGACATCGTCTTCCCGAGCAGACGCAAGCCGAAGAAACAGAAGGCCACAGTGCCCGCCCAGAAAGATACAGAGATCGTCGAGCAGCCGTCAACCGTGATATCGATCGGTAGACCAGAAGAGGAGACCAGCCATGAGATCGTTCTGGAGAGCGATGGATATCCGGACTTCGATGTACGTCAAGACCTCAAGTATCCAGTGGAAGTCGATTCCACGGCGCCCGAGCAGCTGGAACGAGCCGAGATTGAATCCATGCCGAAACAGATGATCGTTGAAGAGATCATCGAAGAAGTGGTAGAAGAACTCGGAGAACCGGTTTTCGAAACGACCCTGAGCGAGACCACCGACCTCATGATCAGGCAGAAGGAGAGGCCGAAGAAGTCGAAGAAACGTCCATCGGTTCAACGGAGCGACGACCTCCCCGAGCAACCGACAACTCTCATCAGCATCGGCAAGCCACGAGAAGACAAGGGAGCGGAAGTCTCCGTCGGGAGCGAGCAGTATCCCGACATCGAGGTTCGGCAAGATTACAAACGTCCCGTCGAGCTCGATTCCGTCGCTTCCGAGGAGCTTAAACGTTCCGAGATTGAAGCAGTGCAAAAAGCAGTCGTCGAAGAGATTCTCGAAGAAGTCATTATTGAGGAGATCGAGGGAGATACACCGAAAGAGCGTATTTCCGGAGTCGAGGTCAGCGAGAAGAAGGACGTTGTACTCGCGCCGAAAGGCCCAGCGAAGAAACCGAAGCGGAAACCATCGACTCAGAAAGAGGACAAGGAACTCATTGAGCAGCCGATAACGTCGATCAGCATAGGCAAGCCCGAGGAAGCGACAAGCCACGAAATCGTCGTGGCAAGCGAGGGCTATCCCGACGTCGATGTCAGGGACGAGTACCAGCGTCCGGTAGTTATCGACTCGACGGTTTCCGACGACTTGAAACGTTCTGAAATCGAAGCCATCCGTGAGAGAGTCGCCGCGGAGGAGGTCATTGAAATTCCGGCGGAAAAAGCCACAGAGGAAGAACCGTTTGAAACTACCCTCAGTGCGCAGGAGAGCGTAGATCTCCTCCAGAAGGAGAAACCGAAGAAGCCCAAGAAACGTCCATCGATCCAGAAAGAAATCGATAGAGTTGTGGAGGATCAACCGTTGACTCTCATCAGTATAGGCAAGCCCTCGGTCGAGACGCATCACGAAATCATCGTCGCAAGCGAAGAACATCCCGACGTTGAAGTAGAACAAGAGTATAGGCGTCCTGTAGATGTCGATTCGAGGGCTCTGGATGAACTGAAGCGAGCCGAGATCGAAGCTGCGCCGAAGAAAGAGCTCGTGATTGAGGAAATAGTCGAGGAGGTATCAGTTGAAGAAGTACACGATGATCAACCTGAGGAACAAACTTTCGAGACTTCCGTCTCAGAAACGAGTGATGTCAAACTGGCCAAGGGAGACAAAACGAAGAAACCCAAGAAAAAACCACAGTTGCCCGCGGAGGAAACCGTAGAGCGAACCGATGTTGTTATAAGCGTTGGGAAGCTCGACGGAAAGAAAGACCATGAAATCGTGGTGGGAAGCCGAGAATATCCTGACATCGAAATTCAACAGCAGTATAAACTCCCCGTTGACATCGAATCCTCAACTCCTGGTGAGATCGTTCATACTGAGGTCGAAATGATGCGCGAGAAGAAAGTAATTGAAGAAACTCCTCAGGAGGTGATCGAGGAAGTGGTTGGAGAGATTGTCGTTGAAGATCAGCCGTTCGAAACTATTGTCAGTGAGACGAGCGACGTACACTTGGCTCAGAAGGAGCTTCCGAAGAGGCCGAAGAAACGGCCATCAGTCCAGAAGGAAGAAGCCGTGATTGAGCAGCCCACCGCCATCCTTAGCGTTGGCAAACTCATCAAGGAAGAGCTTCATGAAATTTCGGTGGAAAGTGATCAGTATCCCGATTTCGAGGTTCAGCAGCGGTACGAGCGACCTGTGGTCATTGATTCCACGGCTCCGGATGAGTTGAAACGCGCCGAAATCGAAGCTGTGCCGAAGAAAACGACCGTTGAAGAAATTATCGAAGAGACAGTGGTTGAAGAAACGGCAGAGGAGGTGCGGCCGGACGAGCAGCCATTCGAGACTTCTTTGAGTGAAAAGATCGACCTCAAGTTGAAATCGAAAGAGAAAGCGATACGACCAAAGAAGAAGCCCTCGGTCAAGGAGGAAGAGGAACTGATCGAGAAACCTGAAACTGTAATCCTCACGATAGGAAAGCCCAAGGAAGAGGAGCACCACGAAATAACTGTGGTCAGTGATGAATTCCCCGATTTCGACGTGACGCAAGACTACAGACGGCCGGTAGACGTAGACTCATCAGCTCCTGAAGAGTTGAAGCACGCTGAAATCGAGGCAGAGCCTAGGAAACCGACGTCCCGAGATGTAGTCGAGGAGATCATTGACGAGCTGGTGGAGGAGAGTGTAGACGAAGACCAACCTTTCGAGACCAACGTCCTCGAGAAGAGTAATTTGACGCTCACGCAGAGAGAAACCACAAGGAAGCCCAAGAGGAAACCTTCGGTTCAAAAGGAAGAGCTAGTCATGCAGCAACCGTCGACTGTTATCTGTTTGGGCAAATTGGACAAAGACGTCCAGCATGATATCACTGTGGCTAGTGGCGAATATCCCGAACTCGAAATCCAACAGGATTACAAACGCCCGGTGGACGTCGACTCGACGACTATCGAAGAGCTGAGACGCGCGGAGATCGAAGCGGCGCCGACGAGGCCGGTCGTCATCGAAGAGGTTGTCGAAGAAGTCGAAGAGGAAAAACCCGAAGATCAAACTTTCGACACCACAGTCTGCGAGAAAACGGATGTGAATTTGCTTGTGAAAGGAAGACCGAAGAAACCGAAGAAGAGACCCTCCGTCCAGGATGAAGAGCAAGAGGTCATCGAACAACCAACAACATTGATCAGCATCGGAACGCCGCAGAAGAAAGAACACCATGAGGTTATGGTCGCCAGCGATGCATATCCCGACATCGACGTGAAGCAGGAATACAAGCGCCCCGTCGATGTGGATTCGGCGGCTCCACATGATCTGAAACACACGGAAATCGAAGTCGTTCCGAAGAGAGAGGTCGCTGACGCAGTCATACAGGAAGTGGTGGCACAAGCTGAGGAGGAGGAGGAGGCGCCCGAAGAAGAACCCTTCGATACCACAGTCAAGGAAACCAGCGACGTTACGTTACTACAGAAAGAAGCGTCGAAGAAACCAAAGAAACGACCCTCGGTCCAAAAAGTTGAGAAAGATCTCATCGAGCAGCCCTTAGCGATCATAAGCATAGGCAAGCCTGAAAAGAGAACGCATCACGAAACCAGCGTCGCTAGCGAGGGATATCCCGAATATGAAGTTGAGCAGGAATACAAACGACCTGTGAACGTAGATTCGACCGCTCTCGACGAGCTGAAACGCAGCGAAATCGAGACTGTGCCGAAGAGACGAGTCCTACAAGTAGAATACTCTGAAGAACAACCTGTGGAAGTCACGCTGAGCACCCCGAAAGATATCACCTTCACCGAGGTTCAGGGGAAGCCGAAGAAAACGAAGAAGCGACCTTCGCTCCGGAAAGAGGAAACCGTAGTCGAGCAAGCCCAGACGACCGTCATAGACGATAAACCTGAAGTGTACGAATATCGCAGAATCGTTACGGAAGCCGCCTCGCCTGCGACAGAGGAGTCCAAACGAGAACAGGTATCAATCGTAGAGGTCGAGGAGAAACCAGAGGTCAAAGGTACGTGAATCCCCCATCGGACCGAATCGTATACTGAATTATTTCATTATTGGACTTCATACACAAACAGACACAAACTCTGCATGCCTTCTTGCATCTTCCAAAGCACGATCTGATCGAGTGAATTGTCAACTCGAGTCCCAATCAAATATGGTTCCTAAGAGCGTCGCAAATGTTTTTCAGAAGCGATTCCATCTGCGGTGACCTATGGCGTCGTCGAACTCAAGAAAGAACCGCTCAAGGAGGATATCGTCCAACCGAAGCCGGAGACCAAGGAAGACGTGGCAGAGGATGTCCTCGTGGACATCTCCGTGGGCAAAATGCCGAAGCCAGGGGACAAAGTCGTTAAACTGGAATCTAAGGAAGTACCTGAGCTGGAATGGGAAATCGAGCAGGTCATCGAAAAAGACGTTACTGTCGAGAGCACCGGTTATGAAGTGGAAATGATGCCCGTAACGCCAAGTGAAGTCACGATCACGACCGAGAGCATTGTGCAGGAGATCGTGGAGAGGGTTCCGGAAAAAGCCACGCCTGCTCCGTCTGTCACGGAGGCCTCTGATGTGACTTTGGCTCCGAAAGAGAAGCCCAAGAAGCCCAAGAAACGGCCATCCGTTCAGAAAATCGAGGAGGAGATCATCGAACAGCCGAGTGTCGTTATCAGCATTGGAAAACCCGAAAGGGAGGAACAACACGAAATAAGCGTAGCCAGTAGCGAATATCCAGACTTCGAAGTCGCGCAGCAGTACAAACGTCCTCTCGAGGTCGACGCATCCGCTCCCGATGAACTGCTGCGTGCAGAGCTCGAAATGACGCCCAGGCAGGTGGTCGTCGAAGAAATCGTCAGAGAAGTGGTCGAACAAGAAGTGGTCCTCGAGGAGATCGTGGAAGAGACCGTGGAAGAGCAGCCCTTCGAGAGCACGGTCAGTGAACGGACGGACGTGACTATCGTGCAGAAAGACAAACCGAAGAAACCGAAAAAACGGCCTTCGCTGCAGAAAGAAGTGGAAGCTCCGGTGGAGCAGCCCTCGACCGTCATTAGCATCGGGAAGCCGAAGAAGGAAGAAGCTCGACACGAAATCACCCTGGCCAGCGATGAATATCCCGACATTGAAGTTCAACAAGAGTACAAGCGACCTCTCGAAGTCGATTCTACCGCCCCTGAAGAGCTGAAGCATTCTGAGATCGAAGCCGTACCCAAGAGGGTTGTTGTCGAGGAGGTGGTCGAGGAAATCGTCGAAGATGTTGAGGAGGTGGTCGAAGAGGAACAACCTTTCGAGACGTTAGTCAGCGAGACAAGTGACGTTACGTTGGTGCCGAGAGAGACTCCTAGAAAACCAAAGAAACGACCATCGGTGCAGAAGGATGAAGAAGTAATCGAACAACCCTCAACTGTTATCAGTGTCGGTAAGCCGAAAAGAGATGAAGCACATCATGAAATTACACTCGCGAGTGAAGAATATCCTGACATCGGAGTGCGACAGGACTACCAACGACCTTTGGATGTCGATTCGACAGCTCCCGAAGAACTGAAGCATTCCGAGATCGAGGCTTCACCGAAGAAAGTTGTTGTCGAAGAGGTAGTCGAAGAAATTATCGAAGATGTCGAGGAGGTGGTCGAAGAGGAGCAACCTTTCGAGACGTTAGTCAGCGAGACAAGTGACGTAAGGTTGGTGTCAAAAGAGACTCCTAAAAAACCAAAGAAACGACCATCGGTGCCGAAGGAAGAAGAAGTTGTCGAACAACCCTCAACTGTCATCAGTATCGGTAAACCGAAGGAAGAGGAAGCACGTCATGAAATTACGTTGGCGAGCGACGAGTACCCCGACATCGAGGTCAAACAGGAATACCGACGACCCCTGGATATCGATTCGACAGCTCCTGAAGAACTGAAGCATTCTGAGATTGAGGCCGCACCAAAGCGAGTCGTTCTCGAGGAGGTGGTCGAGGAAATTATCGAAGATGTGGAGGACGAGCAACCTTTCGAAACGATGGTCAGTGAGACGAGTGACGTGACCTTATTGCCGAAGGAAACTCCGAAAAAACCCAAGAAACGACCCTCTGTGCAGAGGGAAGAGGAGATCATCGAACAACCTTCAACCGTAATAAGCATCGGCAAGCCCCTGAGGGAGGAAGCGCGTCATGAAGTCATTCTCGCGAGCGAGGGATACCCCGACATCGAAGTTAAACAGGAGTACAGGCGGCCCCTGGATGTCGATGCGACAGCTCCGGAGGAGCTGAAGCATTCTGAGATCGAAGCTATCCCGAAAAGGGTCGCGGTCAAAGAGATTGTCGTCGTCGAGGAAATTGTCGAAGATGTTGGAGAGGTCCCCGAGCAAGAGCAACCTTTCGAGACGACGGTCAGCGAGACTAGCGATGTCACCTTGATGCAGAAAGAGATTCCGAAGAAACCTAAAAAACGACCTTCAGTACAGAAAGAAGAGGATACCATCGGACAACCCTCGACTGTCATCAGTGTCGGCAGACCGGTCAAAAAAGAGGAGCATGAGATCGCCGTCACAAGCAACGAGTATCCCGACTTTGAAGTAGAGCAATCCATCAAAATGCCGATACGAGTTGACTCCGTTAGCGAGACTGTCAGCGAACTTGAAAAAGTTTCTATCGAAGTCATGAAACAGCCGAAAGACTCAATAACCGAGGAAACGGGTGAGTTAATGACTAAGGACCGTGGAAAAATCGTTCTCCGGAAGCCGAAGTTCGATGAGTCGCCACTCGAGAGCCGAGTGGATTATGAAGATAGGTTGTCGCAACCGTGTCCAGTTCGCTATAATGAGAATTGTGTTTTTTCCAGACTTCACGCCGTCGGACGTTTCCGAAACTGTGGTCACACTCAAGAAGAAGGAGCCTGCCCGTGAGGAAGAGGAGGTCATCGAGGAGCATATCGTGGAGGAGGTCTCCGAAGACGTCGCGGTGGACATTTCCGTGAGCAAAGTTATCAAACCCGCAAACGTAGTCGAAGTTCAGTCGAAGGAGATTCCCGAGTTGGAATGGGAAATCGGGCAAGTTATCGAGAAAGAGGTCACCGTCGAGAGTACGGGCTACGAGGTCGAATTCATTCCGGCCGAGCCCAAACCAGGTGAAATTACGGTGACAACTGAGAGCATCGTTAAGAAACCTCAAGTCGTCGGGTTAGAACAACAGCCGGAACGTCAGAAGAAAGTCGAGGAGGAGAAGCGTATCACTGTCATTCAAGAAATTGAAGAAGTAACCAAGCGGCACGATATCATCATCGAGGCGAAGACTAAGAAAGGTATCACAGAAATACGCATTCATAAAGTGCCCGAGCACGCAGACGAGTTCACTGATTCTATTGACGACGAGGTTTGCCGCGAATTCGACATCGCTCCACAGCCGAAACACACGCCAAGCGTTTCCATTCCCGATCAGACAGCCTTGGAGATCGGGCACACACACGCACTCGAGTCTCCAGCAGAACACAGTACCCCCCAAACGTCAACGAAATCTGCCGTAATCGGTGTCACGCCAATGATCAGTGCGAGCGTCGGTGAAGTTCAGACGAACGACACCACGGCCTCTCTGAGTCCAGACACTGTAATCGAACAAACTCCGAATAAATCCATGGACACGATGCAGACGATCGCGGTCGAAGAGCCACTAGTACACGAGCAAGCCATTCCGTACGCGGCGCGGCCTGCGAAGACGAATCAGGCAACCGCAGACATACTTCCCCAAACTCCACTCTCGGTCGAGAACACGCTGGTCTCGGAGAACACAGGCACCACACGTGATGAACAGCCAGTTCCGAACCAAGCCTTCACCGACATGGTCCATCAAAAGGCTCTTTCGGTGACACAAGTCACACCGAACGACAAGGAGCAGGGCATTGAAGCTTTCTCGGCGCCTGACGTGAAGTTACAAACGGTGAGGAACGTGAACGTCCTCGCAATTCCCGAAACTTCCGAACTGTTGACCTCTGTGGCCGAAATCGATACCGACACGAAATCGGCAACTGGGACGATTCTACCACAGACCGCGCTTGACGTAACGCAGTGGCAGTCTGAGATGCGGGAGGAGGTTTTGAAAGACGAGACGCCGTCGGAATTCAAATTAGAGCCCGAATTGCTGCCGCAGCAAGCTCTGACGATTTGTGAGAGTGACGTGTCTCTGAAAGAGGGCGTCGTAGATATCGAACGCTCGCAAACGGCCAACGCGAAAGCTTTCTACACGGCGGAGTACGAAACCATAATCGAGGAGATCATTCTTGCGAACAAAGAAGGAGAATTCGAATCCAAGCAACCCGATCTCTTGACGAGCGTGTTTTCCTTCGATACCCAAACTCCGCTTCTGAACCTCTACAACACCGAGTTGGATTCGGAAGAGATTTTCGAAGTAGAGGAAATCATAGAGAAGGCCGCTTCAAGGAGTTTCACCGGTATTACGCTGCCGGAGGTGACGGAAACGCAGCCCATCGAGACGGTGGGGAAGGAGGCGCTCGAGAAGCCTGAACACCAGCAAGGTAAGATCATCCACGACCTCCGAAACGCGGTCCAAATCACGGATGTGGTGGCCGCCGATGTCGAAGCCAAACATCAGGAACAACCGACCCCCGAGCAGAAACAACTTCGTCCCGAGCTCGTCCCGTCACTCGCCCTCTCGGTCAACGAAGTACTCACATCAGAACAGGGAGAGGACGTGGTTGAAGAGGTTCATCCGAGAACTCAGAAGAACCTTTCCGACGTTGCTCTCCAGGAAGCGGTGAACGTAACCATGACGGTCGTCGCTGACAAGGAGGAGCTCTTGCCCGAGGCCAAGCTACCGAGACCTCAGAAACTAGATCAGAGGGAAACGGTGGACAAGAAGAAAGCTCCGCAGGTCAGCGAGACGATCTTGAACGAGAAAGAACTCTCGATGGGAGATTTCGTCTACGATACTCAGAAAGCGTCGACGGAACTCCTCGAGCAGTCGGCGATGACAGTTCTGCAGACGAGAGACAACGAGAGAGAGAGGGAATGCATAATCGAAACCCCGAAACAAGACCGAGCGCAGCTCGACATTATTGGAATGTCTTCAATATTAGCAACCGAAACGGTCGCTGAGGAAAAAGAATCGCCGTTCACGCGGGCTCCGACAGAGACCAAACCGGTGGCCTATCGTTTCGATACATCCCAAGCCACAATGAACTCGGAGCAGTTCGTGATCGACACGGAGACTGAGCTCGAGATACCGAGAGTCGCGTCTAAAACAGCGGAAGCGACCCTGAAACCATCCGAGAACATCGACGTCGCTCAGCTCAACGGATACGAGTCCACAATACCTCTGGAAACGCAAAAACCAGACGACAGTCACGCACAAATCGACTTCGCGGAGAAAATCGCGTTCGAGACCGCTCAAACGGTTCTACAAGATAAAGAAGGTTCATTTTCGATCGAGGAACCAAAGTCGAAGAAAGCGAAAACCATCTCATCCGAGCTCACCTCTCTCGAAATTCTCGAGCAGTTGGGTCTGATCGGATTGAACGATCAGCCGAGCTTGGTGTTTGATTTGCAGAAGCCGAACGTGGATCTGATCGAAAACCAAACTGTCTACATCGAAGAGATTGTCATACTCGAGAACGAAGAAGACTGCGATTTTGTCGAGCCCGCCAGCAAGCGGATGGACTTCACCCTGATCGAGAGCACAGCCAGCGCTGTGTCCCAGGTGACGCCGATGGACAATGTCGGGAGCCACAAGGCCGAGGATGCGCCTGCGAGTAAGAAAATCGATTTCGCCTTCCTTCCGAACGTTTCGTCTGAAGCTTTCGAAACAACGCCGTATGGCAACACCGCCGACCTGACTGACGCGAAACTTTCCGGAGAGGAAGCCAAACCCGCCTTCCAGCTCTCCGAAGAGATAATCTGTCAGCAAACCGAAAGCGCCATCAAAGAGGAATACCTGCCGAAGTTCGTATCTCCGGACGGCAGGAACCTTCGATTCACGCTCGGCCACGAAAAACCGATCGAGGTGAGGGAATCGACCGCGTTCGAGACCTTCGGTGATCTTACCGAAGAAATCCGTGTCGGTCAATCGGCGACGGTGGATTTGCTTGTCGAGTCCGCTTTGACCGGACAGATCACGAATCCGAACGAGAAGGAGGAAGTTTTCACCAGACCAGAGCTGCCCCTTTCGGCCGCAAAACAGACGCTCTTGCCACAGGAGCCCCTGACCGTATCCGAGTTCCACATGGACAAGGAGAAAGTCCTCGAGGCCCAAATCAAGCCCGAGTCGCATTTGCTGTCAGCCAACATTGACGTTCAGTACGCTCGTACTGCTGCAGAGGTCTTGCTGCTCGACAGCGAGAAACAAGTCACGACTGAGAAGCCCGACTCGACGCGAGTGGCGCCTAATATTCTGGCGAGCGAGGCCCTCGAAGCTAGGCTGGTCCAACCGATCGAATCGGAAATGATCACGTTCGAAACGGTTCCCGCGGACTCCAAAGCTGCCGAGGGAGTTTTCGTGCCTCAAGTGCCCGTAACGGTTCAAGAGGCACTGACCACCGAGAAGGAGGATCACTTCACTGCGTTATCAGCAAGAAGCGAAAACGCTATTGCGGATTTGGTGCAGCAACAAGCTCTCGGAGTTGGTGTATCGCATGAGCTCGAGATGGAGAAGGATCTGAGCCTCGATGCGAAGATTCCCGAACTACAAGCTGAACCCGTTCTGGACTCTGTCGTCGCTTTGGACGTTTCTGTCCAGCAGCCGTTGACTGGCGCCGATCAATTCGAAGAGCCGAAGCCTTCGACGTCAACATTGACGGTCGGCGAGGTGGACGGCCACCGTGCCGCCCAGTCGCAAATGCAGTCGGCCTGCGAACACGAGGACGTTTACATCGAGTACGTTCTGCCCGAGCAACACACAGGCAGCGTCGGTGCATTCGAATGTTTCTGCGTGGGTCAAGTTGCCGAAGTCCAATCGCTCCTCAAAGAGGATAGTTTCGAGGTTCTTCGGCCCGAGGAGAAGAGGTCCAAGATCGAATTCACCATCAAAGAAGCGCTCGGAGTCGATATCGTCCAATTCAACGACGCGGAAACGCCTTTCGAGGAATTGATCAGAGGCATGACGGCCCGTCAGGTTCAAGAACTGCTCGAGGCCGTGGAGATCGCAGACGTGGTCCAGGCGAACAAGGAGGGAGACTTGGAGCTTCCTGCCGTGCCCGAGAGCCACAATCTGCAGCAGAGAGCCGTTATCCTCATTTACCACACTCCGGAGCAATTCGCTGTGCAAGCGAACGAGGTTGAAGAAGCCTTTAGAGTTCAGAAACCGGAAACCGGCAAATCGGTGGTTTCGTTCGACGTACAAGAATCCAAAACCATCTCGGAACAAGTGCTCGTGGACAAAGAATCGACGATGCCGGACTTTTCGAGACAACCAGCGCACGAAGCCTCTCTGGAAATAAATCCTCATCAGACCAGTCTCGAGGTCGGCTTGACAACCGCCCAGTACAACGAGCAAGAACTAATTCTATCCAAAATCACGGAGGAGCAAGCGAGCCCACAGATGCTGCCCCAGACGGCTCTGCAAGTCAAGTTCACACAGCCCGAGCTCAAAGAGGGTGCGTTCGAAAGGGAAACGGTGCCGCACACTTCGGTTTCGCCCGCGATGACGCAATCGCTGACGGAACTCGTGGTGTCGCAGGTTGCCAGCGACGACACGCTCGGGTCCGTGGAGACGCGTGCGCCCACGACTTCGAATCTCCATCAAGTGATCGACGAACAGCTCCCGTTGGCCGTGAGCGATCTCATGGCCGGGGAAATGGCTCGACCGACATGCGTCGAATTAAAGTACGTCACGGACAAGGCAGATATGGATCTCGAGACGAGCAGAGGCATCACCGTCACGGAGACAACCCTCGTGGACAAAGAAGGTACCAAGGAGTACCCTCAGCCGATAACATCGCTCGCAGCCGTCTCCATCGGCGAAACGGAGGCGTTGTCCGTGTCCGCCATCGAAACAGCCGAGTTCGAGTCCGTCCAACCGGAGGACCAAGCCCCGATAACGCTGAACGCGGTCTCGGACATCATCCCTCACATCGCGTTGGGTGTCACGGAAACGAATACCGGACTCGGAAGCCAGAAACTGACGTTGGAAGAGCCGATGGGAGCCGTGGCCGACACCAAACTCATCAGTCAGCACTCCGTTCAAGTTACGGAGACCATTACGAACGACTCCAGGGAGGAGCTCGCCGAAGAAGCGAAGAAACAGCCTTCGTCGGCGACGCAGTCGATTCCCCCGATGGATAGCCTCGAGGTTCAGATCGTCGAAACCCTCCAGTCCACCGGTGAAGTCAAGCCCGAGGAGCTCGTGAGCGATCAGGCGAAACGTGACCTCATACCGGTCACGGCGATGGGCGTCTCGAGCGTGACCACCTCGCAGGTTCCCGTTGATTTTATCGAGGAGGCTCCGTTGAGCAAATCCTGCACCGTTCACACGGAGACCGTTCAGAGACAGGCGATCAGCGTGCACGAAACAGTTCTCGATGACAGCAAGAGCGATTTCGAGACCGCGGTGCCCCAAACAGGTTCCGCTCGACCGGATGTTCTGCCGTTGGAGAGTGTTTCCAGATTCGAGGTCACGGACGCTCTCAAGGAGAGCGAATTCACTCCGGTGAAGCCGACCGAACACAAGCCCAAAATCTCGCTCCCCGCCCAGAAACATCTGACGGTCTGCGAGACGATCGATAGCGACCTGACGTCGGGCCTGGCCGAAAAAGCGCCGGAAGCCGACTCGGCTCAGTTCTCGGTGCAATCGACTATCGGAGTCGCTGTGAACGAGGTGATGATAAACGATACGGAACTTCCGTTCGATTCGGAAGTAGAGCGTCCATCACACAACGCAGAACAGATCCTCGAGAAGCTCGTTCCGATTTCCATCAGCGAAGTGCAAACTCAGACCGAGTGCAGCCAGCTGCGGGAGGACGAACGTCCTTCCGAGAAGACTGTCACGGTCGATTTCATTCAACAACAAACACTGTCCAAAGAGGAAATCGTGCCGTCACATTCCCTCTCGACACTCGATCAACAACAGACAAGATCAGACACGGCCAAAGTGGACTACGTTCCGAATAGCGAATCCCTCGTTGTCGGTGAAACGGTGATCACTGAAACCGAAGATAGCCTCGTGCCTGCGCAAGTGCCCGACACTAAGACTGTAGACTTCTGTGTGGTGGCTCAACTGAGCGGTGGGCTGACGACTGAGACGGTGGTGTCCTCCGAACAACAAATCACCGAATACGAGTACAGCAAGCCCGTCGAGAGGACTGCCGTTGTTGACTTCTCAGTGCATGATGACTCTGTTAGTGTGTGCATGACCTCCGCAGCAAGCAAGGAGGAACCACTTTCGATCGAGGCTGCGTTCGAGAGCACCGCACAACTTGCCGTGGTGCCCCTTGTGGCCGTCAGCGCGTTCGAAGTCACCCCGCATAGCCGCGAGGGAGAGATCAGTGACAGCTCGCGACGGGACAACGAAAAGTTCGCCACTCGAACCATGGACTTTGTCGAGCCATTCACCACAACTGATCAAGTTCCCATTGAGTCTGAAGGTGTGCTTGTTTCGGACGTTCTGCCAAACGAGCAGCATGGAACGCTCGCAGAGATGTCTCTAAACCAAAGCCTCAATGTACAACAGGTGACGCATGCGGACGTGCTCGGTCAAGTCGTTTTGGAACGCCTAGAAGAATGCACGACGAACCCTGCCGACTATCTGCCTAATCGGCCGCTAACAGTTACAGAAATCGAGCTTCATGACCAGCTGCAAGAGCTGGATGAGGAACAGCCCGCCGAAAAGTTTGCTCAGCATTCTTTTGTCCCAACTCAACACATCGGCGTTTCGATGGCGAACGCCATCGACTCGATAGCCGACTATAGGCCGGGAGAGTTGCCGAATGCGCAAACATTGCAGTCCGATTTACAACTCTCGCAGGAAACAGTCGCCGTGCATGAGATATCCTCGAACGAAAACGAGGGACGTCTCAGTCCTACGCAGCCGTTGTCGCAGACCGCAGTCGCAGAGTTCACGAGGCACCACGCTGTTGCGGTGTCAGAAATGACGCCCGTACAGAAAGAGGAAAGCTTCAGAGCGGAAGAACTACCGGCGGCCCACTTGGTTGATATGACTATACCGGAGTATAGCGCCATCCACGTGACCGCGACGGAATCGTCCGAGCTTCCGCAAGAAGGCGTAGACATCCTCGACATGAAAGCCGAAAACGCCAACATGGCGCTCGTCCACCAACAGACCGCCCAGACTATCGTGCCGCTCATCCACGAGAGAGAACAACCGTTCACGGAGAAAGAGCATCCGTTCAGACGGAACGTGAGCACGCTCGTGGAAACTGACAAAGCCCTCGAAATCACCGAGATCGAAACGTCCGAGAAATCACAAGACTTGTCAACATTGCCACTTCCCAAAGCCACGCTAGCCGAAACGGAGATCATCGCCAGTACGACGGTGGCCGTCGAACACGTAGAAGCCATCGACACCGTGGGAACTCACGAACTGAGAAGACTTCCCATTGGCGAACAAGCGCAGATCAGCGTTCCGGCGACCGAAGCGGTCGCCATTGAGCTCGTGGAATCCGCTCAGAAAGAGAAAGAACTTCGCGTCGCCGAACTGCCGGCGACAGTCGTCAGCAAGTTCTCCATCCCGACTCAGGAACACGTTTTTGTCCACACGGTCCAATCGTCGAACTCCGAGCAGCTGCTCGAGGAATGGACGAGACCGCAGACATCGGAAGCTGCGACGAGCCTTTCAACCGAAAACGCCGTCGTTGTTCAGCACACCGACTCGCATCTCAAGGAGGGCCTCATGGAAGATTTCAAAGCCCCAGACGCGCTCCAATTGAAAAGTGAATTCCTCACTCAGACCCCGCTCGAGGTTTGCGCCGTGGTTCACGCCAACGCGGGAAGTCGATTGAAACTCGACGAGCTCCCCACCGAATACACGGCTGACGTCTCGATGAAACTTTCGGCTCCTCTCAACGTGATCGAAACGAATTTCCAGGAAAAAGAAAACGAATTCCTCCGAGAGGCTCAGCCTACTACGAATGCCAAGAGGGACCTCGTGCTCTCGTCGAACATCGTCGTCGGACACACGGTCGCCGATGAACGCGAAGCCGGAGCCCCCGAGCGATTGGCGATGCCCACTCAAGCGGCCGACGTGACTTTCTCGACCCAGGAGTCGCTCCAGGTCACTCAGCAAACACTACCGCAGGCCACTGCCGACTTCCAAGCGGACAAGCTGCCCCGTGGCCAGACGGCAGACCAACAGCTTCTCGTCAGCGAGGGTGTACAGGTTCAGGCCACGAATGCAGGAGTCAAAGAGACCGAATTGGCTCCGTTCAAGACACCGCAAGGTTTCGACACGTCGTTCGTCTTCGGACTACACGAGCACACGACCGTGCAAGAGGCCACAGCCGCCGTTTCCGAAGGGGAATTAGCGCCGGATAAGAAGCCCGTCACCGAAGCCGCCGTGCCGAAATTGACAACGACCAAACACGTAACTGTCAGTGAAACCGTCAGCGGTCAATTCGAATCCGAGCTCGCTCTCGAAAAAACACCGGCCGCCTACCGCGCCGATGTTGGTTTCTTGCCACAGAGTCACAAAACTCAGGCGGAGGTCGTCCATGCCATGATCTCGGGAGAGTTTGAAGCGGTTGTAAACAAAACCCACAAGGCGGAGTTTACTGTTCCCTCGGATGATCATCTGGTTGTGGAGCAGACCTCTCTTCTGCAGACGGAGGTGGAATTTTCGGAGGAGAAGCCAGTCGAGATGAAACTGACCGACTTCAGTGTACCGGAGCAGCACGCGGTGCTCAGTCACGAGATCATCGTTGCCAACAAGGAGGCGACGTTGCCGGAGGACAAAAAGCCGGAGTCGCGATCAGCCGACGTAGGCCTGATATTCGAGGAGAGTATCATCGCCAGCGAGGTCGTCGTCGCTTCGAAGGAGAAGCTACTGCCTTCCGATCAGAAGCCGCAGAAGGAAACGGCCGTCATGAAGATCCCCCACGAAGAACACTCCTACGTCGAGGAAGTAATTACGGCCAGCAAAGAAGGAGTTTACGAGAGAGGAAAACCCGCCGTGACCACCGAAGCGACAGCTCTCTTCTCACCATTGGAGTCGGTTTCCGTCACCGCGGTTCAGCCCGAGCACCGGGAGGGAATTGTTCATATCGAAGAAGTGCAGAAAGCGACCGCATCGCAAGACCTTATTCCGCTGTCTTCGATGAACGTCACCGATGTTCAATTCGCCGACAGCATGGAGGATTTCGTCCGTGAAACCCCAGTCGGGAAGCAGGCCTCGCAGAGTCTCATCCCGCAGTCCTCGCTTGTCGTCGAGCATACGTCCCATTCTGTCGAAACGAGTGACTTTGAGACGGCTGTGGTCAAAGATTATATGCCGACAGTCACCGTTGGTGAAATCGAAATCGCTGTGAAATCTGGCGATGTTCCGCTCATGAAGGAGACAGAGCTCGCGCCCGACGGAAAGCCGACCACGAGCGCCGCCAAGCTCGAGTTCGTACACGAGATCCACGCCATTGCGTCAGAAACCGTCGCGCAAGACAAGGAAACTCATCTTCCGGCCCCGAAAGCACCCACCGAGGGCGTCGCCGGGGCTTCGTTCATCGCCCAGGAGTTCCTTCAGGTCGAGGACAACGTTCTCGTTCAGAAGGAAGCCGCTTTCGAGCCGGCCAAGAAACCCGAGGAAATGCAGACTAGCGTGACCATTCCTCTCGAGGAACACGTTTCCGTGACCCAAGTCGTTTGCAGCGCCCAAGAAGAAGAGTTCGACTTTAAACCCAATTTCCATCCGGTGTCTGCCACCGTGGGCTTGTCGACGAAAGACCACATCGTAGTCGAAGAATCCTTGGAGAGCCTGAAAGAAGGCGAATACACGCCGGACAAGCCGGTCCCGACGACCGAAGCCGCGGTTAATTTCGAGAGGAAGGAACACATCTACGTACAGGAAGCGGTGCCGTCCACGGAGACCGAAGCGTTCGAAGTGACCCCCGCGAAACAGAACAGAGCCACGTTCAACGTACCCAGTCAGGAGACGATGCAGGTCACGCAAATCGTCACCGAAGACAGAACGGGTGACTTCAGACCGGACGAAGCCGCGGAGACCCGAAGGGCTGGGGTCAATGTCACGGCGCAAGAGACCGTGGCGGTGAAGGAAGTCACCACGCAGGAGAACGCCGAGGAAGGTCTCGAGACCCTGGAGCTCCCGATGAAGAATGCGAAGGTCTGGTTTGATGCTCAAACTCATATCTCTATCGAGCAAACTCAAACGACCGAACACGAAGACGTTTTCTACGATGCGGAGGCGCCGCAGGAAGTCGCTGGCGTATCGATGGATTCTGAGAAGCATATAGTCGTTCAGCAAGCGCTCACCGACGACAAGGAAGGTGAATTCGTTGTCGGAGAAACGAAAACTAATTCAGCTTCAGTCAATATCGATCATATGGTTCCAATTGTCGTCCAGAAAGTCGTCACTAGCCAGGAGGCCGAGCAGCTCGCCCCCGACAAGGAGCCGGAACGCAAACAGATCGAGGGCTCGATCATACTCAACGAGTCGATTTCCAAGGAACAGATCGAAACCGCCCAGAGAGAATCCGATTTCATCTCAGAGAAATTACCGGAAGGCGATCAGGCCGGCATTGAATTCATAACTTCGAAACACATCTCGGTCGCGGAAACCGTGCACACGATCGCCGAGCGGGACCTGCCTGAAGATGTTAAACCCACGAAGAACGTGGCTAAACTCAATATCGAAACACAAGAAGTAGGTTTGAAAGAGGAAAATGTTTTCGTCATCAAAGAGGAGGAGTTCGAGGGTGCGCCGAAGCCGAAGGCCTACCAGGCCGAAACATCTGTGCCGGCTTCGGAGCACGTCGTCATCGAATCGGTCCTAAGCCACAATAAGGAAGATTCATTGGCCGATTTCAAACAACCCGAAGGAATTCCTGCTAATTACGATCTCCTGTCGACCGAACACATCGTTTCACAAGAAGTTGTCTTCTCTCTAAACGAGGAAGAACTCGTGGCCGACAAGAGACCCAGCGACCAGCAGATCGACTTCACCCTAGTTTCCGCTTTGCCGCTCGAGGTGGGCTCGACCATCCTCCAGGACAAGGAAACAGAATATATTCCAGGGAAGATACCGGCGGGTTTCATGCCCGACGTCGATATCGTCCCATCGGAGTACATATCGCAGTGTCTGGTGATTCCGGAAACTAAGGAGGACCTGATGGACGACGCACCGATGCCGAAGACCGGCAGAGCGTCTTTCAGTTTCGTTTCGCTCGAAAGCATTTTGCAGCATCAGACAGAGGCATCTCTGAAGGAGGGCCTCCTAGAAGACTTCAGAGCCCCTGACGGTGTGGTGATCGAATACGAAATTATTCCAGCCCAGCACAGCCATAGCGAGCAAGTTGTATTCGAAGAACGCGAACAGCTGTTACCCGATCGAAAGATGCCCTCGGAAAAGCAAACCGATCAGAAAGTTATCACTTCGGAAGCAGTGTTCGTCATCGAAACCGAAGTCGACGAACGCGAAGATATCTTACAGCCAGATCAGCGAGTGCCGAAGTCAAGGAGCGACATCAATGTCGAAGCCGCTGAGAGCTACACTGTCGAACAGGTTCAGCCCGAGTACCGCGAGGAACTCTTCGAAGGTAAATATGAACCACGATCGGCAGAGGCCTCTGTCGACATTACGCACGTCAAGCATGTCGAGGTAACTGAAGTAACAAGCGAACTGAGGGAGGACGATCTTCCACTTCCCAAAGTACCAAAGACAGCTAACCCCACGGCGGTGCTCAGCCCTCAAGAGCACATCGTCGTCGAGCAAGCCGTTCACTCGATCGAGACAGGTAAGCTCAAAGCGTTTGAGATGACCACCGTCGAAGTCGACGTCTCCCTGACCGAGAGCCAGCACATGCTCGTTCGGCAAACGGTCAGCGAGATTCGAGCGAACGACCTCACGCTGCAAGCCCCTCAGACGGACAAGGCTAGCGATCGGCTCGAGATCGCTCAGCCAATAGAAATCGTCGAGTTGGTGACCGACTACGAAGTGGAGCAACTTCCCGACATAGAGGTCACCGAGGCTGTCGCCAAAACTAAAGAGCAGAAGGGTCGCAAGGAGAAGAAGGAACCCACGGTAACGATCGAGGAGGAAGAGGAGGAGTTGCCCACCGAGCAGTCCGCCGGTATCACGATCAAAAAAGTCGTGAAGAAGAAGAAATCCGTCCGTTTCGCTGACGTTGGTGAGGAAGAAGTCGAGGAGACCACCGAGGTTCTGCACACCTTCAGCCGAGAGAAGACTGGGCCGGTCATCGAAGAGGTGACCGACGAAGTCGTTGTTGGTCCTCAACCGGTTCCGATCGTCGAGGAGTTCGAAGACGAAAACGAGACTTCCATCGTGCTCGGACAGAAAGTCTCCGAATCGGCCCCGGTCGAACATACGTACGAGGTCACTCAGCCAGAAGACGAGGAGCCGACTCCTGAAATTCCGGTGCGCATAAGGAAAGAGGAGAAGAGAGACCTCCCGATCGAAGTAGAATCGGAGGGGGTCGAATTCAGCATCACGCAGAAGACTCCGATTGATATCACGGAAGAAACAGTGAAGGTCGAAGAAGACGTGGCGCACAGTGTCGTCATCTCCACCAGGAAGCAGGTGAAGAAGGGTTCGCGCCAGATCGTGCTCGAATCTCAGACGGCCGAGTTCGATATCACTCAGGAGAGCCATCAAGAGTTCGCCGTACAGTCGGGTGATGTCACGGAGCTCTACACTTCTGAGGAAGTCACCGTGAGCAAACGGATCAAGTCCGATAAAGTTGTTACGAAAGAAGCTCCCGTGGAGGACTCGAAGACAGAAATAACGCTCAAGCCGAAGTCCAAAAAGAAACCCGAAGAGGAGGCGAAGCCCGTGGAGGAAGAACAGCAACCCGAAGTCAGCATGGAGGTCACCGTGCGCAAGAAATCCAAAGACGAACATCCGGTCGAAGTGGAATCCCAAACAGCTGATTTCGAAGTAGTCCAGGAGATCAAGAAGGAAATCACGATCGAGACTGCCGGCACGGTGGAGAATCAGGCCGACGAGTTCACAACGATGGTCAAGCAGCCGAAGAAGAAGTCAATCCCAAGAGAGGAAGAAACCGCGACAGCTATTACTCTCAAGAGAAAACCATCCGCGCCCAAGATCGAGCAGGTCGTCGAGAGTGAAGAATCTCCCCAGATTGCCGCCGAAGTCGTGATCGCTCGCAAGAAGGAACCCGAGCGGCCAGTGACAGTCGAGTCGGAAGGAGCAGAGTTTAGTCTCACGCAACTGAAAGTGCATCAGATCGAAGAATCGTCGGGAGTTCACCGAGAATTCACCATCGAAGTCGCGAGTGAAACGGAGGATAAACCCTCCGATGCCGTTCTCAAACAGAAATTGCATGAGATCGAGATTGTTCAGGAGGATACTCCGAAGAAAGTGAAAGACGAAGAGGTGGAAAGTAAGATCACGCTCAAACCGAGGAAGACATCGATTCAGAAGGCACCCACAGTTCAGGACCAAAAAGAAGACGAGCCCGTCGTCGACGTAACCGTGAGGAGATCGAGTCGGAAAGAGGAGAAGCCGGTTGTGGAAGTATCTTCCCAATCGGTCGATGTTGTCGTCACGCAGGATATTCCTCACACCGTCACCATAAAAGAGAAATCGTTTGATTGGGAAACAAGCGCTGTGTCCGAAGAGCTCACGTACACATTCCAGCAGTACTCTTATGAGAAAACAACACAATCGGAAACGACTGCGGAAGTCTACAAAGAAATCGTTATCGGAAGACCGGAGGAGACCGAAGAGAAGCCTCTGGTGGCGAAGTTGAAGAAGAAAAAATCTATTCCGAAGGACGAGGAGACGACAGAGAAAATTTCCCTCAAACCGAAGCGAAAGTCGGTTTCGAAAGATACACCCAAACCGCGAGAGCAACCCGAAAGCGTTCAAGATGTGGAAATATCGCTTAGGAAGAAACCCGAGGGGAAACCGACTATCGACGTGGAGTCAGTGGGCGTCGAGGTCACCGTTGTACAAGAAAAACCTCAGGATGTTGTAATCCAGGAGGCGACATTCACAACACAGGATGTCGAGGTCACCGAAACGTCGGCTCTCGAAGCCACACTCAAGATCATTAAGGGGAAGAAGAAGTCGATCACTGAAGAATTGCCAAGTGTTACCGAGGAGAAACCGAAAGAGGCGACGCTGACTTTGAAACGGAAATCGATCCCGAAGGATACCGAAGTAACGCAAAAAGTTACGCTGAAACCAAAGAAGAAATCCGTATCCGAAGAGTCTAAGAAGCCGAAGGAAGATGTCGAGGTGACGAGCGACGTAATCGTCACCATGAAGAAGGAACAGCCTCAGGAGCAGCCGACGGTCGAGATCGAAGCTGCCGGGGTCGACGTCACTGTGGTCCAGAAACGTCCTCAGGAAGTGCACGTCGAGGAGAAAATCGTTCAGCGAGACACGGTCAGCGTGACAGAAGAAGCTCCCAAGGAAGCGACTCTGACCATCAAAAAGACTTCTGTCACAGAAGAGACCCCGAAGGTCAGCGAGGAGAAGCCACTCGAAGCGAAGGTCACGCTTAGGAAGAAATCTGTCCCGAAAGAAGAAGAAGTCACGCAGAAAGTCTCCTTGAAACCGAAGAAGAAGTCGATATCGAAAGAAGCTGAAAAGCCGAGAGATGACGTCACTGAAGACGTCACGGTGACGATGAAGCGAGACCAACCGAAAGAATCGCCGACGGTCGAGGTAGAGGCCGAGGGTACTCAGGTGACCGTGGTTCAGCCGAAGAGCCAAGACGTCAAAGTCGAGGAAACTGTCGTGAAGCAGGATAAGGTCTCTATAACGGAGGAGCAACCTCAGGAAGCCGTTCTCAGCATAAAAAAGAAGAAGAAGTCCATCCCGTCAAAGGAAGAAGAAATTACACAGGATATCAAATTGAAAGCCAAGCCTAAGCCTGTCGCAGAGAGACAGGAGGAGCCTCGAGACGTGACGGAGGACGTGACGGTCTCGATCAAGAAACAGCCAGAAGTTCAATCCGTAGTCGAAACACAAAGTGCGGGAACGGAGATAACTCTAGTCGGACCGAAACCTCAACCGGAGGTAGACGTCGCGGAAACTGTCTTCAAACAGGAGATCGTTGAGGTCACGGAAGAAACTGGTCAGCAAGCCACTCTGACATTGAGGAAGAAACTGTCGATTTCAGAAGAACGACCTCAGGTGTCCGAAGTGAAAGCCCTCGAGGCCACGATCGGTATCAAAGAAAAACCCAAGACCGAAGAGCAAACCACGAAAGTCACGCTCAAGCCGAAGAGGAAATCTGTCAGCGCCGAAGCGCAGAAACCAGAAGACGTGACGCAGGACATCTCTATCACACTGAAGGAGGACGCCAAGCCCACTCAGGTCGTGGAGGTCGATTCGGCCGGTGTCGAGATGACGGTTCTTCAGAAGGTATCCGATATCTCTGTAAGCGAGGATGTCGTACTGAAACAAGAGGTCAAGGTCACGGAAGAAACGGTTCAGGAAGCGACCCTGACCGTGAAGAAGGAGTCGGTCCTGATCACCGAGGAGAAGCCGAAGGAGGCGACTTTAAAAATCAAAAAGAAGCCATCCATTAGCGAAGAAACCCCCAAGGTATCCGAAGAAAAGCCGAAGGAAGCGGTCCTGACGGCCAAGAAAAAGAAATCAATCACCGAGGAGATGCCGATAGTGACCGAGGAGAAGCCTCTCGAAGCGACCCTGAAACTGAAGAAGAAGAAGTCCATCGCTGAGGAGACACCTCGGGTAGAGGAGACGAAACCGGTTCAAGCCGAAGTGAGCCTCAAGAAGAAGTTGAAGCCCAAGGTGGCTACCGACACCCAAGAAGAGTTCACGGCCGTCATCAAGAAGAAAGACGATATGGAGGCGGAACTGGTTCTGGAACAGGATGAATTCACTTCGGAGGATATCGACATCGAAGTCACTCTCGAGTCCGCTCCTCAGAAACCCGTCGAAGAAGAATCGGGCGAGGACGAATTGTCTATCACAAAGGAACAAGATCAGGGACCCGCGAAAACCAAACCCAAAGTTATCAGAAAACTTCCCGAAGAAACTGTCGTGCGAAAATACCGACGAAGACCCGACACGATCCGCGAGGAGGATGAGGTCTACAGCGATGAAGAGTTTAGCGAGGGCGAAGACGACCAGGGTGAGGAGTTCGAGAGCGAGGACACTTGCGTAGTACCACTAAAGAGATCAGGGAAGAAAAAGAAGCCGCTCGAAGAGCAGCCCGAAGAGGAGGAAATCATTGAATTGGCCATCGATTCGACGACAATCGGTGACGAGGCAGATATCGTCAATCTCCAATTGCAAGTGAAAAAGCCCGGCTCTGAAGAAACTCAAGCGTTGGAAGTTGTAATGAAGAAGCCCAAAGCTGAAGGTAAATATATATTAATGTTGTCCATCTGTCCGCTTCGATGTCATCGCCGCTTCTGTGTACATGTCTCGCAAAACGTGTTGCATGGCTTTCGTGACGTTGCACTACTCCGTTCGCAGACCGCTTAGGTAGACACTGCGATTAATAGCAATCGACCAGAAAGGTAAGCCGCTACCCGCATTAGCTCGAAAGTAGTATTTTCAAACAACTGAACCGAGTCGTATTCTTGTAGAAGCTCCTGAGACATCGCTCCGAATCAAGAAGAAGCAACCCGTCAAGCCGGTCGAGGAGACGGAAGAAAGCGCCGAGATTAGAATCGTCAGGAAACCCGAGAAACCCCAGGAAACGTCCGAAGAAACGATCGAGGAAGTCGTGAAACTTCAACCGAAACCCAAACCCGAAGAGCCAACATCGGAAGAGATCGCCGTTGACCTCAAGATTGAGAAACCGGTAGAGGACTTGGAAGACGCCCCGGCTGTCGCTTTCAAATTGACGAAGGCTCAGAAAATCGAAGAGACCCCTGACACAGCCGAAGCTGACGTCAGCGTCACCCTGCAGAGGAAGGAGGAGAAACCCGAGAAGCCGACCGACGAAGTGGCCGAAGAGGTTTCTCTCCTGATCGCCGAGGAGAAGCCCAAGGTCACTCAGGACGAGCAGGTGGAGCTCAAAATCCGTAAACCTGTCGTGGTCGAAGAGAAGCCTCAAGAAGTTACGCTGAAAAGACGTAAGTCCTCAGCTAAACCCGTCCCGGTCGAGGAGCCCACCGAAGTCTCTCTCAAGATCGTGAGGCAGCCGGAAGCGGAAATCAAGCTGCCCGAAGAGACCGAAGAGGTTTCGATAACCGTCGCAAGCAAACCACTCACTGAGCCGGTTGTCGAAGAAACAGTCCAAGAGGAGGTCGTCACCATTCCCCAAGAGGTAGCGGTGCGTGAAGTTAAAGAGGAAGCTGCAGATGAAATCACAATCAAGAAACGGGTCGTGATCGAGGAAAAAGAGGAGGAGAAGGAGCAGCAACAACAAGAAGAGAAAGTGACCATTGGGAAGAAGAAACGAAAACCATCGCAGGAGGAGGTGAAATTCGAGCTGAAGAAGAAACCCGAGGAGAAAACGGAAGAGGTCACGGTCGAGATCCAAGAGGAGAAGAAGCCTGAGAAAGTCACGGAGGAGCACGCTGACGAGCTGACGATCAAGAAAGAGGTCGAAGTCATTCGTGAACACGTCCTCGAGGTCAACGAAGACGTTGTCATCGTAGAACAACAAGGTGAGGTCTTCGTTGAGCAATTCGTGACGTCCGACGAGGCCGCTCGAACGGTGAGCCTCAAGAGGAAACCGAAGATCGTACCGGAACCTGAAGAGGAAACTGAAACGAAGCTCGAGTTGAAACCCAAGACTGAGCCCGTGACGGAATCCTCCGAAACAGCTGCAACCGTTCAGCTTCCGACACCGGTACCGAAAGAGGAGATCGTCGAGGCCGCAGAAGAGCTGACAATCAAGAAAGAGTTCGTTATCAGAGAAGAAGGTGAAGAGAAAGTTTCGCTGAAACGGAAGAAGAAGCCGTCTATCACCACCGAGACGGTTCGCGCGGACGAAACCACCCCAGCTTCGGAGGCCACGTTCAGCATTGACAAGAAACCCGAGCCCGAACAACCGAAGTCGGAAGATGCTGAAGAATCAATCGTACTCACCAAGAAGGAGGTAAGCCTGTCACGTAAAACTGCCAGTAGATGAAGTAGCGCCCGGTCACGGAATACGGGATGCGTTTTCTTTTTCCTTCACGAGAATAAATTGTTTTCCGTCTCCAGACGCCGAAACCGAAAGTCGTTCATGAAGATACCGCGGAAACTGAACTCATTCTCAAGAGGGAGGAGCCTGTGCCGGTGACTGAGGAAGCCGCGGACGAGATCACAGTCAAGAAGGTCGTCCAGGTCGAAGACGAGGAAGAGGCGCAACAAATGAAATTCGCTCTGAAGAAGAAGAAACCCAGTGTAACTCCGGAAGCCGAGTTCAAGCTCCGCAAGGAGCCTGAACACGAAGACCAACCCCAGGACACGGAGGAATCCTTCCAGATGAACGTGAAACCGAAAGAGAAACCCACGAAGCCCGCCGAAACCACGTTCGAGATTGGAGAAGCTACGATCGACGTCACCGAAGGGACAGTCGAGAAGCGTTACGAGTTGCGATTCGAAGAAGATTCCGATGAGATGAAAGTTGTCATCAAAGAGGCAATTACAGAAGAGAGATCCGAGGAGATCATCGAGGAATTCTATTTCATCGCGACGACCACCTACATTTCCGAGAGTCCCGACGGCATGACGATTGTGGAAGGTGAAAGAGTTCAAGTCGTTGAGAAAGTTTCCCATGATCATTGGCTCGTGAAGAAGGTCATCACCAAGGAATCTGGACTTGTACCACCTGATATCCTCAAAGAAGCAGAGGAGTACACCCAATATCTTCAGGAAGTTCTCGGCGATAAGATCCAGCGGCTTCCTGTTTACGGTCGTAAGTTGATCAGCCGCTCATTCTTTCCAGATTTCCTCTGGGGAATCGATTTACAGATTGAAATTAAAGAAACTCAACCCTTCGGATTTCTTAAAAATATTTTGACATCGCTTTCAGGGGTACGGGACGGAGACGAGCCAACAGCTCCGCGGTTCGTACGGCCTCTGCAGCCCTTGACAGTCGTCGACGGCCAGCCGGTGACTATGCTCGCGCAAGTTACCGGAAACCCGAGGCCAACGATCACTTGGTTCAAACAGACGCAGATCCTGAAGAACACGGAGGAGTTCACCATCTATTACGACGAATCAAACGTGACAACCCTGTACATAAAGGAATCGTTCCCTGAAGACTCGGGAACCTACACCGTGGTTGCTAAGAACCTCGCCGGATTCACATCTTGCTCGGCCGAGCTAACCGTGGAAGCGCCCTTCTCCGATCACGGCACCGACTCGGCCCCAACTTCGCGATTCACGCTTTCGAGGACACCTTCCGTGGTGTCGATGTTCGACGCGATACCCCCTGTTTTCGCTCACCCACCGGAAAACCGCGTCGTCGAAGAAGGAGACGAGCTCACGATCGTATGCGTCGTCTCCGCCGCACCGGAACCGAAGGTCACTCTCTGCAAGAACGGTCGGCCGGTCAAGCTCGATAGACGCATAAGCCAGCAGATCGAACAAATCGACGATATGTTCCGGATAGTGATCAAGATCAAAGAGACTGTTGTCGAAGACAGCGACAGCTACGACCTGGTCGCTCAGAACAGCGAGGGAACTGTCCACGCTCGATTCACTCTGACCATCCAAGAGAAACCGAAAGACACGGACGAAGAGCCCAAGTTCACCCAGACCTTCCCCGACCAGGTCATCATGGAAGGAGACACACTGAGACTGGTCGTCAAGGTCACCGGAAAACCATCGCCGGAGGTCGAGTGGTACTGCGACGAAACCATCATCAAGGAAACCAAGACCACCAAAATCACCGAGGAGAACGGGGTCTTCATTCTCGAAACGAAAAAGACAACTCAGAAACAGACTGGAACCTACAAGGTGGTCGCGAAGAACGAATACGGATCTACAACGTCGTCAGCTAAAATCACCATTCAGAGTGAGTAAATTCATAGAATAAATAAATCCAAAACTTCGGCAATGCGCCCAGTACCTTGTGAAGGGTGGCTAGAAGCTTCGATTCTCACCGATTATTATCTGAACCGGATGCCCATATGTCCCCGTGCGTCGTATCTGACTCGGGAATTCCACTTTCGTTCCAGAACGTACGATCACATTCATTGAGAAGATACAAGACGTGGAAGTATCCGAAGACACGGTTGCCATGTTCGTCTGTAAGATCAGCGACGAGAACGCCGAAGTCACCTGGCATAAAGACGGAGAGAAGATCGTGGAGTCGGAGAAATATACTTTCATCAAGGAGAACGCGTACCGGAAGCTGGTCATAAACGACACGACCGTTCGAGACGACGGAGAATACACCGTGGTTCTCGGAGAACAGGAATGTACGGCTGATCTGGTCGTCACCGAACTGCCCCCGAGAATCGTATCGAAAATGTCCGATATGACCGTAGCGGAGAACGAAGAAGCTTGGTTCCAAGTGGAGCTGACCAAAGGAGACGCTTGGGTCCGCTGGTACAAGGGTGGGAAAGAGATCAAATTCACAGAGAAGACTCTTGTCACAATCGACGGCAAGCGACAGCGGCTTGTCATCAAAAAAGCCTCATACAACGACGCAGGAGTCTACACGTGCGCCGTCGGGGACCAGTCTTGCAAGGCTCGTCTCAAGGTTGAACGTGAGTAGTTCGCTGAGCAGAATTAACGATATTCCGCAGCTCCGCTTTCGGTGGACGAGACCCCGAGTCCCTCTCTGTGTAACTTTGTAATTGTCCCTTGCAGCTCCATCGGTAGAGTTCCGTGCTCGACTTCCGGACACCACCTACGTTCCGGAAGACACCGACGCGGAATTTACGGTCTCTCTGACGTCTCCGGACGTTGAAGTCATCTGGATGAGGGACGGAGTCCCCATCCCGATGGATGAGCGCTTCCGTTTCGTAAAAGAGGGAGAGTTCGTACGAAAACTGGTCGTTTGTCACGTGGACAAGGACGACGTCGCCGAATACACTTGCGTGGCCGGAAACGTCAGAACCACGACGAAGCTTCAGGTCGAAGACGCTCAGACCGAGTTCACGCTCAAGCTGAGGGACATCGTCGTTCGTGAGAGCGATACCGTCACTCTGCTGGTCGAAGTCAATCGCGAAACGATGGAAGTTCACTGGAAGAAGGACGATGAGGAAGTCGAACCCTCGGAGAAAATGATAATCACAACCGAAGGGAAGAACCGAAAACTCATCATCAAAGACGCTGCCGATAGCGATCAAGGTATCTACTCGTGTGTTGTCAAGGACAAAAAGTGCTCCTCGACGGTCAAGGTCGAATGTCCTCCAAAAATCCGCACCGATCAACGAATTTTCACCGCGCGGCGGGGCGATAAACTCGAGCTGGAAGTGCCGTTCACGGCCATTCCGGATCCGGACATCCTCTGGACACAGAACGGAAAACTCGTCATGAGCTCGTCGTCCGTGAAAGTGAACAACGAGACGCAGACCACGACGCTCGTTTTCCCCAAGATCGAGAAGAATCAAGTTGGCGTCTATCATCTCCGACTCAAGAACAAGTGGGGAGAATGCAGTCAAGACTTCGTCGTCGTCGTCCTTGATCGACCCGAACCACCCCAGGAGCCGAAGGCGTCCGATATCGGTTCGGACTCGCTGACCCTCAGCTGGAAGCCTCCCAAGAGCGACGGAGGAGCTCCGGTGCGCGGCTACAGCATCGAATTCCACGACCGCAACACCGCGAAGTGGATTCCGTACAAAACGAGGAAACCCACTTCGGAAACTTTCGTTCGGATTCAAGGTCTTAACGAGGGTCATGACTACACGTTCCGCGTGATAGCCGAGAACGATGTCGGCAGGAGCGAGCCGTCCGAAGCGAGCGAATACGTCGAAACTCGGGATAACGCCGGGGACGCTCCGGCGGTCCTCGAGCAGCTCCCCAACGAAACAGCCTCGAAACGAGGAGCGGATTCCGTTCTCCTGTGCAGGGTTTCCGGGGAACCTCAGCCGGATATCGAATGGTTCAAGGACAACAAACCCCTGAAGTTGACACCGAAGATGCAGGTCACCTTCCAGGACCATGTCGCTCTGCTGACAATCACTGACGTTACCGAGCAGGACGCCGGATCGTACACTTGCAAAGCGACAAACAAGTTCGGCGAGGCGCAAACATCCGGAGCCTTGGCCATCAAAGGTACGTATTCCTCTCGCGACTCCGCCAGTCCGACTGGAGTCCTTCTCCCCTTTTCATGACATATATCAAAGGGAGAAAACGGAATCCTGTGTGGAGCAATTCAGTCGTTGCGTCGCGACGTAACGTAGTTCAATATTTTACCCACAGAAAAACCTTATGCCGAGTTCGACGCGAACATGAAATCCGTCCGGGTCCAGAAGGGTAAGGAGCACCTGATCCCTGTCAAGATCTTCGGCTTCCCGGCGCCGCAGAGCACTTGGTATAAGAACGGCAGTCCTCTCAAATCGGGATCCAAACTGTTGATATCGAGCACCGAGAAATCGTCGACGCTCATCGTCAAGGGCCTCGTCCCCGACGATACGGGAACGTACACGCTGAAGCTCGCAAACACCGCCGGTGAAGCTTCGTATGACTTCAAACTCCGCATTCTCGATCGACCAGGACCGCCCGAGCCCCCGATCACGTTCAGTGACGTGAACAGGAACTCCATAACAATCTGTTGGAATCCTCCGACAGACAACGGCGGTTCGGATATAACGAAATACGTCATCGAAAGATGTGAGGTCTCATCGCAAATTTTCGTCGAGATCGCGCAAACTGTGGCTACCGCGTTCCGATACGTCGATCAAAATGTCACGGAGAACTGCGAATACGTATATCGTGTTTGCGCCGTGAACGCCAACGGAACCGGCGAGCCAGCTGAGTCGACCCCGATAGTTGCTCGAGCCTCGTACGGTAAACCTTCAGCACCGCAGAAACCCATAACAATCAGAGACGTGAAGGATACGTCATTCACGTTAGGATGGTGCCCCCCGGAAACGGACGGTGGATCGCCGATACTGGACTACACGATCGAAAAGCGAGAAAGCTCGAAGAAAGCGTGGCAGCCGGCGGGGACCTGTGCACCGAACTGTTTCAGTATTCTTGTATCTAGCCTCAAGAAGGGTACGGCCTACCACTTCAGAATTACGTGCAGGAACGAATTCGGGTCTAGTCCTCCTCTGGCGACCGATGAAGCGATCATCGCAGGACACGTCATCCGTACGTATCGACTTTTTCTGTATATCGGAACTTTGCGGGGTGGCTGCACACTATGTGCTCTGTTACATTATTTGATTCCTAATGGAATTTGACGCTCCGCTTTCAGGACCACCTACCCCGCCCGAAGGACCGCTCGAAGCCAATGATATCACGAACAAAACGTGCACCTTGTCGTGGCGCCCCCCGAAAGACAACGGCGGAGCAGAGCTGACCGCGTACGTCATTTGGAAGAAAGAACACTCGTCGACTTCTTGGACGCGCGTGATGACAATTGATGCCAATCGGACCACTTGTCTCGTGCAGCACCTGAGCGATAAGTTCACGTATACGTTCCGCGTGTGCGCGGAAAATATTTCCGGAAGTTCCGACTATTTGGAATCTGCCGAGGCGGTGAAACTGAAAGCGGCGGCGGATCGTCCGACTCCGCCGACGGCCCCATTAGAGTACTGTGTCACCGGACCTACGTCGATGGATATCGAATGGGGCCGTCCCGAATCGGACGGAGGCTCCCCGCTGACAGGGTACATCGTTGCCATCAAAGATATACGCAGACGTATGTGGATGGAAGTCGCTCAAGTCGATGCGGAAACACATCGACTCCACGTCAGGGAACTGCAGGAGCATCGAGAGTACCTCGTGAGGGTGTTCGCGCGCAACGAAATCGGACTCAGCGATCCTCTCGAGATGGACGAGTCCGTCAAGATCACCAGGCCCGAAGGTTTCACCGGAGAAGAACAGCAGGGCGATGATAAAACGCCATCCGCGAGCTTCACGACCGAGACCTCGAGTTCGTGGATCCGGGACCACAACGTTGAACCGCTGCTCCGCTCGTACACGAAACACAAGCTGAAGCAGCGACACGAATATTTCTTCAAGTTGTCGCACTACTCCGAAGACTTGTTTAAAGAGTGAACTGAGTACGATTTTTTCTCCTGAACGACCTGCGAACGCGGAGTTCTGCGGGTCGCTCGCTGTGTCGCTTCTCTGTCCCGCAATCGAGAGCAACTTGAGATGCGAGCGGGATGCGTTCACATCGCGCATAGGTATACACGACGCCTAATCTTCATTTGACGAAGGCGAAATCTCCAAATTTCCGAAATGCAAATGTTGTTATGGACATAAGAAACGCTGGGAGAACAAAGGCATTACGAGTTAGGGAACTTGTAAATATATTAATTAAATCATATGTCGACGGAAGCGAACGATTTGCTTCAGAATCGAACCCATTGCAATCCTCAACGCCTAAAGCGTGCAAGGTTTCGATTCTCAAGGAAATCGGCTCGCCTCCATCTGGGATTATAATAAATGTGGAATTTCAATAGATTATGCTCCCTTTCTCTGCAATTATCGGCTCCTTATAGAAGGTACTCCTAATCCGACTTCTTTGAAGGAGGCACTGCGGCTGAATCCGCTCCGCGCATGACGTATGGTTTCCTGATTACGATAAAGGGTCGTCGACGGCTTCCCACTATCCCCCCTCGAATCGAGCAGTCGAGAGCGTTCTGGACGCCTTGCAGCTCGTAAATCGTGTGATCTACTATATAGCAACATGAACTTTGGCCGTTTCCAGACCTCCGGATTCCGACGAACATGTGTATACCCAACGGACCTTGATAAATCGATGGGTCCGAGAGCGATTCCTGGACTCCACATGGGGTCACATGTGGCGATGGGCGAGCGATGCGAGCTTCTGCATCTGCGGTCCTCCAGCATCATTCTAATAATACACGCGTAGAAGCGCAATCCTCTTTTCCAAGGTCGGAACGTCGCTTGGATGATCTTTCGGTTATTTTGCTTTCCCCGCCTTCTGGGTTCAGCGTTGCGGAGACGCGCCATCAAGTTAAGCATGTATGTACATAAACGGAACCGTTCAGCGCCCCCCCCCATTTCCCCCTTGCCCCCGCTCTCAAATCCTCGGTGAAGCGTCAGAATGACGTATGATCCACCTCCGATTGCCTAATCTCGAGGCACTTGGAGGAATGCGTAGAGCTGACCCTGGTCGTATCGCATGAACTTCTCATATTGATTCTTGGTCTGCGGTCACGTTTCCTATTATCTCCGTCTAACTCCCCTTTCCAAGCTCTTCCGGTATGGCGATCCTCGTCTATCAAGGTGTTCTGTTGAGCCTTCCGCTCACAAAGCCCTCTCAGCATTGTTCGCGTTCAAAATAAAGTCTGCAAGTGATCGATTTACTCACTCGGTGGAAAATAAGAATCGACTCCCAGCAATCTATCGATTGTGTCTGGCGCCTCGAGTCTCCAATGACTCAACGGCGCAGAGCGTAGAATGGGTCAATTATTAAGCGGTTTCTCGCAAGATGGATCAGGCAGAAGGCGCGGAAGCGCTTGCCGAGTCAGTAGGGTCTCGCTTGACCTGGGTGCTTGACTATCACGTGATCGTCGCAGAAAAGCAATCCATATCGCAAGGCTGATAGTTGCGCTCAGTTGATGATCTCGAACCCTTCAAGGGATAGCGGTTATCGGGAGATTATGGATAGACAGATAATAGATGATTCATGGGACGCTTCTAAAAGCTCCTTCCTCGAGAAATCGGCTATTTAAAACATGTCTGTGCTTGGTGCTCCCCGACGGTGACGAAGAGTACAGGGTCCTTCCGGAAGGCGAACAGAAGTTGATGGTATGATGGAACGCTCGATTCCGAGAAATATTGACCGAGTGTAGTGTTCGCGTCGAATCATAACCGAGAGAGTCTCCCAGAGTCGCGGCTCCTTGTTCAGTGACCCGCTTGGAGAATCCTCTCGATGGTGGATTTCTGTGAAGAGAAAGAGGCAGATAAGTCTCCAGTCATGTATCCCTGTGAATTTTTGACTGAAGGTCATGAAAGTTCATGGCAAGATCCTACAGACTGATGACCGGCCCCTCTCGCTCTCGCGGTTCGCGGTCCACCGAGGTCATGTCGACGGAGCCCGCGAGCTTCCGAGCAACGGGTGCTCTGTTCTGACCAGGGAAGCGGAAACGAGGGTCGAGGACTCGTCGGGAATGTCACCTCGATTATCTTGATGAAGCTGGACTTTCTTCTCTGAAATCATGCGGGAAGAGATGCCACGAAAAGAAGAGTTCTCACAATACTTGGAGGTCCCGGGATTTGAAACGTGAACAATATTAGAGAGTCGACACGCGCAGCTTCCTGCGATGACCGTCTGGGAATGGCGGAAATTCCATAGAGTCAGTGGAATTTTTCTGCTTTCTGTGACGTCAAGATGTCGCTTATCCGCGGCTTTGGATTCCAGATTTGCTACCACCTGTCGGAGTGCTGCGTGCATATCGATTGGGGTTCATTGTCGATTCTTGATGGCTGTGACAGCTGAAAAGATCTTTTCGCTGAGGAATGTTGCTGAAAATAGAATCGAAATCTCCATCGCTTCGAAGTTTAGTGTTGAATATCCGGTTTCGATTCCAAGCCAAGAGAAAGCTCGTGACCGAGAAGCTTTTACCTCAGACTGGCTCCCGAGGGTCTGCGGACCGTTGGTGGTCCCCAGGCCGAGAACAAGTTCGAGGTTCTCACGCTCGGATCTCCACCAGCCCCGTCAGAGAGCTACAGTGCGAATTCACGTGACTTATGCAGAGGATACAAGAAAGAAATTCCGGTTCATCAAGCTGACTTCGTTCATCGAGGGAAATCTCATCGAGAAACAGACTCAAGCCACTAGAACACCGCTTCCCACTCGGATGGTACTCGCCACTCTCTCAGTCCTCCATCGAGTCTTTCCATCTACTTCCGGGGAACTCGGGAGTCACTTGGGCCGGAAGGAACTAGATACCGAGAGCTCCCCGAGCACTCTTCAGACACCCCGGGGAAGGGGTGCGGGCTTTCCGTGGCAGGCAGCCCGCCAATCAGGCTTGATTGCCTCTGTTTGTTCCGTCGATTTTCGCGGCTATCTAGTGACAGTACTCCTCGGACCGACCAATCACGGTACCCTCTGATGATTTCCCCACATGGAATGGACTCCAGAGATGACCGATTAGAAACTCAAAACAGTTCATTGAGTAAAAACAGAGCAACGACGCTCGGCAATCTCTGGAGTCGTCCAAAATGATTCCGTGATTGAAGTAAAGTAAAGGAAAGGAGATCGCGAAGGAAGTAAAGGCGTAAAGGGAATCGCACAGAGACCGCATATCCTCTATGGAATGATAGATCGGAGATTTTCCCTCATCCCGCATACGGCTCCACGAAGGTGCAGCGACTGATACGGAATCTTTGGGTTAGAAAGAATGCGTCTTAAGCTCGAGTCAGGTGTCCTCTATTCGAGCAGATTTCATGTAGCTCCCTGGGCTATTATTCTCTTAATCGACTTGGTACTGATTCTGTTCCGTGAAACTATCGGTCAACCTTGTGCTCGGAGCACCCTAAGGTTCGGCGTTTAAGGGATGTATCGGATGAGGAAGCTTTCCACTGGAGTCAAAGAGAAAGGATTTCCCCTAGATATATGGAGCCTTTGGCTTCTGATGGACTTCATGTTCAAAGGGAGTTTGTTTCTCATGGTTTCCATTGGAAAGGTTCCTCATCTGTACCGTCCCTCAAACGCGGGACATGAACGTACTTCTCGAAACTTGAAGCACGATGTTCGAACAAGGTCATCCATGTCGACGACCGAAACTCCATTTGATCGCATACCAACGAGAAATACTCTTCAATCACCGTATGAGCGGGCACCGATCCTGCGCGGCTCTCTGACCCTCTTCGTCACCCTCGCATTCACGAAAGGATCGAGCAAGCGGGCAGTGTAAGGCCTTTCCGAAAATACGCTCAATAAGTGCTCGTCCTTCGATTGGACGTTCCTCACGATTGCAGACGAGAAGGAATCCTGTAACAGACCGTCTTCCGGGGAAATCCCAAAAATCAGTGCAAATTATTCAAAGAGCATGAACCGCAGCAGGCGGAAAAGCTCTGGCTATGATAGCTATTTTTTGACAAAATAGCGTCGCAAGGAGTTGACTTCTCGCAGACCGACGTAGCGTCATAATCTCCCTCATTGGCCGCTATCAAGATAGAGCCGACCGCTCTCCGTTTGGAGCAGCCCCGCTTTGTACCGGGCTAACGGCAACCAACACACGCCATTTAGCTTTACTGTTGCGGCAGCTAGGTGAGAGATCTACTCGAGTCTGCTGTTGGTGAACTTTGTCCCGAAGCCCCCGATCCAAAGGATAGCTTCGAATTTACAATGACCCATTCTACGATGAGTGGCTTGAGGTGATCTGAGAGCAGAATAAAGGCATCCTCATTTGAGCGCAGACGTAAGAGAGCTGAAAGGATACGTGACAAGTTGTGTTCGTGAGTTTTAACCTTCGGAAGGGCGACTATGGTAAGTCAAGTTTTCCAACCTGTCAAGGAGGTTCTCCTCTTGAGAATGAAAGAGTCATTTCGTTGAAGTGCAAACCGGGATTCGAATCGCCATCAGATTGACTCGAATCGGCGCGGCGGGAAGCATCTGAAGACGAGCTGATTCGGTGAACCTAGTGATGAGCGGGGGCATTCATCTCCAAAGAGAAAACTCTCTTCCGGTCGCATACAATACGTTGCAGAGTGACGAGCATCAAAACGCCGCTCGCGAAAAACCGTGTGTGAGAGGACTCTCCAACCCTGAGCACTCTTGACGCCCCCGGCATAAATAACAACGTTCGCACTGTACCCCCAGCGATAATCGAAATGAATTCGCTCATTTTCGCATCGAAAGCTCTTCCCGTCGGCCATCTGGCCGAAGGCGTCATTGATTTTGTCATTCTGCGCGCGGATCATATTGCATCATGCGAGCGGTCAAGATCGAAGTTCGGCGTTCAGCGGCACGGAATGCCCGAGCGCGCTTCGAGAGTCATAAATTGGTGGCAGAAAAGGCCAACTTTTAAACGAGCCTGAGGCGTCGTTTCCGCACTGGGCGCCCGGGCCCCGCCATGGCCTAGATTCAGAAAGAGTGGAATATGTATCCGGATATAACATCGCATTGCACTAGATCGAGGACGACTCAATAGCTGCATTTAGGTAGGTGCAACTTGCACAGCGAAGCTGAGCAAGTCTCGAGTTTTCCGAAAAACACGAATAGGGCATCGATCGGCGATCACCTCGGGAGATTTTGCCCAGCTGTCTTGGAGCCTCTGATCGATTCGTGGGCGAGAGCGGGTTCCTGGAACGAACCCCCAATCGGCAGCAGAGCGCCTTGGTGTGTTCAATGAGCGGAGCTGGAACGGGACGACGGTGGGTCCATGATTATTCCGTGCGACCTCAGTCCACTCTCGCCCACCATTCCCATCTGCGGGATTCGTCGGACCGGATATTTAGAAAACGGCTCAAGTATGTAGGAGGAACCTATAAGCCTTGACTCGCAATTCACACAGAGGCTACTTGTGACGCTCGTTTTGCTCAGGGAAGAGACCCGGACCCGGATAACAGACTTCAGAAGACAACGTTATAACAATGGAGATTGGGGAGAGACCCGGATAAGAGACTTTAGAAGGCAACTTTACAACAATGAAGATTTACATGCGTACAATAATATGTCGAGTGAATGATACCTCGAGAGTCGAGGGAAGATCTTCAGTTTTTTGGGTTTTTATCGTCGGTGTTGACGATCATACGTTTCCGACCGTTAGTTTTTAATCTCATCGACATCTATCTTCCTCGGCCAGAGGACGCATCGTCTGACTCTCTCGCTATAAATGTCCTGTTATCGTCTAGTGATGTTTTGATTATATTTCTCATTTGACGACAGGGATATTGAAGCGGGAACAAACTCTGATTCGAGACCGATATCATTCCAAATTCGCTATTGAGTAGATCATCATGATGTCGGTTTTGTTTTTGATTTCGATTCTACATCCTGTAGGCGGAATTTGATCGAACTATCGGGCCCGACAGGGATCAAGAGATCCCCATATCGGCTTGACTTCCTTACAATGCAAGGGGCGCCATATTTTGAAGAGATCTCCAACCTGCCGGAACAAAGGCCTCGTGAATCGACCTGTCGTAACAGGCGTCTCCAACTGAGCTCGCAAGCACCCTCTAAGCGATAATGGATAAGAGCTCTGATTTTTTGAGTCTCCATTCGGGTAAAGATTCGCACCCCAATTCGAACGGATCCCGTCTTGGTGCGTAGGTCGAAGTTTCCGGTCCGGTGAAGTTTTCCGTGATCCTCGGCTTCTTTCTGAGGCTTCGAACGTTCGGGATATACCTCTCTCACGGTATCTTCGCGCTAAGCGCCAGAAATACTCAGTCTCAGCACTCAGCACTCGAAGCACTGGGACTCAATCCAAGGATCGGGGTCATCAAAGCGCTCGAATCGGGGAGACCAACGTCGGCGTCGCTGCGCTCCAAAAGGTTCAAGGGCATTGCCATCTGGATTCGCCGACCAAACTGTTCGGACGACTCGATCTTCTTCGGTATTCGATTCGGGAGCTATATTCTACCCTCAGATGCACGAGCTAAATGGAGCGAGTGAACGCGCAATCTTCATGGATGATGAATTCACCTACTTCGTCTCATGGGAGCCATGAGGTCTCGACAAATCCTTGGCGATTGTTCTCTGACTCGTGAACGATGCGACCACCTGATCGCTACAGGGAGCAGGATCTTCCTAATTTTATCAAATGTCCATGAATGAAGTTCCATCGTTCTGACTTGTAGGTCTGGCGAGGGAAAAGGAAGCCGCCGATCGCCTCCGCGGTCTCTTTGAGTGGATCTGCGCGAAGACAAACATGTATGTGCGGTTTGAGTCAAGTTCCCACGAATCGAGTCGCCAACTCCGTATCTCAACGCTAGCAACAGAATTTCGCATAAGAATCAATTGCCGACGACGACCACAGATCTCAGTCAGACCGACGCGGCGATCGTGGCTAAAGACGGCAAACCGACCACGGAGCACGTCCCGGGCGCGGAAGGAGAGGAAATGTCATTCATAAGCTACGGAACATTCAGTGTTGACGATTCGAGCAGCGGCTGAGAGCTCGATTCTCCTGACTCCTGACTACTCAGGCTCATATGACGTGTGACACGGTAACGAACGGCGCAAGTTCCTGCGAGTGGCACAGTTTCCCTATTCATCCTTTCCTGCTTGATAATTCCGTTCGTCCTCTTTCCCTCAAACGGCTGGTCGCCGCTGCCGCCGTCACTCGTCACCGCCGTCTGGTCGTCGTCGAGCCGCCGGCTCTTCGTCGTCATCGTCGCGCTAGTTCTTAATCTCATCTAGAAGCATCTGCGCACTTGGATGCGGAATTTCAAAATTTCGCGCCGCAGATCCCTCTCTCAACCTTGCTGTTCCGGCTGAATCGGCTCCCGGGTGCCAGTGACTGTTGCAAACGTAAACTGAATTTCGGGAAGAAAGAAACTCCTGTGCGAGTGTATGTTCGGCGTTCCGTGTCTTCTTCTTGGAATTGTTGAGTCTGGAAAGGGCTCCTCAGCGTTCAGTGCAGTCCGGAACCAAAGAGAAAGCGTGTCTGGCCTTCGAACGATTGTATATCCAGAGTAGCTGCACAGCGAACCGAAGTAGCTGCTGCGGGGCCGGTCGCTGTGCCTCCAAAGCTATGGAATGATTCTCCGATTCCAAAGTTGAGCACGGGTTCCCTGTCGAATCTCTCTGCTCGTCGCAGGCGAAAACACCCGAAGACGACTATCATCGACGACTGCGGTGTGTGTTCGAGTGTGTGAATCATCTGTGCGGGAAAACAACACGAGAAGCGAACGAGGCAACGAACGACTCAGCCGGAGATGTACCACGTATCTATTGGGCTTCTTCGAAAGAAACCCTTTTTGCATTCGCACCTTCTGCAACTTCTGTTGGCCGTTGGACTTCTTCGCTGGTCGGCTCCGCCAGAACCATGGTCCCCCCTGTACATAAGCAACAACCCATCGAGCGGGAGCCTCGACGCGTTACAGTTGGCCCCTTGGGAGACGTATGCACCTCAGGCGTCGCTCATCCACCCGAAAGCTCTGCGGCACGACGATGGCTACTTCGACCTGTTGGAGACCTTTTGCGATTATGACAGGTTAGCCAGGGCGGCCTCAAGAGGTCCTCTGATCGCGTATCTTGCGGAGGACGGTGCGCCATCCAGAGCTCCTCACGCATCCACGGGCTCCACCGCTCTCGAAGAGTGTCAAGCCGAGACTCTCAGTAGAGAAGTAAGTTTCGAAGAATTGGCGCGAGAGAATATTTTGAAAAGAAAACTGTACAGAATCGTTATTCTAGGTTGGGGAATATATCTTGAATTCGCTCTGTGCCGGGTGGAATATCGTGCAGCGAGCCTCAAGTAGCTCTGGTGTTTGTGTGCGTCGTACACATGATCTATCAGTTGCGCTTTCGATCGTCGTACATGCACGTTTGTGATAGGTATCTCTGGAGGTCGTCCATCGATTGACAGACGCCGGCGATCTATGTTAATACACTGTATTGACTATCCATCCGGTATGAAACTACTCTGCACACAGTTTTGTCAGTTTTGTGCGTGGTGGCGGTGTCTTGAACGACATTCGGTGAGCCCCAAACCACCGAAGAAGATCTTCTCTTTTGACAGAGAGGTGGGTGAACTATTATTCTTCAGCTGTCAATTCTATTCCGTCTCGTACTTCCTCGGACGTCGCTGTAGCGGGTCGGAGTATTTTCTCCGTCCGAACAAGGATCTGTCCTCCTCCTTGCGCGCCGCGCTCCCGATGAAGTCCTGTCTTGTGAGAGACTTTCCTCGGACGAAGAATTACATCGCGGAAGAGAGCGCTGCACCGAGAGCGATCTTCCCGACTGCTCCTCTTTTACGAGCATCCACCGTTGCTCTGAATGCCAAAAACAGCGTCAATGATTCCTGAGCTCGAAGCTCATTTCGAGAGGTGTAGAATTATGTTGGCTCCGCGTAGCTCGGATATAAGCCTAAAGCTGGGTCTTCGCCTGTGGTGTCTGCATTGACCCCTTCCAATTTATAGAAGCAATCGTACTGAAGAGTTTTGTGCGAGAAGAGAGGGCTCTTCTTCTTGTCGGTTCATTTCCACGGGTCATCTGCCGGCGGGGTGAAGGTCAGCGAATCGTTGCCGGTCTTCGAAGCTCCCATGCATGTATTCCAAACAGTGATTGATATAAGACGTAGGAACTTCCTATGCAGTTCAATTTTTGATAAAAATCATCCTTCTGGCTGTCTGGAGATTAGCCGCATATATTCCGGAGAGAAATTCTTCTTTTTTTTCTGTTGAAACATGGGAGACCAGGGTTCCAAACTGGGTGCGAAAGAAATTGCGATCGGAGTATAGAATCCTATGAAGTCGCTTCTGGACTCTAATTAAGATTGTATCTCTTCCTGAATTTTCTAGATTGTATGCCTCAAGCTCTTGATGTGATCGAATTAAATCTGAGATGAATTTTTTCCTTTCTCCCAGGACGCGGATCTGATCGAGATTCTATGGAAACAGGATGTCGATCTTGGGATCCCTCTCGAAGACTATAGACCGTGCAATCAACCAGCGTCGCAGTCTGTGGCGGCAGCATCGCCTCCCCCCAAGTCCGTCGAAGGGAGCACGGTCGTGCCGGTTCTCGACACGTTGGAATCGAAGGTGAGACCTTCTTCCCCCATTTCCTCGAGAAACTTCTCCTGTTTGATAGCGAGCCCGGCGAGAAATTCCCCTCGCCCAGGTGCCTCGTCTCGATATTTTTCCCCCCGTACGAGACTAAAACGATCCGAAAGCGAGATCTAAAGGCCGACAGACGGATTCCAATGAGGGGGATTTCTGATTGCTTAATTTGAGGGACTGTCAAGATCTAGTTCGAGAGAATCCGGCAGGGGAAATCGTGTCGATGCTTCAATTCCAACCATCGAAATTTCAGAAAGACTTTGAACCTTCAACCAACGAGCCCCGCGTGACGTCAATTGACTCAGAAACCGGTAAGATTTTCCTCAAAGTTTTTCCTCCTTTTCTGAACGGCTTCATATCATAGCGGCGGCGGCGACGCTTCCCGGCTTGAACGTTGTTTTTCTGACCGGACGACGCCGCTTCATCCGCCGGAGCGGCTCCCGGAGCGCCAGCGGATGAAGATCATTGACTTTTGCGAATCCACGTCATTTGTTGTTTCCCATTTTGCGCGTGGTCGCCTCTATGCGAGAGATTGCGCGCGCCCGTCGCTGCGCTCCCGACAGACAGCGGAGACGATCAGCGTGAAGTCAGAAACAGTTCGGCATATATATTCCGATATTCGATTCTAACATTAATAATCGCTGTCTGATATTCGTTCGGGGGTTGCCGCCCCAGAAATGAGACTGAGAGCGGATCCCAGGTGTAATACGTGTCGCGAATCGCCCCTCTCAGAGAATGCGACAACAACAACAGCTGTTATATCTGCAATGTTTATGCTGTGGCGCGGAGTTCCTCGTGCCTTTCTCCGGGCTCAAGGTCATTAGGGAATGGTATGATGTGGGCTCGTCGTGAATAGAATCGGAACTCATCGAGTACCAATTAGAGCGTCGACGTCATGTCCCGTTCATGTTGAAATGTTGACGATGTTTATGCGATCGACGATGACGACGTGCACGTTTGCTGCCGCTCGCTGTCATTGCAAAGCACTTTTGGCGTTCCTGTCGATATCTCTCAAGGAATCGACTGGGCTGTTGATTTGTCATTCGTGGTTTGTGCGTGAGTTCTCCGCAAGTATCGCCGAACGTCGATCGGGTTTGCGATGCCACCCAGAGGTCGCGGCTCTTTATATCAATTTGAAAATCTCCTCATTTATCTGGAACTGGTCGTTGCCTATCGGCCGGATTTCAAGAAGAATTTGATGATATGGAATGGTACGTTTCCGAGACTTCTGATTGTGATATGGGGTTGCGGACTTCGGCGATGGCATTCTTCGCTTGCGTGAAGGCGGGGAAGCTCGTCAACCCACCAACATGTGACTTCGGGCTGCTCCCTGGATGTACATATCTAGGCATTCCCCGTCATTCTATCAGGGCTCTCACAAGCGCGGGCGCGAAGGAAACGCGAAGAGGGATAATAATCGATCCGTCGGATATTCCGAGTCCTAAGTTCTGGTCGAAGCAATGAAACATCATTTCTCTAATGTTCCCAGGCGAACCCATCTTCGAACCTGTTGCTGGACCTTCGACGCTCGATAGTGTGCTTCAGAATAACTCGTCGTCCGATTCGTTCCTGGATATAAACGCTCTCATGGGTGTTGTCAGCGAGGTCAGTATAAATTGATGAGAGCATCTGTTTACTGCGTACATACCGAATCCCAGCCAGTAAGGATTCCTTCCTCTCCGATCCGGAGGGAGAAACTGTGTACTGAAATACGGCCCGACTTTTCGACCGGATGCTCAAGTTGAAGACTGTCTTGAAACGTGATCGCGAATACATTGTCGACTGAACGGCATTCGTTTCGTTTGTTACTCGTCGGATCGTATGTTTCTGAATTGTCGGTTCCGTCGGGATCGGATTCGCGCCGAGAGAATAGGCATATCACGAGCTTCTGGAACCTTATTCTGCGGAGCGGGGTGGGTAAGGGGGGGGAGGCGCGCTCCGTCGACTTCCTAATCCGATTCGGAGAAGGGGCATCCGTAGCGGCACGCGGACTCGGGCTCGGTGGACGCGGGGACTTCGGTCCCAGGGAAGGAGGGGGTTTTAATCCGAAGAGCTCCTCGAGGAGGCTGATCATCACGAATCGTATCGCGGAAAGGTCCGTCGACAGGATGCTTGAGCATCAAGACACTAGGACAAGCACGACTTCTGTAGACAGTCAATTAATGCAGCATCTACACCCGTCCCTTTCGGCATGGTTCACTCATCGATATCGATATTCTTGTTCACGGTTGACGGCGAACACGCGACCGAAAACCCCGCCTTTCTCCAGGCGGTCCCTGCCTTTAATCGTTGATAATAGGGCGGAGCCTTGTTTATTATTTTGATCCGTCAGGTTGCTTCTGTCGCCCGCTCACCTAGGCCTCACGATTCCTCTTCTCCGGATCCATATAGACAGTGGAGTCGATGAAGGGAGACGAGCGAAGTCTTGTAAGGGACGCTCAGGCGCCCGTCAACTAAGGTCGCGAAGTGCTGTAGGTTGTCCCGTGGCGACCGCTGCCGTCGTCGTTTCCGTGTCTCGAAGTGAACCAGTGTTCTCTGAATCGGACTCGGAACGCTGGCTGGAGCCTCTCTCTGTTATCTTCTCCGAAATCGTTACTTCAGGAGCAAGTCTCGCGGATGCGGGCGCTCCTGACTCCGAAGGAGTCGATGGCAAACGGTGTCGACCAATTGTGTCAGCGGGCTGGTTACTACCATGTGGGCCACCAGTTTTACGGGAATCTCGCTCAGAGTGCTGAACCGTCTCAGTTCATCCAAATGCAGCAACTGGAGTATGAGCAGAGCGTCTTGAACGATGGACGATTTTCCAAAGTGACCCGACTCCAGGTCGTTTCTCAGGTAGGCCTACCCTTCCTCAGTGAGCTCAGTGGCTCTATGTTCTTCTTGATGTCTTGAGCTATTCCTTCGGATGACGGAGCTTCTGCTCCTCCGTCGCCTCATTTCGCGGAGGGAAGTCTCCTTTCAGCTCCGGCGGAATAATTCATGAGTCAGGTCGCTTCGAGAGCTTCCTCTCGTTCATTTCTCGCGCGAGTCCCTCGTCGTAGCCCTCGGACGAAGTCGTGCAACCATAAGCGGAAGCTCGGTCAAGGCCGATGAGGTTCACATCGGAGCTCGTCGCAACTCATGTGGAAATCACTCTGCTGTTCTCTGCGTTTTCTCTCGGGCCTGTAACCATCATCGGGCCTGTCGCTCCTGGAAGGAAAACTCGCTCCGAGATACTTGTCTCGAACATCCGATCCCAAACAAGTTCGCGAACGCGTTTCGAGCTCGAGATCGGATAACCAAAGAAGAAATGCAGCAGTCGGCATCGAGTCGATCGTATTCCCTTGCTAAAGAGTCTGGCGACTCGGAGAGACGTTTCTCGACTCTCAAGGAACTCCTCCAGCCTTTGAATCATGGTCGATCAGGTCGCTGTGGCTCGGAAAACACCGCGGAATAAGCCTCCTCTGAAGGACTTCATTTCCACAGTTTTCAAGAGTCGTTACCTCGACGACATTCCGATACGCTCGAATTGGCGGACTATGGATCGCTACCTACCTAGCAATAGGTAGTTGCGGATCTCCCTCCGACGTTGTCACGTCTGCTCGCCTGCCGGATTCCCGCCGTTACGAATTTTCAATGTTAACAATACAACTGCCGAAATTTCTTGCAAGTCATCGCGGTCCGCATTTGGTGATCCCAGATGCCGTAGGCGCCGGCGTGAAGAACAGCTTCCGTTTGGTGCAATTGTTACGGTGGATAGATTACGTTCAGACGTTCTGAAGCATTGTCTCTCAAGCATCACTGCTGAACAATGTGTCGATAGTAAATAATACTGGTGATGATGATGATGATGGAGGGAAAAGACTCATTTAAGAGCGGGCACTTCACGTCCTCTCCCACTCAGATCCCGATCCTACCGAGCTAGTCCAATCGAATCAAGTGATACTGAGGAATTACGCAACGTCCAAAAAATCCAAGAACGGGGGAAGATCCTGTATGGATCGAATCGTCTAACGAAATAGAGCAATGCGATCCGAACAGATGGCTAGATGACCAAGGAGTGAATGGATGATTGAATGCTACTACATTTACTGGCTGGGATGGGGTTCATCAGGTGCGCGGTGTTTCACACGAATCCCAGGTGTGTTGCGTTAGCGGAGCCAATCAAGCTCGGCGACGAAGCCTGGCCGAAGGCCCTTAGCGTTGGCGGCGGGCGTCCTCGTAGGAGCAGCACTTGAGGGGAGTTCTGGACCGACGATCGCAAGACTTCTTTGAGCTGCGATCGACGCGCTCAAGCGAAAACAGACTTGTTATAGCGCTACAAGTATTCATCCAAGCGACTAGCGAACCGTCTAAAACAAACTATTGACGTCGATGCGACACCGGATTGCTTTTCCCGTTGCTTGTCGGAATGCCCGATCCCCAGGAGAATCTTCCGCGAAGCCTCGGCTTCCTCAACTCGTCAGGATGAGCGTTTTACCGAGGTCTGGGAGTCGATCATGACAATTTTAATTTTCCTTGCAGGAGTTGTTCTGTGCGGATCCTGAATGGGCTCAGATGCCTAGCTACTCCGGTGTTTCGAGTCCCCCCTTCAATGGAACGGATCCTTTCGGAGGAGTTCTCTTGCAGAATGTCTCGATGCCGTCCTCATACGACGCGTCCGTGACCGCTGTGAACTCGACGATGCAACAAGCTTCACCGGCTGCCGGCTCCACATTCGCGAGTACTCCAACCGCTGCCGCTTCAGGTGAGGAATTTGAGCAGTGACTTTCCTCGGTCAAACCCTTCAGGGGCGACCTTGATTCCGGTCTCAAGGCGTTCGAAACCTGAAGCGTCGGGAGCTCTTTCCGCCTGTCAGTTCGTGGGATGCGTCGTCGTCGCGCTCTCTGATTCGGGGCATCGTCGCACGCCGGGAAGTCGGGTGCGGCGTCGTGACTCGCAGCAATGACGAAGCTAGCGAGAGAGCACGGCTTCCTCGAAATCGCGGTTCCATTGAACGTAGTCCGATCGGTCCCCGTTGAGCCGGTCCAAAATCAGCTGACGGATTGGGAATGAGTTGGCGGACACCGGCTAAAGATAAGAGCTAACGAACCGGCGAACGTGGAAGGAGCCTGAGAGAGGAACGAATGTTAGAATGCTCGAGAGGTACTCGAGACGTCGACTGCTGCTGCTGACGCGACAAGCGCTCGCCCGTTAGCCAACCAGCTAACTCGTCATCCAGCCAACCGCAACAATCGTCGATTTTCCCTTGATTTGTTTCGAAAAGCTGAATCTCATCACGCCGTCCGTTTATTCCTCCGTCGATCGATCAGTTTCCGTGTGGGTGCTTGAATTCGCGACCGATCGGTACAAAGTTAGGTAGATAGTTTTCAGATCACATTGTACTGGTTCTTCGCCGGTTTGAGACACCGAATCACGTAGACACCGTTGAGACACCCGAGAAGACGCCGGAAACGCTTTCGTAGGGATACGAACAATTCGTACCGTAGCGCTTTAATGCATATTCACGATTTCCGTTTCCAGGAGACGCTCCCGTGGGGTGCAACGGTTGCAGTGATTTGTCGAAGCCAACGGTGACCGATCAACACGCTATCCGAGATCTCTTCACTTACAACAACTCAACTCAGAGCGGCTGGGATTCTTTCGAGCTATTCTATGAGGATCTGGCGGCTCTCGCATCGAACACTACAAATGCCACGAACAGTCGTAAGTCCATAGCGAGTATTTTTATCAAACGAAAGAGTGTCCTGGTAGAAACTAGGTGACGAACAGAGAGACAGACAGAGTTTCTTGCTTGCACACGGATGTAGACGGTCCGTTTGATAGCATCAGTGTCGCTGAATCTGACGTCCACGGCGCCCTATCGCTGTTCCAGTGTTGCGCTCAATGTCGTCAGTCAGCAATGTCACGGCGCGCATGAGTTTCGAAACGATCTCATCGAGAACGGAAGCAGGCTGGAACTAAGCGGGCTATTTTCAACCTTCGGATTTTCGTCGCGAGATTTTTGAGATTCATACGAGCCTCTGCGACGCGGCTCCGTGGGCACAATACCGAGAGTCGCAGTCTCGAAGTCTGACGACAATGCTCGCATTGAATGCCCACCTTGGGCAATGACTGTGCTTTAACGGTCGTTCAGAAACAGCGTGGGGTTGATGTGAATCAACCGTTCAGAAAGCCAGACGCAGCGGTCGAATGAACGGCTCTCGACCGACAATTGAATGGAAGGGATCGAGACAGCGGTCGATCTATCGGTCGGTCGCTCAGTCAGTCGACTCCGGAGCACCCCCACGTTCGCCAGAGGTCCGCTACGAAGGCTTGGAGGGGCATTTTTGTCGCTGAGTTGCGCTCCAACAGATGGCACGAGATTTCCCGTTGGGGCAGATGTTTTTCAGTCAGTCAGCGTTCGTATACAGGTAGGGCTGACATCCTCAATGACCTCTCTGCAAAGTCGGAGCACATGTCGATCGAAGTCTCCGAGAGCCTCTGGCTTCTTCGAGAGCCGCGGTGGAGGCGGGAAAATTTTCGGACGCGGAGGAGCGAATTGTTTGCCTCGCTGTTAATTCCAGAAAGGTTTCCGCGGTCGCCGTCGGAGTTTCCGACTCCGGAATTCAAATCCGTTTTGCTTACATTACTCGTTACATCGATCCCGGGGGGAAAGCTTACCATGGAGCGCTGTAGGGAATCTCCCGGAAGGTATTTCAAGTTGACCGCAGACCTTGGCTCCTTCGCAGCGGTCAGGTTCCGAGCTCTCACTTCTCGAGAAGCATCAACGGATCGCGCGGATCGTGGAATATCTAGTTTGCAGAAATCGCGAGGGATTGAGGCGTTTTCTGAAAATTCTCCTCGGTTCCGCCAGTCTACGTCTGTCGCCGGGAGAAGGCAATCGCTGAAATGAGGGCTGTCTCTCTGCGAAACCTGTCGACGACGGAACAGACCGTTGTCAAGTGGAAGGCCGAGTATGGTCAAAATTGCGATGGTATTGTGAATCGAGGCCTCCCGACTAGTAGCGTAAGCAAAAAATGCTCGAAGCGGCCTTTCATTCTGCTTTTTTGTTCAGCCCGCAGACGAGAAGGCGACCCCAGGGCGGCTTCATTCTTAAGTCCGTGTGACTATTGTGGGGGATGGGATCTTGAAACCCGGTCGAAACTCGGCTGAAAGCTGGCAGGCGCATTCCTGAGCGACCGTTGATGCCCCGAAGAACCGCGCGGAGAATTTGGCGCGCTTTCTTAAAGGTCCGAAGCAGCGTCTTAAACCTCTGCCCTCTCCATCCTTGCCGGCAGGTGTGGAATGAATAAACTCACTCAGTGGTTCCACGGTGGTTCAATCCACTAACTGTCGTTCAGAGAGCACGCTTCGAGCTCTCACGGAGATCGACTGACTGACTGACCGACTGACTGACTGACCGTTCGTCCCGCGATCAGAATGACGTCTACGTTACTGCCTTGTCTTGAGCAACTCGCTTCCAGAGGCTTGACTGTGCACACCAATCACGTTTCGGTGATCGTTCGCACTCGAGATTATGTGAACAAGCGTACAGAGAGCCACGACTACCACAAGCGATGGTGGAAACGCAGGAAGCTCGACAACTATTACGACTACGAGTCGGAGGGCTCGAGCTTCTGCGGTTCCGGCAGCGAGAGCGGTATGTGTCGAGCGAGTCGAGTTATCGAGGGTCGCCGAGGGCATTGGATCGATCTTGCATTGGAATAACCCTCGGATTTTCTCTTTTTCTTTCCAGACTCCGAAAGCAACCGTCTCGTTCCTCTTGGACCCACGACCGTCAGCCAACCCGCGAGTAGAATGAGTTCTTCATCTGCGAATGGCGGAAGTGTATCCCTCAAACACACGAGCATCGGGGACGGAGGATACGCCGCTAGCGATACCGGAGTATCGTCTATGTACTCTGACGAGGCGAACGAGGTACGTGAGCATTTAAAAAAATCACGCGGTCCGATGCTGAGTAAATGAGCGAGTGTCTCCGCTCGGAGTCTCGTTGTGCATCGCTCAATGGGGAATTCGATTTTCAGGAATGGATGGAGAGTTCTAGCGAAACTTCTCACGACCACGACCAGGAACAATTGGTGTCGACGGACGTCAGTTACCACTCGAACTCGTCATCGATGTCGTTCGGTTCCGCTGAAGGGTGCACAGTCCCGCAGAAAAAATACAATTTCTTCGGACGAAAACCCTATCACCAGACTTCCAACGGCACGGTGGACCGCTCGATCGAGGAGAGTCATGTCGTGCCCCAGCCTCTCAAAATCGCCCACAACCCAGCCATGGACGGCTTCCTCCACAACCATTCGTACGGCCAAGAGCAGCTGAGCGCCGGTTACAACGTGCCGCAGTTGCCGGTCGGGGTGAAACTCGAGACTCAATTCCACTCCGAGCCGAGGAAGCAGAGTTCCGCGTCTCAGGCCGACGGCTACGAATCGTCCGACCCATCGGAGTCTGGCGCCGGATACATCCAAGTGACGTCGGCCAAGGACGAACGCCGCGCGCGGGAACTGAAGATCCCGATTCCGACCGAAGAAATCGTGACCCTCTCGATCGAAGAGTTCAACGAGCGTTTGACTCGCTACGAGTTGAGCGAAGATCAGCACGCCCTCATCCGCGACATCCGTCGCCGAGGCAAGAACAAGGTGGCTGCACAAAATTGCCGAAAACGGAAACTGGATCAGATCTCTGCTCTGCAAGACGAAGTTGAGAATTTCCAGGACACGTGTCGCTCTCTTCAGAACGAAAACGATGAATTGACCCGACGCGAACTCTACGCTCAGCAGAGGCTGAACCAGCTACGAGATGTGATAGCCAACGCTGCGAATTCCGGCGCGATTCCCAAACACCACGGCCACCATAAAATGGCGAATTCGGAGTAGTCGCCGACTGCGTCCTACGTTGTATAGAAACCATCCGTGTACATACATAGTGGGCCACCGCGGTGAGCTGGGCCGAAAGCCTCCCTGGCGGACAAATCGGACAGTACCAGGGAAGACGGTTGAACGGTATTGTTCGAGAGACGACTTATCGGTCAAGTTTTCCTTATACTTGTTTGCATTACCGGTGATAGTAGATAGATGCTACAACTCTACACGACTTGGCGACGCTCCAATGAGAATCACATCCTCGTGTATTTTTGTCTCAAGAACACCCGGTGTTCGCAAAAAGTGCGTGTTTGCGTGCGTGTCTGCGAGCGTGCGTGGAAGAGGTCATTCGTGCGTTCGAGTCCCCCCTACAGTCTTATCGCTACGAAAATTCCCAACGGACATCTTTTCTCAGTTCGAGTGTCTGTCAGCTGTATGAACGAGCGTGTCCCGTTTCCGGTAAGAGAGATACTCCATCCCGACGAGAGGACTTCCTGCTGAGTTCGAATCATCAGCGGCAACAGAAATGACCTCTAGTCCAGTCTACTTGAACAAATCGATTGTGGGCATTTTGTGATTGGAGAGGGTGGTGCGTGGTGTCGAGGGAATTCTATTTTTGTACATAGCATGGAGCACATGTAAATAGAAGATAATAAATAATTTAATGTCTTCATCATCAAACAGAGCTTCCGTATTCTTCATTCGACAAAGTTTCCTACATCCCTACGTTGAACGTCAGAGCTCCATCACCGAAAACGGTCGAACAATAAGACGGCATAAGCGGACGGAATTTCAAATATGAGCTTTGTTCATTTATTTCGCATATATGTATTTACACAGCTGGGGTGTTCACTGGCGGTTCCCTCGTCTCCTTCTCCGCGTGGACATATCTGGCGTTTCCGACATAATTGGTGCGTCTTAGCTCGACACGAAGCAGCCTCGAAGACAAGAAGTTCCAAAAAGTAATTGGTAGTCCCTGATGAGACCACTGGACAGGACAGTTGCGTCCTCGAGGCGGTCGAAGCTTCAGTAAAAAAGCATGTCTTCAGTGAAGGCCCCAGCTAATCTGAACTCGTTTCCCGTAATCACTGCATAAATTCGATGAGCACCCGTCCGGGAATTGTTCGACGGTCTCGGATACTTCGTCCTGAGTATGAATTCTTTCCCGATCGGGGTCGGAAATTGCTGGGAAGCTGGTAGTCTCCTCGACTTGGTTGAAAGAGTAGTATCTTCTAGTTTGGCTTTTTGAGCGTTCTCGAACAATTTGGTTATAGCTCTGCCGACGGCGCTCTTCGCTCCACCTCGAATTTCCACCTCTGGCTTGTCGAGAAGATCAAGCACGAGCTCTTCAACGCTCACCGTTGAGGACTCTTGCGCCTTCATGGCAAGGTAGCGTTTCAGAGAGGACTCGGTCTCCTCTGGCTCTTCCTGGAAACAAACCCATCGGATGAATTTTTTCCTCACCTGACTCCCGCGTCTTCTCTCGTTCGTGAGGGCGTAATCCCATGCCCATGTACATATACGTAGTGTTTTACTCTGAACCACAAACTTTTCTGAACAGCTTCTGCCGCAGGCTCTCCGCTCTCGCAATGCCGATTTCGGCTTCGTACATCCGTCGAATCAGGTCTTTGTAGTTAGGTCGACGCATTCGGAGCTCCTGTTTCGTTTTCTCGATCAGGTGCTCCATGAATGGAATCATGTCCCTCGGTCCTTTGTGAACTGGAACCGATACGAGAAACATGGTCTCATCCGCCTCGGAAGACAACGGAAGAGTAATTCAAGCCGAAGAGACAAGGAACTCGACTCCTTCCCCTACTAACCGCTCTCGCAGATCTTCTCTAGCCCACACTGAATGATACAGGGGAACAATAAGTTTGCGATATCCGAGAGACTCATCGTGATGAGTTCGTGTAGGATCTTCTCCCCCTCTTTCGTGTCGTCGAAGAGCCTGCAAGTTCGTCATTGGGTCATATCAAGACCTAAGCGCATGACTCCGACTATATAGACGGCGTACAGCTACGCGACGAGATGGTGGATACCTCTTCTGACGCGTTGTTGGGGCAGGTCTCGCCTGTTCCCAAAGGTCTTGCCACATGTTACCGGGGATTGTCATTCGCTGTGAGAGCTCTCCCGCTTTGACGATTTCTCCCTTTTCGTCCCGGATGGGCTCGGTCCAATCCCTGGAGTTTGAGAGCATCGTCGATTTGAGATCAGAACTTTGTGGCTTGTGCCGAAAATTCCGGAGGAACCGAGTGCTCACCTCGGAGAGAACCATCTCACGAAATCCGCTAATTGACAACCGGGATTCGCAGCTTTGAAAGATTCCATATCACTGAAGAGGGAGGCACTCTGGAGACGTGCCGTCATTTTGCTGCATTCAGGATCGGAGGCGAGCTGCGGGACACGTTCTATGAATACGACGTCCTGTGAGGCAAAGGACATCGCCTATCCAACGGCCACATACCTTGAGGATTGCATCCGCTTGCTCCTGGAGCATGTCTTCGGTCATGGGCGATGGTTGTTGACATACAGGCACCCACATCTGTTCGTCCGTTGAGAGCAATTTCAAGGCACCGAAGGGCTTAGAGCGACCCTCAGCTGAGAGCGGTGCATCATCTATTCGGATAGAAAACGCGAGCATTGGATTTCCATCACTCGACCGTCTCGACCACCATACGAGTAGAAAGGTTTATAACGATCGGATGAGCAAACGAGTCGGAAGAGGGGAATGGAAGGGAACGTCAATCAAGATTCTCTTGGGAGAAGTCCCTGGACAATCGTACCGAGAGTTTTGAAGTCATCCGGGCTCTGAATCGGTGTACCCTCCGATTTGTCGTCTCCCACGGGCTCGGATGTTGATGTGCTATCGGAACACTCGAAGAAGTCCTCATCGGACGAGGAATTTTCTCCCTCAGTTGGGTTCTCACTCTGAGGAGGCATCTTAAAATGACAATTTGCCATGCGGTCGATTGCTTTATGATGGTCGAAGGAAATATGGCGCCGTCGTCCGAATCAGATCAGATCGGTTTGACCGAGCAGAATGACCAAATCGAACGAACCTTTTTCTTTTGTTTGCGAGATTCACGGAGTTCTCGGGCATTTCGCGTTTCGATGCAGCAATTCAGCATCTGTATCTTCTGATGCAGAAGACACATACCGAGATTAGGTGCTCCGGGCTCGATGCTGGAACGAAACGACGCGGAGAATTCAGACCACGACCTACGGACGTCTGCCGGGCGAGGCGCGGTACCTCTTTACCATAATTGGAAGTACCGAACGATACAGAAGATCTTGCTCGGACCCAAGCATGGGAGGAGTAGCCTGCGATTCGCGGGTTCGAGATCGGGAATCGTTTCTAAGGGTCGATTCTTTTTCGTTACCGAAGATCCCGGGGATTATTCGTGCTCTTCCCTGTTGGTCTGGTTGAGCCGCGTTCGGGAGGATTCAGGAATTCTCGTTCGCCGGGGAGAATTCCTGAAGTGAGCGGGAGCCCATGTTTTTCCCCAGCGGAGCTAAACTCACCTGGAGATTATGTATCCACGTTCGAAGTGATGCCGGAGCTCACCGACGACTTTCACCCAGAGCAGCGCAAGACCTTCGATGCCGCCGCATGTGTGATACGCCTCGATCAGCGCCAAAGACAGGCGCCACACTATGGAGTTCTTCGAAGAGGTCTTGAGGGCTCTCAATTTCTCCTTGAATTTCTCAACCTCATCCGCCTCCTCCAATTTCTCAGCCGATTGCGAACCGAGAGCAGTTGAAATGTCGCCAAAGTCTATGTGCCCAGAAGACGAGAGAACAGTCTGTAAGGAGAGATCCGAACTCAAAGGAAATTCGCGCCCGAGCCAGCTGGCATTATTGGTTTTCTCTCGTACCTCTTGGTCGATCGAAGGAATGAATATGTAGTTCATGAACTTGATAAGAATTTCGTCGTCTGTCAATCTCCTCCTCTTTTCCCGAGTGTCTGAAGGCATGATTGAAGCTGCCAAGTCTGGGACCTGCAATTTCAGATCGGCGTTGACTTCCCATTCCAGCGTCTTCATTCATCCCCAATGCCGGCAGCGCATAGTACCCCATCCCTTCCTAGGCACGTGTTGGCGCATGATGTCGATGAAGTGAAGAGATATGCCCTCGGCGGAATTATCTGAGCGAGTCCACCGCAACTCGAACCATTCGACTACTCATCTAACATACGATTGAGAGCAATCGGCCTTCTTGGAGATCAGCCCCGACTTTTCACTCCGTACGGAATTGAATGATATCCATCTATGCACATATTGCAGGTATATGAAGCTTGGGCGGACTGACCTTTGGTTCTGCGAGACGGTCCATGACATTAGCCAACTCCGGATCGATATCATCTGACAGCATAGAGCCGAGCACCAGGTCTAAGCTCTCGTTTTTAGAAAGTACCGTCTCGAACTCTCCGAGGTAGTTTTCTGCGGGAGACAAGCGAGTCCAAATGAGCAACTGATGGTATTCTCCGACTGAAGACTATGGGGGACGCTGCCGGGACACGGCTCAGATGTCTCTTGTGAGTGCTCACCGAGGTAGCAATAAGGCCCGCTGACATATTTGATGGTGACACACCATTCCGGAGCATTCGCCGGCACCAGATCAGAATGCGCTATACTGTCGTTGACGACATCCTCAGCGAGATGAGGCCAGGAAACCTGGTAGGAAGGGACAATGAAAGATTAGGAGCCCTCAAGTTCCAGTCAAAGTATCCCGTCAATCGATTGAGGAACTTGGAACTCACCATCAGGCGGAACTCAGAGATGGGTTCCACGCCGGCTCCCATCGGAAGATCACCGAACTTGATGACTTGGTCAACATCCAACGAATGGCTCGGTATCGAGTTCAGATCGAAAAAAGACCAATCGTCGAGCATATAAGTGAATCGAATGCTCACATCAACCGGTAGATGGGTATAGAAACTACTGTTGCACTGGAATGTCGAGAGAGAAGATTTTCAGCGGATCCCGGAGAGCTCATCTCCTATTGTGTGAATCATAAATCGGCTCCGCGCAACATGTCGCCTGGAGAACAGCAATGCTTACCAGTTTATTCTTGAATAGGGTCAGGAGTCCATTTAGCGTATCGTAGCCTTTCGGTGTGTGCACCAACTTGACCATATTAAAATAGCAGTGGAAGCCCTGGGCGCACATAACGCCGCAGGCGATTTTCTCTTGGGGATGATGCATTTGAATGAAAAACGGCAATTGGCAGTTCGTGTTGCGGAGAGCGGTGCACACGGATCCGAGGAGCATTTTCTGGCGATCTACGGTCGAGATCGTATCGTCCCCCATGTCCGGCGTTATGAGCAAAAAATCCCGGATGCCGTACCATCTGACCAGGAAATGTGCTTTGGCGGGGAAATCATTCGTGAAACTCAGCAGGTCGTCCATCGCAAACGGGAGCGATTCTTGATCTAGAAGAGATCGGCAAGGCACACAGCGATTAACTTGGAGAGCATGGGAAATCATATCGAGTTCAATCGAAGTTCCCTGACGGGACGCTAAGCACTGCGGAGCTCACATTCTTCGGTCTCTTCGAGAGCCTCCTTGGCCTGATCTTCCTCCGATCGCTCTTTCGTGGATCCTTCTAGATAGTGCCGAGTGACCATCATCCTGAAAGACGCGAATGAAACCGTTTCCGAACGGCTCTTCCACTCGCCGCCGCCGAGAGCGCCCTGGAATCGAATAACACCACTGATCGGGACTCTCCGAGAGCGATCCGATTAAGCGGAGGATCCCATTGACCGGTGCTCCCAAAAAGCGGAGTCAACTGTACTTACGTTCGCCAACGGTCCTGTGGAGACGATATTCGGGAGCCGCCATTCCTCGATCAGTTGCTCCAGAGATGCGATGAATTTTTCCCATTCGGTAGCTGTGGTGAAATCTTTGAACTCTGGTAAAGATGGATCCTGAGAAAGTCAAGACAAGTCAACTTAGACTCGGAGCCTTCCGTTCCTATGAACGTTCCGGCAGGCCGACGCGTGTGGTGACACAGTTTCGTGACTTTAGGCACGAATGAGAGGAGTGAACTCGAACAGGCTGTAACTCGAATACGGAGGTGGCTCAAATTCGTCGCAGAATCTTGGGACACGATACGGCGACGGAAGACTCCCATCGGGGAATTAAATAGCATGGGCCCTCACAGCAATTTTTGAGGATCTTCTTATTGAGAACTTCCGTTTGAGCTTGCCGAACACTTCCTCCATTATCGGGAAGAGCCGAAGCGCACAACTTTACGGGTGTCCGGTCGATGCCGGATGACCACCCGTGTCAGTGGCCTATTTCTGCCTCAGAGCCTTCTCAGAATCGGAATCTCTGTGTCAACAGACAGTTGCTCGCCGGAAAGGGAAATCTACAACACATGGAGCTCCACCAAATTCAGCTGAATCAAGTTGAGCGATCTCCCGATCGATTCCATTTTCAAAGCATGTCAATCGAAGGATCGAGCTCCCGATGATGGAAGCGAGCGATGAGGATCGATAGACCTTTCGTCTTTCAACTGAGACTGCCAGTTACCTCTGAAGTGAATCGCGGACTCGGATACGCGCCGGAAGTCGTTGGACCCGACAGCGGGCCGGAACCGTCCTGACCGAATCTCTCGAATGTATGGACAGTGCTCTGAACAGCTCGAAGAGACTCATATCGTAATCTTCATCGGGGGTGATAAAAACGGATAACGTACAGCAGGGAAGAGATAAATATCCTGAATTATCTTGAGCAAATTTAACCGGGGGGGGGGACGGACACCCCAGGAAACTCTCCAGTCTGGAGGAACAGTCCCTCCAGTCAGCAGTGGACAGTTTCCGAGACTTGTCGAGTTTGAAAGGAGTTTTCTCGTGCGTGGAGCGAGAATACTCGTAGTCAGCTGATTGTCACAAAGTTCTATTCTGATGTGACTAGATCTCGCGTAGCTGACAAGTCTGTCGTTTGGAAGACATCAGGTCGACTTGAAACCGGCTATGATATCCATGCTTTGGTGAGACGTCGCAAATCCCGTGTATAAATATGCTTTAGTGAATTTTTACTTACCCCTGGAACAGCACAGGGCGGCGCCATTTTGGTTCTGTCTGAGAGCGCGGCGCAGCAATCACGTTCGAAACTTTCACGGAAGTGATAATCCACGGATCGACCCATCAAATCTACTCCACGCGGATGCCTATCATCGCTGATCGTGATCCCGCGGGATTTCCGACAAGCTGCCCTCCTGAAGAGCTCCGATGGCTTCCGGAATGGATCTTGTTCGTTCCCGCCCAGGTTCTGACTGGTGACGCGGCTCGGCGAGATTCAAAAATCGATTTATGTGGCTGTGAGAGTGTCCGTCACGAATTTGCGCCTTCGCAATTTTATTGTCCGCGCAAGGTGAGTCCGAAGTCTATAGGACCGATCCCCGTATTTCTTCGATGCGCGCGGCATACGAGGACCTGCTCGCATCAACTGCCATTTGGGTCGAGCCCTGCTGCGACGTTTTGAAAGGAACTGACCCCAAGATCAGCTGTTCGGCCTTCGACAAGAAAATCAGAGATATCGTCGGCAGAACTCCATGGTCGGGACTCCGACACGATCCGGAAAAAGCTCTGATCGTAATCCTGCGTGCGGTGTCCGGCTAGGCCCTTTGAAACGACTTTGCGACGTTTCCTGTCCGGCCGAGCTGGTTGTCGAACACAGAGAGCGCCCCGATCGGGGAAAAATTCGCTCCTTTCTGAAGACTAATGTGACTTTATCAGCTCAATTGACTGCAGTTAAGGCCGCACACAATGTCGCGCGTACCCCCACGCCGACGAGCGCAATCGAGGACGAAGACCGGTGCGGTCTCGCCACCCCAAGAAACAGGCACAGATATCAGCATGGCTCTGATAAAATCGGCTCGTAAGAGCGGACAGCTCGCTCTGCAGAATCGAGGCTTCACGGAACTGCCGAGCGTGAGTGTGCTCTCGATATCACTTGGCGCATTCTCGCATTCTTATCCTTCCGAGACCGTCTCTCAACTTCCTAAGTCCTGAGCCGTATCTCTGAGCCCTGAGCTTCCGCGCTATTTTTAGGTGGTCTGCAACCTGAACAATCTCTCGGAGCAAGAGGTGAAATCGATCGATGTCACGTTGGATAGGGCCAGTCAAGACGATTGGTGGACTCAAATGCCCCTCTCGAAGTTATTCCTCGGTGGGTCCCTTTAAATTCTATCCATGCCTTGTCCTTGGAACGGTCCTGGCGACGACGGACCATCGGTCAGGCTCAATTCACTCCGGGAGCTCTGGAATATTCACGGGGTCAAGGAATGAGAGCCAAGTTCCGCTTCGCAGGGTCGAACCGACTGACCACACTCCCGCCGGAGATCGCTCAGCTAGAACACCTGACAATACTCGAGCTCCAGGATAACAACATCTCGAAGCTCCCTCAGCAGATGGAATCCTTAAGCAATCTAATTCGCTTGAACCTCAGTCACAACAAGATGACCGAGCTTCCAGATTGTCTTTGTCACTTGAAGGATCTCCGGGTAAGATCTCGGGATCGACAATCATGAATTCGGGAAGTCATTTTGCGAAGGCGTGACGGTCGAGAGGCGGAACTCCTGCGCTGACCGGTGAGAGCCTCGTTATTCCTTCCAGGTTCTCGCGTTGCATCACAATGAAATCAAGTCAGTTTCGGACAATATCAACAGTCTTCTGTCCTTGGACGATCTCGATCTCAGCCACAACAAGTTGAAGGAGTTACCTGACGCATTTACTTTCCTCTCTCGAACCAAAAAGGTCTGATCTACTCAGTATGGCTTGAGCACGATTACATAATACAGGTCGAATGATGCAGCTGACGCCCTAGCTCAATCTGGCGAATTGACCATTTACAGATAAATCTGGCGAATAATTGTCTCGAAGCTCTTCCGGCTGATATGGATTCGATGATTCAGCTAGTCTTATTGGACCTCTCGAACAATTGTCTCACGAAGTTACCGGAAGCCATCGGGAGATGCGGACACCTAGAACAGCTCGTGGCGCGCCACAACCGACTCGAGACGCTGCCTCCTTTCAGCAGAGAGAATCATCTCAAAGAATTGAGCGTGAGCTTCAACGCAATCAAAGAATTCAACGTCGGACATTGCGAAGCTCTGGTGATGCTGAAGGCAAGTCTTCGCACTGATCGTTCTTGTCACATGAGTCGAATCGATGCCCGCGGAGATCATCCATTGATGTTGAGTCCTTGGTTCACAGATCCTGGACCTCAGGAGCAACAAGTTGGCTAGCTTGCCGGAGGAAATTGCCAATTTGCAGAGCCTGGAGAGACTGGACATCGGGAATAACGAATTAAAGATCCTCCCAAATTCGTTGGGAGCTCTGAACCACATTAATTCATTACTTGTGGAGGGGAATCCCTTGCGTTCTATAAGGTGGGTTCCCGAATCGCTGCTACAGAGACGTTCTAGCGAAATCCTCGGAAATGACGCTCGTAATTGATCTGTGTCCGTATTTGTAGGCAGGACATTTTGCGCCGGGGAACGGTCTACCTCATGAAATATTTGAGAGATCGCCTGAAGGAGAGTCCAATGCAGCAGAAAATCCGCAAGTCTCGCGGAGGAGACGGACAGGAACTCGTGGATTCAGTGGATCGCTTCACGTTGAAATCTTCGAAAACATTGGATTTCTCAAACAAGGCACTGTCGACTCTCGACGAGAAAGTCATCGATATGGCCTGCGAGGATAAAATCAACCAGCTCGTTTTAACGAGAAACATATTCGTCACGGTCCCGGATACACTCGAACGGCTGGCCCAACAACTCACTGAACTCGACTTCAGCTTTAACAAACTTACTTCCATTCCTCCATTTCTGTCACAGGCGAAGCATCTGCAATACATGAACCTCCAGAGCAATCAGCTCTCAGATCTCCCCCCAGAACTTTCGTGCTTGGAGAACATTCGCGAGCTGAATATTAGCCAGAATCGATTTAGCAAGATCCCAGATTGCGTTTATGGCTGGAAGCGTTTCGAGATTCTTCTGGCATCCGATAACAGCTTAACGAGCATCGACGTGGAAAATCTTGCAAAGATCGAGACCTTAGCCACCCTGGACTTGCGGAACAATTCCATTTCCCAGGTCCCGCCGGAGTTGGGGAACTTGATACAGATCAAGAGTCTCCAACTCGATGGCAATCTTTTCCGAAATCCACGTCCTGCCATCCTGGCGAAGAGCACTCAGGATATCTTAGCTTACCTCCGTGACCGAATCCCCAGCTAACACGGATATACGTATTTCCATGCAATGGATGGACACCGCACATTGACGCACTCATTCGATACCATTGTTCTACGAGCAGTATATGAGCGAACGATTTTATCTGTGATTCGATACGTTGTGTTTTTGAATATCAAGAAGTAAATCCTGCATCTCATCACCCGCAGCACGAGGGATGTTGAACACGCCACAAGCATTATTCCATGTACTCGGATCTGTTTTGGGAAGCGCCGCACTCGCGAAAAACTCTTCCTGGTGTTTTTTTCCATTCCCGGTCGAGTTCGTCCATCGGAGAGCTTTAGTTCTCTACGAGTCGCATTACATCATCTATTGTTACGGATAAATAAAATGACTTCTGCACACCGAAAAAGTTCGTGCATGGTTTGGGGCAAGACCTCAGATTCACGTTCTTCTTATCGCAGGAGAGTTCCCCTCAAGCGAAGCAGCCTAGTGAGGGAATCATCGCTCACCATATATGGATTGAAGACTTTTTCGTGCCTGAGTTGCGCGTATCATATGTAGATGGTACTCAGTCTCCCTTCCTGTCGAAGCAAACCCCTGTGAGACATAAGACAGAATGCCGTATTCTCTCCAGTTGTGGGGCACCCCGAACTCCGACTCCGATGCCCGACCAATCTTTCCAAAGTGAGCCCGCGCAAAGATCCGTCGGTCATTCCTGAGCCAGATGACGGAACTTCGGAATGCGAGCTAGAAGGTTGCGCTACCTCTTTCAGGGAAGATTTGCCGGTGCATCTAAGTCGGAGTTTCGGCTGTATTGGAGAGAATACGGTAGACTCCGACGGTTTGCCCCGATTTCCATCGAGGTCATAGGGTCGACTCCATTCGAGAGCCTCTCCCTGAAAGTTTGAGCATACAGAGCCCGCTAATACTTCGGTGACCGATTCTGAAGAGATCTGAATCCAGCCTCGAATGCAGAACAATTCATGGGAGAGCAGAAGCATCTATTCGTTCCCTCACCATCATCAATCTCCTTCAGAGCTCCCTATCTGCGAGAGAGGACTTCTCGAGTGGGCACAACACTTTAATATACGGCAGAAATATCGCAGAAAAATACGTCGTCTGTCGAGGGTCTATCCGTCATCCGTCAAGCTCACAGTAGTCACTCCAAGCCTTTCCTTTGTATAGACCTGGAAACGGTGGATTCTCACCTATGTACGGGCCCTCTCGACAAACGGGTGGAACTCGCTTCGATAACCCGAGCGGTTCTTTCTCACATTGACCTCCAAGACTATCATTCCCAAAGAAAACCGTTCCGATGATCCCGGAGGTCCCGCTAGAGTAGAGCTCCCCGGAGATCGTGCCGGTCTCCGGGGACTGAGGAGCGAACACTCTCGATCTAACCGCGATCGTCGGACGCCGCGTTGCACGCTACCGTCCCGATCCAGGGGAACCGCCTCGGAGTTTTCCGACCACTCCTTCGTTTTTTTTCTCCTCCAACGTTAGTCAGAGTTGTCGTAACGTACCATCGTTAATATTGGTGTCAGAAGTGGGATTCGAACCCACGCCCTCATACGAGGCCCTTCGGCTCATCCACTTCAGGAAGGACCTCGTCATCGCCTCGGAAATATTGAGTTGCACTCAATTCTCCCGCGATCCCATCAGTCAATCGGTGTCTAGGAACCATCCTGCCTCATCGAATCGTCGTATTTCCCCGTTTTTCCGCTGCGATATCCCGACATCACTTCGTACCTCCAGCGCCGGCGAACCAAATCTCAACCGGAAGTCTCTACTCCAACTCGGACGCTTCCGCATCGATAGCTCAAGCAGCAGATGAGTATTATCTTCCTTTTTTCCACGGAAAAAAGTCAAAAATTCAGTCCAAGCCTCGTGCGTACGACGCTCGTCGCTGAGTGAAATCGCATCGCGATTTCCGCCGTCAGTGTCCGATAGAACCGAGTACCACTCAGTTCAGTCTATACACCCTGCCAAGTCTGTTCTGTGCCTTCAGATCTCATACTCTTTTTCGAGAGTCTCGCGTCGCACGCGTACTCTGACACCGTCTCGTTGCACGAGAGCCGTCAATCATGGGAAATCCGAAGGATGAAGGAGCGGGCCCAAGCGGGGCTCAGGATCACCAATTCCTGCTATCCAAGAATATCCTAATAAACAAACGGGCTGCGCTCACACGAGCCACGAACAAAACCGCCCATCTTAGCGATTCCAGAACAGATACACGCGAGTTCCACGCTAGAGCTCTGCGTGCTATGAACGATCTGGCCGCAGCAGGGAATGCGCTGGAGGAAGCCTTCAATACCTTCGCTCAACACCCCACCGCCGCAGCGGACCCTGGAAAGCTGGAAGCAGAATTCATCAAGCAAGACGAATACGAAGCAGCAGCAAAGGACGCGGCGGACAGACTCCAAGACGTCACCGCAATTGAGATTCTCATCGATGGCTCGTCTTCGTCACCCTCTAACCTGTACGCCTCGCCAGAAGCCAGCAGTCCAGTTGCACTGGAAACCCAGCTCCACCAGGTATCGATCAACGACGAGGGTTCCAATCAAGCTTCAGGTACGAGTCAGAGCGAGTCTTCGATAAACCCGGAGGCAGGTCAGCATGATGCGACCGCTGCTCCGCAGCCCGGTTGCCACCTAACCTCGTACGGCGTCCCTGGTTGGACGTGTCGAGATTTGCAGGCCATGGTCCCCAAGTTCCATGGGGATCCGACCAAGTTCAAAGAGTGGTGGCATATATTCATCTCACAGGTGGACTCGCAAAACATCGACGCATGCATCAGATCTACAGCCTGTGCGCAGCACGGAACCTCGACAGAAACGATAAGTTTGTAGAGTTCGTTTCAGGGCTAGCTCAAAACATCCACGCGTTAGTGTCGCTAGGCAGCACGTATGTCAGTCTATCAATGGTGCTCTCCCCCTTGATTCTCAAGGCTCTTCCAGAGAGATACCGCAACAAGTTTCACTTGGTTTTCCCGACTAAGTGTGCAGCGGACGCAGTGGAGCTGGAGGTCCTGATGAAGCTCTTGGAAGATCAAGCAGCGGCGCTAGATAAAAGCAAAGAACTCCTCCGCTTCTCGGAGTCAGAAAAACCGTCTCACGGTCAGCCGAAAGGCAACGGCAAATCTCATTTTGGCAGAAACGAGTCTCACTCGAAGCATCGCAATCCCTACAGTCAGAAAAATCAATTTTCGTTCGCCGGGCACTTCCCGGAGCCTGTCTGCATATTCTGCGCTAGTAATCACTCCAGCTCCAGGTGTCCGAAAGCTATGTCGGCAGAGGAACGGCGTAGAATGCTAGATGAGCAAAATGCGTGTCTGAGATGCCTCAGGAGAAACCATAATAGCAAGAAATGTAGAGCACATGTGAGCAACTGCGCGAGGGGCAAGACCCCCCCGACTTCGGCATCAAATAGCGTCTCGTGTAATTGCCAACCGGTGTCTTTTCAGGATCCGGAGTCTCTCTTGCAAACGGCCTACATGTGGGTCGAAAACAACGGTAAAAGAATAATCTGTCGGGCGATCTCAGACCCGGGCTCTCAACGATCTTTCGTTTCCAATCAAGTAGTCAAGCGACTCGGCGCGAAACCGGGCGGTAACGTCTCGTTGCGGGTACATGGAGTCGCAGGCGGGGTCTCTCAAGAGTTAGACCTAAACACCGTGCGGCTCACGGTCAGGAGTCGCTTCTCAGGTCGTAGCACGACCATCGGCTGCCTCGCTGTGCCTACAGTAATTAAGGGCATCCTTCCCAGAGCTGAGTTCCCACAGTTGGAACTTCAATGGGCGGATGTTAAGCAACCCGGGTTTCCTGAAATCATCGAGGTCCTAATTGGAGCTGACGCTCTCCCCTCGATTTATGACGGAATGTATCGGAGAGTAGGGCACCTTACCGCATCACCTACCATTTTCGGTTGGGTGTTGGGGGGGAGCGATCGGGCAAACGCAGTCGGCAGCTCGGTTACCACGTCGTTAGCCTGCGTTCTCCGCAGCGACGGCTACGTCGATCCCGCGGCATCGCCGCTTTCGTCCAAGACCAAACTTCGATTTTCTTTGGGATACAGAGTTCCTCGGCGTGGAGCACTCTACTACCGACGAGGACAAAAATTCTTTGGAGGCCATGGAAACCTTCCTCAAGGAGTCGATAAAGACCACCCCCGAAGGCAGATTCATAGTTTCCCTCTCTTTTAGAGAAAACATCCACACCTTGGGGGATAATCAGAAACTAGCGTATTCCCGTCTCATGGGCCTCCTGAAGTCTCAAAAAAAGAATCCGAAAGTTCTCAAAGCAGTAGACGACGAAATCTCTAAAATGGTCAATTCTGGCTACGTCGAACCCGCAGCTCCGAGAAAACCCGGAGACATGGCTTACTACCTACCGATTCTTGCGGTATCGAAAAAAACCCTCGGCTCGCAGGAACAAAAGATTCGTTTGGTCAAGGACGGAGGCGCGCGGTCTGCGGACGCGGCGTCTCTCAATGACGTGTTGGAAAAAGGCCCGAATTATTTGCCTGATTTGTTGGCCGTATTCCTCCAATTCCGACGAAAGCCTATAGCGATCGTCGCGGATATAAAAGCTGCATTTAACCAATTTCTGATCAATGAGAAACACCGGACCTTCTTAAGGTTCTATTGGCCGCTCGGCGTGTCCCGAAACGACGGCACCCCGGTACAGGAATTCTGGGCAACAGTCCTGGATTTCGGTTTGGTGTGCAGTCCTTGGCTGCACTGCGCCGGCGTAAGGCATCACCTCGATCTAGATTCTTCGTAACCGGGGCTAGGCGGATTGCTAACAAGGCCACCCATGGCTGTAAAGTCTGCGTCCGGTTCAAGGCGAAGGCGGCACAGGAACCGATGCCCCCCTCCCACATTTTCGCGTGGATCAATGTCCTCCCTTTTTCGTAACAGGGGTGGGCCATGCGGGTCCTTTTTACATAAAGACAACAGATGGCTCGAAGGTAGAGGCGTATATCCTCCTGTTCACCTGCGCGGTGACTCGAGCTCTAAGATTGGAACTGGTGGCGGACCTCAGCTCGTACGAGTTTCTTTTAGCGCTACGTCGCTTCATAAGCCGCAACCCATCGGTCTCCCGGCTCGTGTCGGATAACGCGCGCACCTTCCTCCGGGCCGAAAAGGAGCTTGATGCAATTTTCGAGCATCGTAAGCACCCGGCCACCCAGGATCTCTTGTCCAGGAAAAAGTTGGTGTGGACCCACTCCACGGAAAAGGCCCCCTGGACCGGAGCTTTTTGGGAACGACTAGTTCAGGTGGTCAAAAGACCCCTGCGCAAAATTCTGGGATCGCGCTGCTTGTCATTCAGAGAACTGGAGACGGTACTGATGGAAATTGAAAAAATGGTCAATGATCGACCTATTTCGGCGGTCGTAGTCGACCCCAGCGAACCGCGAGCACTGTCTCCGTCGGACCTGTTGTACGGGTACGCCTCTCAGCCGGCTCTACCGGACATGAAACGGGTAGCAGACACAGTGCGGTCGGCGAACGCGATAGTGTTTTCAGAGCGCTGGAAAAATCAGCAGCTCTGCGCGGCTTCTGGAAGCAATTCCACAATGACTACCTTCAGTATCTCAGGTCCGCGCACTACCGGAAAAATGAGGACAGTCGGCCTATTCAGCCGGGCGACGTATGTTTGCTGCACTCGGCCGACGCCTCCCGTGCTTTCTGGCCGCTCTGCGTAGTCCAAGAGGTTTTCGGCGGGCAGGGTACCGACGGTCGTCGGAGGTCTTGTTTAGTCAAAACAGCATCGGGTCAAGTTTTCAGACGACCCATACAATTGTTGTACCCTCTAGAGGTTCGACAATTCTCTCTCCCTACTTTAAATATCGCAGTTATCTCTCACCTATTGAGGGTAGCTGGTCCACCCAGGGGTGGTGATTTCGCTCGCCGACGATTGGCCCAACGCTTCAAGTATACCCACGAGCGTTCTCAACGCTGCGGCGGGATCACTCGCGTACCGGATGTTTCGGGACGCATCCTGCGCCCACCTCCGTTCTTCGGGCCTCAGGGCCGCCCACACCACTAAACTAAAGCGGTCGCGCTCCGCCTCGTCTAAGTTCGATATTTCCGGGACAAAACACCGTGCCCAACACCACCAGATGGCTCGAGGACTGTTTTCGCGACAACAAAAACGAGGCATCACCGTTCCCAGCGAGAAAACAACCGCGAATGTCCCTGCCCTGTAAGTTCGCGCGGTTGCTCGATTGCTCTGTGCCGGATAGACTTATTTATATCATGTTAACGGCGTTTTTTAATTTCGCGCCATCTTGAAGACGCTCCTCCGGACCGTTGCACGGTCAGTTCGTCTGTGACGATCTACACTAGAGCGCTGTACTGTCATGGTGTGAAGAGGCCGTTTAACCCGATGTATAATTCAGGATTTATCTTAACACAGGTTCAGGGGGAGTGTCACCGATATCATCGGTTAGATACATAGATACCCATGGTGCACTCCGTGACGGCTCCCTCTCCCTCTCTTCTCCGTTCCTCCTGAGGAGCGGAAACTCTCGATCTAACCGCGATCGTCGGACGCCGCGTTGCACGCTACCGTCCCGATCCAGGGGAACTGCCTCGGAGCTTTCCGACCATTCTCGCGTTTTCTTTCTCCTCCAACGTTAGTCAGAGTCGTCGTAACGTACCATCGTTAATAGCATCTATTCGTTCCCCCGCCGTCATCAATCTCCTTCCGAGCTCCCTATCTGCGAGAGAGGAGTTCTCGAGGGGGCACAACACTTTAATATCCGGCTCAATCGCAGAAGAATCCGTCTGTCGAAGGTCTATCCGTCATCCGTCAAGCTCACAGTAGTCACTCCAAGCCTTTCCCGAGTATAGACCTGAAAACGGTGGAATCTCACCAACGTACGGGACCTCTCGACGAACGGGTCGAACTCGCTTCGATAACCCGAGCGGTTCTGTCACACATAGACCTCCAAGACTATCATTTCCGAAGAAAACCGTTCCGATAATCCCGGAGGTCCCGCTAGAGTACAGCTTCTTCGATAGTTTCCACCGCACTGAGATTTCCCCGGTCGTGCGCGCTCCTTGGCAGGCCGATTGGCGCCTTTTACGCCCACAATGTGAGATAGATCCTTATGATGACAGGTTTCCGATTCTATTATCAGGCTTGCTTGGATGGAACGCCTACAGGGAGAGTCATTTCGGTTTTCTGCCGAGAGATTTTAATGGAGATAGCCCAACTTTCACCTCATCGCGCACTTTATCTTACAACCGGCGTACCCTGCCGCGCTGCGGCTCACGGCATGAGTAATAATCATACGTTTCTCGTGATTTTTTCCTTCTGGGCGACTTGTCCCCCAGTCACATCTGCGCATTCAAGATCGCCTGCATACCTGAGCGAGGAAGCTGGAGCTTCTTTCTTCAAGGGAAATGAGAAAGAAGCTGGTTGCGTTGTTCTACCCACCCCAAGGGATCAGAGTTCCCTCCGTCATGCATCATTCGGAACTTGTCCGAACCATTGTCCCCTAGCCTTACATCGCCTCGCAGTCTGCGAGAATCATGGACAATCTTCGGACTGTTAGCTCTGATCGAGGGGGGAACGGTCCCTGATTCTATCGGGATGTAACTGCCAAGTTGAGAAACCAAAGGAAGCGAGGCCCCAGAATTATCTCGAAGCTGACCGAAGTTCACCTCGAGGCTCTGTTCTGGGCTGAGGGTCCAGAATTGAGCGGCGCTGGCCAAACGGCCCAATGTTCGGCTTACTGAATAGTAGTGGTCGCTCGATCTGGCTCGAGTTCCCGGCGGAGATCATCAGCATCATTGTTCCAACTCTCTCCCAACAAAACAATCGGCTTCTGTTCGATTTTACCCTGAGACTTCTCTCGGTGGGCTCTCAACAACAGACTTGTCAGACTTTCGAACGTCTGGTATTCTAACCACACCATCAGTCGAAGGAAGGATACAGCTTACTATTGTCGAACGAAGCAACTCTCGATCGCTCAGACTCCCAGTCGAAATGACAGAGCCACGGGAGATTCGAAAAACTAGGTTCTAATTCAGTGTCTGGAAGCAGCGCGCAAATAAGCACGGCTACGACGTCGTCTCTATAAGCTCGGTCTTTCTCTCATGATAGTACTGGCCCTCTTCTCATTCGGTGAAGTGAGGAGACGTGACTGCCTTCGATCCGTGGACTTGATCGAAGCATGAATGAAGACGTCCCCCTGGCGGCTCTCCTGATGCCGATCCTGGTGAAACCGATACTCGAAAAGGTGGGCAAACGATGTTTTCCGGATTTGGCGTTCGAGGTCTAACGATCCCATCGCTTTCACTGGAGCCATCAGAAAGCCGGCTGCTTTCCTATCCCTGTCTGAGAATCAGGTCCGTGAGAAACGGAATCGATCCTTCTTGCAGCTCGAACGTAAGGAAAACGCAGCAGCTCAGATACTCCAGTCATCCCTGGAGAAAACGGAGAAAAACTCGCCCGGATTCCTCTTGGAACTGGTGGGCAGCCTCTCTTCAGATGTTGTTATACATATGTTCATATCTTCTCGGGGACTCCCATTCCCAGGTGACGATTAACGCTTCTAGGTACGGGTTCTCCTCCACAAAACTCAGTGTGAAGATCAGATCAATCTCACGGAAACAATTCTGAGACTACAGGTGGGTCTGAACGAAGCATAGGAGAATTATCCAGGCTTGGGGACTCCCCTCGGAAATCGACGCTAATCTGTTCCCTTGCTAGGGTGCCTTGGCGGATTCTGAACCGGAGCTCAGAGTGAATAGATCCGAAGAAATCTACCTTGAACTAAATCGGAGGAGTATATATCTGAAGAAGGTATGTATATTAGCGGAGATCTGCATTGATATGACAGTGTCCTGGTCGGATTGGAAATTGATTGGGACCGTTCAGATCATCGGAGCTTTTCGACCGCATATAGGAATAAATCGAGAAGCGTGACAGAGAGGTGTCGCCCTTGCAGGTTCTGTCGCGCGTTCCAGAGCAAATCCGGGACCGCCCGAGCTTCCTCGATACTATCAAAGATATCGCGTCTGCGATAAAAAAACTTCTGGATGCCGTCAACGGCATCACCATGAGTGCGCCTCACAGGAAGCACGCTCTCGAGCAGAGGTTAGTGAGGTCACGGATGGCAATGAAAATCGTAAGACTGGGGCTTACATGCGAGCTAATGGAAGCACTCTCCACGGTCCTTTCAGACGTCGAGAGTTCGTGAAGTACTCGAAACGTTTCTCAAACACCTTGAAGGAGTATTTCAAAGAAGGAGAAGTTGAACCTGTTTACGTATCCGGACTCTGCTTGATATATCAAACAAACCTGGTGAGGACTTCTGAGCCCCATCTTCAGAACGATAGAAGTCTCGAACGAGCGGGCTCATTCCGCCGACGAGCTCGGGTCGGGATTTCGCCCCATGACCATGATCTTTCCTCATCGATCGACCTTGATTGCAGGTTGTACAATGCACCAAGAGGGATTTCGAGCGTCCTTCTGTGAACGGAAATTCCAGCTCGTTGCGGAATTAGGCCGCGCGGGAGCTACCGGACGGCTGCATCGTGATGAGCTGTTCTTCAAGTACAAATATGTATATCCTGCATATTGGGATGTACGCCTTCAATAGATATATTCGAATGAGCAGCGCGCGGCTTCGAATCGACTATCGATTCGAATATCCGGCTCGTTCCCCGGCCCCGCGGAACAATCGCCCGAAATGAGGTAGACGCCGCTTCTACAGATTTTTCTGATCGATCACAGAGGGATGCGCAGAATTTCGAGTAGCGAGTAGCTGTCATTTGTTGTTAATTATTTCACCGACGGCCCTGATCGAGGATAGATTCGCCCGAATAGCGTTCCGAGTCAGTGGAGTTGAATAAAAGAGTTGAAGCACGCTTCCGGTGGTTCCGTTCAATTTTGTGGAATGATGTGCCCACGAGCCAACCTCTCGTAAGCGACAGCTCCCCAAAACTTAGGGCTACGCGGCCCATTCTTGACAGACAGACAGCAAATGTTCTTCGCCGACCGCATGAAGAGTAATTGAGGTACGAACGGCCCACCCTATCCACAATTCAGGAATGCCAGAGAATACATGCCGGAATTTCTCTAGGAAAGCTCAGTCTATCGAGCGGAAGTCGAAGGTTGCTGCTTGTTCGCGATCATTTTTCCCGAGGAGACGCGCAAGAAGCGGACTTCCCGCGTGTTCCGTCGACCTAGAAAAGCCCATCCGTGCGAGGGATCTGGAATTCAAGTGCAAAACGATAGAGACGGCCTCGTGGCCGCATCGCGCACAAGGTCGCCTTCCGGAATCCAGGGGCCGCTTACTTTGTGATAAATCCTCGTTCTATCCGGGCCAAAGCCGGGGTACATGACTCAGGTCTTGGCCGAAAGGACGTCCGTAGCGAGGCCGCGCGCTGACCTCCGGACCCACTAACCTCCGGACCCACTAGCGAAGGGATCGAGAGAGGCACAAGGGACAGTGCATGACAATGATATGGATTCGGATGCGTGATTCAGAGTACGCAATTTAATAGGAAATTTTTATTGACAATTGATTCGGAATCACTTATGCCGTTTCGTGAGCTTACTCGAAGAGGAACGAGGAGTGTTCGTGCGACAACCTAGGGAAGTTTTCTCGATCGAGCATCCAGCTGGAGTGGACCATCCACATTGATTTTTCCACTTGCTCCGACCGCAATACGATCCGCAAACGGAGACAATGGTTCCCTTCTTCCGACGATGACTTGCGGCGAAACGACGGCCGGAAGGAATTTCACGGAAAATCCGCACGCTTAGTCGCTGCCACTGGGCAATTAACTACTTTACGTATTTTCTGTCTCCGCTCTACGTGCTCAAACGGAGAGAGACCGGCAGATCGAGAAGAAACCGAACTTTGTACACATCTTTGAAACCTAGGTATCAAGGTACCGAGCCAGAACACCGCTCATCGATCGTTTGATCATCCGCAGAGTAATCCGATGGAACTGTTCAGCGAGCATTGGAAATGATATACTTCGGCGTACCCATTTGCAGTGTTCCACAATCGTTATTTACACATAAATATAGCTCAGAGAACCAACATCGCGCCCCATACGAGAAGATAATGGATACTTCCCTCTCTACACCATTCGAATCTCTCAACCTCCTCCTTGCAATAATATCGACATGCATGTATTGTGAATAAAGTTGCTGTTGTTGTTTTCGCCGCCATCTGTGACCACCATTCGCTTCTGTATCCTCCCGAACCGCTCACCTCTAGATCAGACGGAGCCAATCTAGCCAAAGGTTCTCAGAGGGAGATGGATAGAATTCGCTCAATCACCAAGTCGCATTCAATGCTCTCGCATATAATCGACCTCACGTCTGGATCAATTGTGGCTGATCATTGAGTTTTCACAGGAAATCCAGTGGCGCAGCGTTCGATGCTGCGTTTCCTCCACCTGCTGTCAATTAGAGCTATTATTTGTCGGTTCATCTTAAGTTTGTTCGTTTACGCTGTGGTGATTGCACAAACGCTCCACGGCTGAACATTGAGAGGATCATTCCGATCAGACACCAGTCAGCTATGGGCCTAAGTTGTCAATTCCACGGTTATGAAACGTTTCAAACGATCCAGGTACTGAGAGTAGAGTTCAACGTCGTTGTGACCGGCTCCCTCGACCTGAAAGGCAATTGATCGATAAATCTACTGAAACTTCCCCCCGTCGGTCGAGAGAAACAGACCGTCGCTCCGTCGAATGGAACACTTACCCATAGAGGTTCCACGGGACGTGGACACTGTTCGTAAATGGCGAGTCCATGGCTAAAGTCTATGACCTCGTCTTCCGTGCCGTGTATGACGAGAACCGGAGACGATATCTTTGGGATTTTATCTATTGATGGGAATGCATCGAAGAACCACGTCCGTTTCGTCTGAGGAAAAGCCACTCGCATTCCTGACATCAACGGGGAATGCAGGACAACAGCTCCGACCTGGAATTCCATTTTTCCCACGTGAACGATGAGCAGATTACATCACACGTGATTTCATGTTCGAGAATGAAGCCACGCTCATTTTTCCCTACGCGGAAGGAAACTCACCTCATAACGACTTGCGAGATCCACCGTAGGTACAGTTCCTATCGACTGTCCGTACAGAATTATGTTCTCGGGAGATATGCCATACCTGCGAAGGGTAAATATATTTGAGTTTGTACTCCACGCAACGATCAGGCCAATCCACGAGCTCCGAATCAATGGTTTTCAGAGCGGATGAATCGTCAAGTCAGTTGTGCAATTGCTGCCCTCTCTGAAAGAACATGCCTCGTTCGAAGAGCTTGCCACGCGGCGTCGATGTCGGCGTAAAGATTCTTCTCCGACGGTTTCCCAGTCGAGACGCCGTAGCCGGAATAGTCATATGAGAAGATGTTACAGTTGATTCTGAGAAGAAGGCGTGAAGTCATCGAGAATCGATTCGATTACGGAGGCGAGATTCCGATGATGCCAGGGATAAAGGTCGCGAAATTGTCATCCATTGAATGTTCTTGATCCAACTAACCTTGTTCCTAAGCCCAGGTAGAATGAGGACATCTGCCCGAGGTCGATAGCGTTCCCGTGCGAGAAAAGTATCGTGAAACGTGCGTTCGGCGAGCATCGAACGTGCATGCAAGCCATCCGATTCCCTCTGGATGTCCTGGAAAATAGAGTCGTTCAAGAGCTGTCGTTTCAGTATGGTATTGTAGGTCTTTTTCGAGAGCCCAAAAGGGTTTCAGCCGCTACCAGACTCGGGTTATTCAGTCCGGATCCCCTCGGCTTCGTAAGTCAGCCAGCATGCCTGGTCTTTCATATCCTCGTCGCGTATGAGCTATCATATCTCGGCGAGGAGACGATACGGAAACGATTTCGAATGGGGACTCCGGGACTCTGTTGAGCCCCGAGACGATAAGAATCCTGCATGGAAATAATCCCGATCAGCTCTCGGAAGGACTTCACAATGCATGTCTTGAGAATTTACCTCGTATAGAACACTTCGGTGGTTTCGAGTTCTCGGAGAGAGTACTGCCATTCAGCTCTCTCTGTCAACTCGAGCGTGTATTTCGAGCCAGTTTCGTCCGGCACGAAGGAGTAGGTGGCTTCCGGGGGCAGAAAAGCCAGTTTCGATGCGATTCTTCCGGGCAAGGGAGGACAACAGAATAGGCAGCACAGTTCCGACAGGCTCAGCCCGTTCATTTCACGATTTGGTGCCATCTTAGCGATAAGGACGCTCCCTCACGTTTAGGAGCACGACTGGCTCCGTACAGTTTCCTGCTCGGTAGTCCGTGGACAGCGAGTCGCTCTGGACACCTCGTTGTAGAGAACGTCTCTGCACTCGACCAAGCCAACGCCGAGTCCGATACCGGTCGCTTCGCCCACTTGTGAAAAGGAAGATTTCCTGCCGAAGGCGAAACTAGCAGCCGCTCACAAGATGACGAGTTATTCCGAGTTGTCGATAGTCTTCAGTTCTTCGTCATGTTTCCGTCGTTCTACGGGACTTCAGGTGCGACCGTTGTCGACTCCGAGGAGTCAATCAAGAGAACCTAACCGACAGGATGCACGGCAAGCGGGGGAATCACGAAAGCTGATCTTTGCAGCCGAGTATCATTCTGCAGTGGCGTCGAGTTGTTCAGCCCAACAACGGATCGTCTCGATATTGGCCAATTAACGGTCAGTGGTAACGGCCTAACCGAGACTACCCGGAATCGTTACTGCCGCTGGTGTTGCGGTCCCGTCCTTCCGTACGGTGTTTCATCCGGCGGTTTCTGAGCTATCGCTGTAGATTATCATAAACTCGTGATCAGAGGAGGTACAACTCGTTTTTCTACCACAGAATGTTTGTTTCCTGCTGAACACGAAAATCGGCCACAAACAGCGGCAGCGATATGAAGCGAACACCGCTCCACACGAATCAGACACAGAGCCAGCCACCCAGCCAGCTAGTCAGTCAGTCAGTCAGCAGCACAAACACACACCACCAACACAGCGAACGCAGACGGACAAACGACGACGGCGGTGCAGGTGGAGGCGGCTGGATCTGGGGCTCGACCCGTACAATCATATGACTGTGTGGCGTACTTTCTGTGAGCCTTTGCGCGGGGTGAGGATGCCGCACGAACAAACGTATAATACACAATCAGGGAGCGCGTGCGAAAAGAACGCGGGATGAAACTCTGCGAAAGTGGAATCTGTTGTTGACGGGAGAGCGAAGCCAATGGTGTCCGTGATCTTTGCTCATACTTGGAGAGGAATCAGAGCGCCCCTGAGATTTTTTTCCGACACCTCAGTCAGTCGCAGAGGAGTCCATCAAACGGGATTGAGGTGAACGGTACTGAATTCTCGTGTATTCTAAAGGGTCCCATCCGCTTGAATTGCCGCTCCTCTCTCTTTCGCATTCGACAACCGAGACTTCTTTGCCGATGATGGCCCTCGCTGATGTCGGTGGATATCGTGATGTCCATGAAGAGACCATCTTCGCAATATTGGGTCCGGAGGTACAAAATTTAGGTCGGCCGCGGCCCAAGGATTCTATACCAGCATTCGCCCAAGAGCATGGGGTATCCTTCGGAGATCCCAGGGACATCCCACGGGGACCACAGGGGATCGCTGAGGGAACCAGGAGCCAGAAGTACGCTGATAGGTCAATATGAGTACCTACTGGAACTCGGACAATTCACAAACTCCAGAGACTGAGGGCGCCAGCTTCGAATCAGAAACGATATGTCAACAGTCGAAAAAGTCCGACCAGATCAGGGAGAGTGAGCCAAGCGGATCGCTTACAACACTCGGCCTCCCATCGGTCGTCCAAGAAGACAATGAACACCAGGGAACTATGGGGTAGCCGATTGGATATCAATGGGAGAACTCAAATTCTACCTGGATCTCCCGCAATCCTCGAGAGGATGCTCACCCAGGTTTAAGGGAAATCATCGTCAGAGACCCGTTATTTATTTGCTTGCAAAGGATCTGTACGAAAGGAGTTGATCTGGAATGTGACCCGTAGCTTCTGATACAGCGGGTCGAATCATTTCGGTCATCATCCCGTGGGAGGTAGGAACCATGAGGGACTTACGAGTTTCACCGGATGGACGCACGCAACTGCACGCGGGAGGCGGAAACAAGCACGCAGCTCATGTAGCCCGGGGCGCGCTGTAGGCTTGGAGGGAGGTGATGGCCGCGTCAGCTCTGTCAGGTAGATGTCACTCCCGCCAGCTATCCATCGATTCCACTCTCTGTCCTCAGTCGACTCGACTCCAGATGACAGGGACCAGCACCTGGAATATCACAGCGAGAGTTGCTGTTGATGATAGGGTCGTTGCAGGTGAAAATGTGAGGCGGGGAACTTCGCATGCCCGAGGCTGCTCTCAACTTTCTCGACGAATCCACTCGGGAAAACTCTTCAAGCGTCGAGCTCGGTCCACAAGAAGCAGAGCTTCTGCTTAAGGGCTCGAAGTAGACGACTTAGTGCCGATCGGATGTTCCAAACGCCCCGCTAACCGATAGCGAGATCAACGGCAACGTCCTGGGCGTTTGCGCACATCAAGAGTGGAAGTGAGGCCCGTTCAAGCCTCACCTCCACTTCAGCCGGATGGTAATGATCCGAAGAGAGACGGGTAAGCGAGAGATTCGCACACATCGAATCCCATACGTGTGAGGACACTCCCGAAATTTCCTTTGAGAAACCCGCTGTCACTCTCGACGGCGTCGTTCGTGTGCAGTTGCGCTCCATAAAGAGGAAGGCGAGTAGCCCCGATACGATGTGGCCATTGATTCCGAATGTGATCGGCGGGAGCTTGGAACTAGGAAATGAATTTGGGAATGAAGCACAAGTCTCGCCGGGCGAAAGAGATATAAACAGACAATAATGCAGAAGAAAGCGGCGACCGTACGTATTCGAGGTTCGACCGCCAAAGCATCTTGAGTATGATGCTCGGGAACAGGATCGACCCGTCCGGATCGCAATGAGGGAGCACGGTATGCGACGAAACTCGCTCGCTCTCGTGCAGGGCGCGTGATTTCACGAGCAAGACCGGCAGCCGCCGAGCTGGTGCGCTTCACTAGGCTTTGAGCGCAAGCATCGGTAGATGCGCGCGCCAGGAAATTCGACTTGCACCGCAGCTCGCATCGCGCCGTCGAAATCGCCCATACGCACTGGCGTGGCACGGCCCGGGCCTTCCGGTCTCTGCGCTCGAAGCTTCGCCGCGTGAGCAGGTGCGGTCGGCGACTTCATGCATGCAAATGCCACGAAGCCCACCTAGAGGATTGAGCCGCGGCAGTCCGTCTCCCTCTCACGGAAAAGAATCGCCGTCGAGTAGTGCCGAAAAAACTGTGCTGCTGCTGCCATGCAAGAAGTCGGATAATTTCTGAAGACCGAAGGATTGATCCATCTCCCGATCTCGCTCTCTTCTCCTCCTCATTATAGGTCGAAGAGTCCATAGTGCGGAGCGGAACTGTCGGCTGGGGTGGACGCGATCTAATGCCCACTATCGGGACCCGATAAGGCTCGCTTCTCAACAAGTGGATAATGAGGCTCAGAGGGCAGCTAGAGGTATGAAAATCTCCAGACATCACCGTCGTACTTGTCCAAGAGTTCCCCTTGTGCGCGGGCACCTTAGCGATTCAAGACCTGCAAATCATGGACCGCGAGGGCACCTGCAAAAAGAAGGATACCGAGGAAGAGCGACTCCCACTCGTGAGCCTTTGCACTCGAATGTCTCCCATGATTTAGGGGCAAGTCTTCATCCAGTGGGATAGGCGCGGTTTCGACCGTTGGAATCGAGCATGAAGAGAACCCCCAAGGAAAGGAGAATTCCCCGACGCTCACGAACCGAAAAAGGACAATTCCCGACTCCTGCGGTCGCCCGATATCAATCTATCCACTGTTCCCCTTCGCTCCGGATTTTCTCGCTTTATGTATTTGGGGGCGGATGACGGATGAGGCGGATTTGAGCGATATGCTTAGTACCCAGTGGCATTCGAGCTTTCGCGCCTTCCGTAGCATCCAGGTCCGGGAGCGGCGATGGCTGACTGAGTGTCTATCTCTCTCTGCGGAACTCGTCTGCTGGGGGAGAGGGTCATCTGAGCCTCCAGCCCTGATGATTGCATCAATTTTTGAACTCGAGCTCCTCCACCGGACTCCATTTATTGATTGCTGATCATCATTGTCGGTGCTGTTCGATTTCTCCAGGACTAGCAAGAGGCAGACATCATACGAATCGAGGAATCAGGACGGGAAGAAAATATTTGTGGAAGGAACGGCCGATTTGGCGGGCTTCCAGCTCAGCAAGATGGCGACGCCCACTGACTGAACCGAGTTCAGATAATAATCATTTTGTTGTCACTCACGCGACGCGACAATACGGGGGATACGGTGTCTCCAGTTTTACCGTGCACCAGTGCCACAGCTGCTTATTACACGAGTACCTTACGACCGCCGGTTTGATTCTCGATCGCTCCAACACTTGCCTCAGTGAACGAGACGGCTACGATTGAGGTCCGACGAACTGTTGCTTTCGTAATTTGCGCGGCGCCGCGCACCATTCCTTGCCGGTAGCGGGTGTCACAGTACAGTGACGTTGAGCAGGGTGTTCCATCGCCCTCGGATTTTCCTTTTTCCGTCGGAAGTGAAATCCCGCAGATAACGCTCGTCGTGTAAACGGTCAGCTTTCGGACTGCCACATCACTACTCAGAAATGAGACTGAAGTATTCCCTGTCGTCAACCGTACTTTCGGTCCTAATAGCCATATCGCCGTGGTCCGGTTCTCGGGCTGATGAATATGGTAACAGACAGTTTGTAAAGAAAGAGCACTCGTTAGTCAAGCCTTATCAAGGGTCGGGAATGAGCATTCCGAACTGGGATTTCACCGGCAGCACCATGGTGAGTATCTTTGGATTTCTGTGAAATAATCTCCGGATATTCGTCTTCGATTCGTCATCTCTCAGGGACCTCACGCATCTCACGATCCGGGGCTCGCAAAGCTCAGCTGCGGTTACATGCGATCTGTCGTCATACTCTTCCGGCAAATCACAGCGCCTCACTCAATCTAAACGAGAGACTCGAATATCATCGACCCTGTCAAGAGTTGAGCTCCTCTTCGGCGAAATATCATTAATCGAGCCGACAAGATTGCGAATTCGGGGGTCCTGCATCCCATTGGTGCAAGGGGATGGACGAGATCACCGTGATGAGTGACTTGTTGGCGGCAGGCCAGAAGAAGACCGCTCCTTATTTCGGGTCTCCCTCGAGTAACCGCATCGTTCCCCCTGCTAGACTGAACGGAGTCTTCGGATCGCTTCCTCAATCTCTTGGGAGCAACCCTATGATGTCGAGACTAGGAGCGCTCCTTCCTCCGTTCAATTGTCAGGAAGGCCGCCTGTCCGAGATCGATTGGACCATCAGACCAAAGTGATTCCAATTTTTTTTTCAGGTTTCTTCGAATTACATAAGATTAACAGCGGACGTTCAGTCTCAACAAGGATCGATTTGGAATAAGGTCTGTTCCGATATCAGTCCCTCCGATCATTAACCCTGGGATACGGAATGAACTAGGATAGTCGATGAACTAGGTCAACAGATGCATCCCCGGAAAAAGCCTGAAACTCGTATCGCTGATCACGACATAGCAATGTTCTCGAACTATTCCGAAATAAAAGCCCTCAAAATTGGACTTGAATTTCCAGGTGCCTGTACACATGTACAATTGGGAAGTACAAATCAATTTCAAGGTACACGGTCACGGCAAGGATCTGTTCGGTGATGGGATGGCCATTTGGTGAGTCGAACTATCTGTGGATCCTATCATTGAGCTGGACTCGATTGAAGATATTAACATCGATCTAATCAATTCTAGGTACACGAAAGACCCACTCCAGCCGGGTCCTGTTTTTGGATCCAAAGATCACTTCCAGGGTCTAGCCGTTTTCCTGGATACTTATGCCAATCAGAATGGGCATCACAATCACGCTCATCCGTACATTTCCGCTATGGTTAACAACGGATCTCTCAGCTATGATCACGACAGGTTCGTTCTCGTCAAGATAGCTGCCGGTGGGAAACATTTGACGTGGTGACTGTCCGCAACTCAAAGCCACTTTCTCCTTTTAGAGATGGCACACATACAGAGCTTGCCGGTTGCGAAGCGAAATTCCGCAACAGCGAGCCGGAGACATCTATCTCAATCCGATACGAACAAGATACGCTGGTCGTATCTACGGATATTTTGGGTGAGGCAATTAGGGATGGCACGCGGATCTATCCGCGCGGAGGGGGACTGCTCCGTGATGGGGCAATTAAATCGAAATTCACCCGAGTGTTAATGCGAAATTTCAGGGAAGAAAGAGTGGAAGGAATGCTTCCGAGTGTCGGGAGTCCGTCTCCCCACTAAATACCACTTCGGAATTTCGGCCGCCACCGGCGAATTATCCGACAACCACGATATCACGAGCATCAAGGTGCGTACACGGCATTCTCCGGCTCCGTGCCGCCGTCAGCTCCCTTCCCAGACGAGTCGGCCACTCGGGAAGTACGTTTGGAGAATAAAAACGCAAACATTCCACCCCAGGTCTTTGAACTCGATGGCAACGAATACGCGGAAGTCGAACGAAGAGAATTCATCACACCCCAAGCTGACCATTTCGCTCCCCACAGAGGTTTGTCTCGATTTGCGTAATGCGTCCGTGGTCTCGTGAGGCTCCTCATGATTGAAGCCGTTTCCTCTCTCCCTCAGATCATGTCGACGATCCGTCGCCTGGAATGAGCGGAACGAAATTCTTTTTCGTGATGCTCTTCTCGATGCTGTTCCTTGTTTGCGCTGGACTCGGAGGCTTCTACTACTACAAGAAGCATCAGGAGAACGCTAGGAAGAGATTCTATTGATTTTCACTGATTGACCGGAGCTGACGGGGGAGACGGAACGATGAAGAAGGAGCTCCATCCGCCAACGACTTAGTCTATTCCTCCTCCCTGGGGGCTGAACTCGAAGTCGTTCGGCCGGAACCCGCGACACTCTAAATTACATGAACGGGAAGAGGGAGGAGCGAGCCTAGTGCAACCTATAGGTAATGTTATGATCATCCTGTACTATATGAAAAAGAAATACACTTTATAGAAATAAATATTTGGATGAGCAAGCGATTCCCGCTTCTCGTCCGCTGCCGACCTGTTTTCGCTTTGAATCCGTACGACCCCCACCGTCATCCTCAGTGAGGACTCCCTCATAGCGTCTGGTCGACTCACTGTCTCTTCGTCTATCGTCCGAAGACTTCGCGGGTTGTGTCGCGTATTGTACCTTCACGTTTTTTGGTCGGGACTGGATTGACTCTGAAAAACTCTGCAGCCTTTGGGAGATCTCATTGGAACGCATCTTTTTCCCCCGAGAACGACTCCTAGTTCATCACGAAAACTGCGGTTTTCTCGGAGTACATCAATAATTTATTTGCAAGAATTTATTTTCTCGGAGTTGGGGCTATGGACCGATCCTTTCTTCGATCTATCTGACTGAAAGCCCGGGAACTTCTAACTCACAAAACTCCAAGTCGCGCTGCTGGAGCTACCACGAGAGGCTTCCTGTTGTCGGAACAGAACTCTGAAGATGGAGTGAGGTCGCACACATTGTACAGATTTTCCTTGCGCCCGGAGCTCGACTGTGTGAGATCTCTGCGCGGCAATAGCGTTCCTGAGTCGGTGGCGATTTCGGCGGCCTGGCAAGGATCTGACATGAGCTGGGTCGAGGACAAGAGCCGCGTCGCATCACAGGGCTTGTCTGTGCCTGGGGAAACAGCCCCTCTCTCCCTCTTCCGGTAGGACCGACACCGCGCAGGGGTAATCCGGGAAGTTTAGGGAGCCATCACGATGACCCCCGAGGAAGCCACTGGGGAGGATCCAAGCTGCTAGGGTCGCCGCTTGGTTGGGAGCCGGAAGCCAGCGTTCTCGGAAAAGAGACCCGGCCTGCAGTTTCCGGGCTCCGAGATGCCGTTTTCGAGCTCTGCAAACTTCCACACGGAGTCAGCTCCGGCGATCCCCAGGACATGAAATCAAGGTCCTCATCGTACGCGAAAAGAGTTCAGCCCATAGGAATAGGTGAGTACGACGACAGGAAATTGCCCGTGCCGATCCCGAGCTCCTCTCAGACCGTCGCGTCGGACCGCTGGAAGTCCCTCTCACGTCTTGGTCGTTCGAGCAACCCATGATGGAGTCATCTGGATACCGACAGGGACGAAGGGTTCCGAGCGCCCAGTCAGGGAGTTTCCGGGAGCAGTCAACAACGGCTTCGGAGGACCGTCTGAGCCCACGTATTCCAGTTCGGCACTTGTCAACCTCTGACTGTTCATCCTCAATGGCATAAGGCCATTAATCGAGCTCCAAAGCAACCGACATGAGGCGTTCTGTGCCTAAACCTAAAGTGAGATCGGTGTGCGCCGACCGATGACTGCCGACTAAGATAGATTCGTTCGCGGAGATCTATTGAGGGGACGGGGGCCGGTAATGTACTGGTAAATCTGGCGGCGGGATCTTCGCCGCTCTCAGGGATCAATCCGATTCACGGAGACTCCTGAGGCCAATCACGAGCCTGAAGATTGACTCCTAAGACTAGAATTGAATCCGTCGATTTCATCCATGCTCAAGCTACTCAACATTCGCGCCACCGACGCGACGGTCGTTCTTTCGCCCGAATTGAGTTGGCTCCCGCGAATTCGGTGGTCTGGAATTCGACATTGAAGCTGGGCGATCATCCAGAATATCCAGAAACTCAGGTGAGAAAGCGGCCTCGCAGCCAGCGCTTGCCGACGAGCTATGAACACCGTCGCGGGAACGTCGGTCGTCGAATCAATAAATTCCGCGTCACCTTCACTGACCAAACGCCTCATTCTTCCTCTGACTTTCACTCGCTTCCGCTTGTTCCATCAAGCACTGAATTGTGAGACTTGTCTCTCGCTGAACTAATCGTCAACCTCGGCGACGAGCATGAAAGTTCGGGAGATCGCGGGTATCTCCCCTGATGAGTGTCGGAGAGCGACAACCGCCTCTACGTGTCGTTAATTTATTTTACGGATTATGTCGTTCACTTATTCCTGGTCTATTCCTTCGCACAGACGCTTACGCGTCCTTGGAGCATTTCATCATCGGTCAATATCTCATGATATGCGATGATCTGCCCTGGGAGGAAATGTCGGAAGCAGGAGCCCGCCTAACATCTGCTTCTTGGGGAAGTCTGCCGCTCCGTTGACTGCGGGGAAATCCTTGAGAGGCGCCGAATCCATGGTATTGCTGTTGGGAAGTGACCTATGGATCTGCACCGATGTCGCACTCCTTCAGCACCGAATCGAACTTCGCCGGCCAGAAAGAAAATGCTTCTGAAATGTGAATGCGCGCTGACATTGGTTCGTAGACGCGGCTCGCGATCAGAAGGGAATGCTATTTTTGTCGGATCACAAGAAAGCGCCGGCACCGTTGGTGCTCCTGCTCTTGTTGTCGTCGACGGGAAGAAGTTCCGCAGTTTGGGGCGACGATCAGAGGCTAGATGGCGCTCAAGGCAGAAATCTTGATTCTTCAGCTCGCACAGACACCAATGCCCCCTGGCGTCAACGGTGGAAGACTGTTTCGCCATAACTCCGGAATCCTGGGTGTTGTGAATGCGGTGGTGGTGGTGGCTGTGTTGCTCGAAGAAGGTGGGAGAGTTCTAGGATTTGTGTGCTCTCTAGTGCCCGTCTCGCTCGTCATTTGGAGCGACGAATCCACCGACCAGTGTCTGAGTCCGGCTGGGGAGACGGCATCTTGTCTACGGTGCTGACTTCGGTCTGCACGGTATCGCATGCCCACTCTCTATGACACCGAAGGCTGGGGTTCCCCGAGTTGGATGCACACAATAGCCTGGCCATCGCCTGGTTGTCGCTATCGTCGACGGGCTCGGACCCTTTGATCGATTGATGGGTGAATGGATGAGAGTGATGGATACTTGACGGGAGGACAGACGAGCGAACGGTGAGTAGACGAACAGCCTGGAAACTCAGAAGCTGCTTATGGTGTAAGTCCTCGGGACTTTCCCCGGACAGGGTTTCGATCAACTCGATTTTCAGCTCGAGCTGACTCGATAGAAATAGATGAAGGCACATGATGGGACGAGTCAGGATACGCCTCTGAATTGAAGGCTTCCCCTTCACGAAGATCTAATCTTAATTTCGTGGTGCCGTGTGGCTCAAAATTTGGTCCCGTCTCAAATTGCCTTCTACTGAATCCTGTTTGTAATCGGTTGCGGGCTCGGACTGCCAGTCGTTACTGAAATCTTGTGATGCTGCGTTACGAAATCGAGTAGTTCGTCCGAGTAGTTCCTGCCCGAATCGCAAGGATGGAAAAACTTGGATGTTTTCTTTACAATTGGGGTCGGGATAAAGGTGAATGCATTCTGGTATTCTGTCCGAGTTCACGACTTTTTTCGCGATCGAACTATAACAATGATTCCTCAGAAATCCATGCGGAAAACACATCCAAATAATAATGGATCTTGTCGGAATCGATGTAACGCCCCTTCCCCGTATAAAATTCAATGATCCACGATACGGCGCGGGCGGATATATCTCATGTCCGTGGGATGCAGAAGTCATGCCTCGTCGTCTTTTGCAGGAATTAGAGTGGTGGGCACTCACTGACTAGGCATTACAGTTCAACATGTCCTGTTCCGATGTTGGGCTGTGGTGTAATCCTCTCATGTGGCCGTCGAGGTGAGCTGAATGTAGATACGGTACTTTGCGTGATGACCTTGGAGCGAAAGTCGTATCGATAAATCTTGGACTTATTTAACCTGTGCCGCAGACTTCGTATTTTTGAGAGAAAAACTCGATATCCTCCCTTGTCTGAGTGAGTGAGACTTTGTATGCTACATGTGAAATCGTGCTCTCAGATCGGAAAGCGTGAATGAGACCATCCTCTCCGGGATCTTCTCTGGGCATGCTGGGACTTGACTCGGCTATTTCCCACCTTGTTTGGCGGGGCTAGCCCAAATCTTCGCGATTCAATCCGCTCCCATGTATCATGGGATAGTGGTCAAGTTAATAATTAAGCTGAGAAGTGGATCATCCAGAAGTGAAACTCAGTCCGCCCATTTTTCTTTACCCAACCAGCTGCTGTTTCTCGCTCAAAGACAGCCACTCGGAAGATTCGGAAAACCAGGATATCATCAAGCAGGCTTTGATGATCAAACGGTCCGTGAATCGCAAGCGATTGGGACCTGTGAATTATAAAGCTCGATGGTTCGTCCTGACTAAGTCATTTCTCTCCTACTACGAAGGATCGCTCGAGGTAATTTCGGCTTTTGCTCGTGTATTATCAGCCAGTGCTCAGATTCGACAATCGATATCGCACAGACCCACTTCCGATGGAATCGACGTGAGCACGGAACGCAATTTCCTCTTTTAACTCGTTCCGTCGGCTATCGATGCAGTGAAGCTATCTTCGTCGATGTTAAAAAAGAGCGCTTTTGGCGCCGAGGGAAACATGCTTGTAATTGTTTCGTTGCAGAAACGAGGCCGTGAAAAAGGTCGAATCGTTCTGACGTCAATTAGCTTAATCGAATATGTGAACGATGAAGCTCTCGACAAGAAAAACGTGTTTCAGGTTTGTGTTTTCAAAGATTCTGACAGTCCGGAATTCCTGAAAAATGGAATCGCGGCGCGGTGACGAGGCTACGCAACGCCCTGCGGGCTGTTGTGAAGTTTCGCGGATATTGTCGGATGATCTTCTTGTAATTTCATCCCATGCAAATAACTTGCAGATTGGTTTCGACACGGAACACATTCTCTACATCGTGGCTTCATCGGCCGAGCAACGTGACGAGTGGTTGTGTGCCTTAAGGAAACGTGAGTTTCTGAATAAGCGTTTCTCCCGAGCCGAGAAAACAATGTGACGCGGGTGGGGTAGTCTCCATGCCGTCGTTTCTGTTTTTGCAACAGATTCACTTGTTCCAGTTTGCACGGATAATCAATGCCTCGTTGACAAGTACCATTCGAAGTTGTGGACCGGTTCCAAATGGTCTTGCTGTGGAGACTCCTCCAAACTCAGTTGCGGGTGCCAACCCACTTGGGTGACAAAGCCGTTGACAGCGTCATTGAAAAGCATCGAGTACGTATTGAGCATGGGACGCATGACCAAAGTCAATTCTGCGCAGAAAAAATCCGAACAAGCGTTCTTCGAAATCCTTCAGCCAGTTCACGGCGAAACTTTTGTTCTCACACCTTCAGACCGGCTGCTTCGAAGTCGATCCATCCGGTCCAGTCGATGGGACTCTTCAGGAATAGCGACAGTAACTCGTCGCTGGACATTTCACTGCCACAAAATAGCGATCAGCCGTCGTTTAGGAAAAGGGTATATTTATTCGTCAGCCTATTTGGAATTTCGGCATCACGCGATGCTCAGGGGCGTCACCAACGCATGAATGCTTGAGACATGTATGGGTCGGCGACGGCGCGTTTATTGTCTTTCCTCGCCTAACGTATATTTTATAGCTATCGAGGTCAAATGTCGACGACAGAAAGCTCTCCAACTTGGACGAAGTCTCTACGCTTGAGAAAATGCGCAACAATCGAAATAACTTCACCAGGAGCTCTGATAGTCCCGCGTTAGATTCAGCGAAAAAAACATCTGGCCACAGAATTGTCGTCGCCATGTACGATTTCGAAGCTCAAGAAGACGGTGATCTATCGCTCAAGAAAGACGGGGAGTACGAGGTTGTCGACGATTCAGGCGACCATTGGTGGCAGGTGAGCCCAGTGAGCTCTATGAGGCGAGCCAAGGGCTCCCTGAGCCCGATTCATTCGAGGAGAGCGGAGCAGAGCCGTCAACTCCGATCCGATGGTGAGGTTTTCGTGACTTGCAGGTCCGTAACCCTAAGGGAGAATTGGGCTACATACCATCGAACTATGTCCAAGAGAAAGGTTCGACTGGACTTTGGAGTTTCGACTGGTACGCCGGAAGTATGTCGCGTCAGAAGGCGGAGTCTATTCTGCGGCAAGAAAACAGAGAGGGTTGTTTTGTGATCCGGAACTCCTCGACCAATGGAATGTACACTCTATCGCTCTTCACTAAGATGTGAGTTTGCCTCATTGAACTATAGAGATGAATAGGAGACCGCATGCATACGTCGGAGATTTCAAAGATTTATTTTTTCCTTCCAACCCCAGCCCGGGACCTCAGGTGAAGCACTACCACGTCAAAACCGCTAGTCAAGGTGAGCTTTACCTCAGTGAAAGGCACCGATTCCAGTCGCTCGAAGAGCTGGTGTACTACCACAAACACGATTCGGGCGGTTTGGCGACTCGACTGAAGATGGCTCCCTCGAGCATTCACAAAATTCAACCCAATATCGGCATGAGCTCAGGTAGGCTATGATTGAAACCCTCGTTACGAACTCGTCGCTCGCAGTACCATAGATCGAGACCCAGGGAGCTCATCCAATGTGTTTTCTGATTCATTGTAGACAAATGGGAAATCGACCCATTGGAACTGAGTTTACTCGAGGAAATGGGTTCTGGTCAGTTCGGTGTCGTCCGCCGCGGCCGCTGGAGGCAAACTAAAGACGTTGCCGTGAAAATGATGAAAGAGGGAACCATGAGCGAAGACGATTTCATTGAAGAAGCAAAGGTCATGACGTAAGTATCAACGTAGCCGTAACCAAAGTCGGAGGAAAGCGCTGGATCGCCCATCTCTTGTCCTCCCACATATTATCATTTTTTTTCTCGTTCGCTTTGTATTCGTTTCTGCGCCGTCGAAAGCTCGATGAAATCCAATGATTCTCGCCGACTAGTTCGGGAGCAGAGTCATGGCCTTCTCCGCGGAGTTGTTCTTTTGGTGCATCTTCAACGATAGAATATAAGTCAATGGCTCCACCGCGCGGCATTCCATTGAATAGAACTCATCAGTATGAGCGAATTCTACATCGAAATGGCATCGTGTCCTTGGCTCGCAACGAGTTTCTCGACCTGGAACTTTCGCAGGAAACTTCAACACCCGAATCTCGTGCAGCTTTTCGGGGTTTGTTCCAAGCAGCGGCCAATCTTGATAGTGACCGAATACATGAAGAACGGATCTTTGCTTAACTACCTGAGGAAACACGAACAACGATTGCTGGGTCAAACCCAAACACTTCTGGATATGTGCAAGCAGGTGAGGCTTCCCATTCGAGCTCGTGGAGAGTTCCCCACGCGGGATATGACGGAGGTTCAGGACGGAGGGATAAAGAAGACATGCTCGAAAATCGCAGAATTTCGCTCACCCCATGTGTCTCACCCCAGGTGTGTTCTGGCATGGCTTACCTGGAGATGCACAACTACATCCATCGTGACTTAGCCGCTCGAAACTGCCTCGTTGGTGAAAGGAATGTCGTCAAGGTTGCCGATTTCGGCTTGGCCAGGTGAGTCGAGTGAGCTTTTCGGAGAATGGTCTGACGGGCGATTCCTCGCTTCGTGAACCGATCGCTCAAGCTGCAGTTCTTCGCCAGATACGTTATCGACGATGAGTACACGTCGTCTGGCGGAACCAAATTCCCCATTAAATGGGCTCCTCCCGAAGTTCTCGGGTATACCAGATTCTCATCGAAGTCGGATGTCTGGGCGTACGGTGTACTCATGTGGGAGGTGAGTGCTGCCATTTTTCAGCAGGCTGTCGCATGGGTCACAATGCTCTCCAGACCAGTCATGATTGGGAAAAAATCTGAATTACAGGTTTACACTTGTGGGAAAATTCCCTACGGGCGCGCCGGGAACGCTGAAGTTGTCGATCATGTGCAGAGAGGCCAAAGACTAGAGAGACCACGAGTGTGTCCGAGGAATGTGTACAGCATCATGAAAGCGTGTTGGGAGAAGTAGGTTCCTCTCCGACTTTCGAGAATTTGAGATTTCCATCGTTCCAAAAAAATATTTCGGATCTGACGGCTGGTTCCAACATCCCCAGGTTCCCTGAAGATCGACCGACATTTCGCGGCATCAAATCTCAGCTCGATCGACTCGTAGATGGCAGCAATCAATTCTGAGGTCGGGGCAGACTCGTTGGGAGCGTTTGATATTCGAGACAGCGCATCAAGACAATGCCGAAAGCCGGAAGAAGCAGGGGAGAACTACTCGTGTGTTCGGATACTTCTCCCTCGAGAAGCTTAACTCTCCACTAACTGCGAGATTTTGTACATGGAATGCAAAACTCCAATGTGACGAGACGACGCGATCGAAAATAAAGTCCGATCTTCACTAAGCTGAAACTTTCCCCGCTCAATTCGTGCTACCGACCGGATCCGAATATCGGAGAGTCTTATTCCTCGGAGCCCCCAAGACTTACGCTACCCTGATCCGGCCGATGGGAAAGAGCAAACGGGGATGCCGGCGGCACTGGAGCTCACGGCGTACCTGCTCGATTAGGTGGGGTCAAATACGTTGATCAGTTTTTATTCTCCTCAAGAGCCGCTCACAGCTTGGCTGTCCGTCCGACGCTCTTTAATGTAAGGTCCTCACAGAGAACAGAAGAGCCAGGTTTCTGACTCTACTGTACGAGCTATCGGGATTGTGCACTCGGAAAAAATTACCAGAGAAGTCGCACAATCGAAAAGCGATGTGGGAGACTCGTAGATTTTCAACAGTAGTAACAAAAAGTCATATGTACACAATTTTCCCCGTCGCCGGGATTCGTTGCTATATGCGTTGTTCAGATATACAGACGGGCCAGATCTCTGAGCGCGGATCGGAAATGTTTCGGTTCTTGGCCGTTCGCCATATCGTGGAGGAAACTGCCGAGTTGATTGGGAGTCACCGTGACCGTGCCCGCCGCTCCGACCATCGGGAGAGAAGTTGCTGCGTTTTTCAACCATGTATCGAAGTCGGATCTGGAAGCCGCGGAATTCTGAGCGAGGATTTCCATGCGAAAAATACCCTTCTGAGAAAGCCCGCCCAATTCCAGAGAAGAGGTAGCGTGAAGTAGGCTCACCTGACCGTGTGCTGCCGGAGTTCGAAGAGAACTTCACCGACGTCGGAGCATAGAAATGTTGGCAATTTCGTCACAATTGCGTGAAGGAGGCTGTGGACAATCGCGGGACCCATCTGAAATGGATGTCGCGATAACTCATATCCCAATAGGGCTACATTGAATCCGATGGTTTTGATAATCCCATTCAGGGAGTCAGCGTCGCGCAGCTGTCTTTACCTCCGCTAAAATGCTTGTCAGAACTTGAGCTCGGATGACCTTGATATCCGGTGGCGCATCGTCGGCGGAAGTTATGAATTCCGTGAGAAATCTGCGGTTGTTTTGAGAATTAATCGGAGCCTATCCAGGACCTCTCGCCGCTCTTGGAAACCACGGAAGGGTCAAGAACTAACCTCATGACGACTGTGTTCGCTTCACGATGCGCCAGCGACGCACAAGCCATCGCGCATGCCAAAATACCCCGGAAAGCAGGCGATGTCATGAACTCGAGGGGAGCTCTTTGAACGCAGCGACTGCACAATCTGTAATATTCGAAATCGTGAGCAATGGGGACTCTCTGTGAGCGTCAGAGTTGATGAACTGCAGAGACTCACATCCGAGAACATACGGCTCAGATGCGGAACGCTCCGGAGAATGAATTCGAGCTTCATCAGAATTCCAGACCGGTATTCCTGGGATATCAGTCGACTTACCTGAAGAAGTCTTCGACGGTGTCAGGGTTCTGTTCCAAGGCCTCAGGTGAGTTGAGAATGGCGAAAGTGGGTTCCGCAAATGCATTAACGAGAGAAATGAGGCCCGGAACGCAATCCTTTTGTGTGCCAAACTCGTCGACCTAGTTGCAATGATTGAAAAAAGTTGTGAAACCTCAGTCCAAATTACGACTATCACGCAGAGTGACAAGGCTGGCGAACAATCCTCAGAGCGACAGCCGGAGAGAATCCACGCACCAGAATACTGTTGAGGTATAAAAAACACGAATGCGGATGTGCATTATAGGTCGATATGAGCCGATTGGCCAGTGGCTCAAGGAGCGGTGATGCGTCCGTTGACAGCCATCTGACCATGTACCTGAGGGGGAGATACTCCGGTGAGCTGCGACCAAATAGAATTGAAAACACCAGCACTTCCGTTCCGTCCCGGAAAACTCCTGCCCACCTTATCGTTCGGCAAGTTTTCTCCATGATTTTGCTATTATCACTCCATCGTTGCATAAGTCCATCGAGGGTTATCCACGATTTCTGTGCCATCGGGAGCAATGCTGCGGAAACAGAAAGTAAATTCCCGGAATTCAAGGTCAAGGAATGACCGGAGAGCATCATGAATCGATGGGCAACCCCCACCACAGGTGGCGCTTCCGACAAACTAACCAGATCCCGATCGATGTTTACTCCGGAATAATTGCTGGAAAATAACGGTCAGTCTATCCGCCCAGACCGACGGATCTGATTTGGGATTGCGGCCAATAATCTGAAAAGCCAGAAGCTTGAATCGGTTGCGGTCGACCCATCGTCCACGATTACCGCATAGTCTGCTGAGGCATGAACTCTCCCAGTCGTGAGACCATAGTCGCGAAGCAAGGGTAGCGCATATCGACCAGAAATTCGAACATTTCGCCAGGAATCGGGAGCTAACCTGATGGTTCGGATTGCGGAGCATCTCATTTATAGGCTCTAGTTGTGCATCGACGAGCTCCTGCAACCTTTAAGAATACAGACGAAATCAGTGTAAGGAATTCCCAGGGGGAATGAAGTTCGAGAGGCCGTCCCGGGAAAAGTCCACTGCATCATGATGTGTGAGCCCTGACGATTGATTTTACCGTGGGTAATCCTGATTCTCCCCGAGTATATTCGTCACGCCCTGGAACAGCTGCACAGTCGCGTCTTGGCATGTCAGTGAATTGTGATCCATTGAAATAACGATATCCATCAAGATTTTCCGATGGGATTTGAGATGTTCACTGCAGAAGCTGCACAGCTGAGGAATTACAGGAAAAGTTGAAGGAGAAAAAACTCAAAGTTCAGAGTTCTATTCGATGGTAAGCACCTCACACCTGCGGAGTCAGGGGCAAGGAGCCTCACGAACCTTCTCCAGAGTGACGGCGGCGACCGGCGCCAAGGGGGTTTGGAGCGCATGGAGGATGCCATTGAAGACGGCGAGGACATACTGGGGATGCTTCGAGAGCCATTCGGCTAGTTCCCCCAGGAGCCTGCGAGGCGGATCGGAAACGTGTTTTTAGACATGTATGCATGGACTTCGAATGGGAGTATCCAACAGGCTCAGGATTTTTTTCGGGAGGGGGGAGGCAGGGCTATCGTCTCGGTAGGGGTCAATAACCGATGATGATGAGCCTCAACATGGAGCCCTATGGGCCGGAAGAGATTTCGGGGAGGGAGGGGGCTCGAAACTGAGAGCTTGAACTAAGAACTTCACCTGATCGCTGTGTGGCGGACAATGACGTGGCAATTCACTCCCAACATCCCCAAGATAGCTTCAACAACGGGCGGTACCAATTCATTATCGCATGGGTTCAGGTTCCGGGCGATGGAGCACATCACAAACATCGTAGCTTCGGTTACGTTCCAACAGTTCTGGATTTAGGATCATCACATGACATTTTAGACATCACATGAACATCTACTCGTCGATGGAATTCGAACGAGGGGCACTAGCGGTGAAGCCATTTTGCTCCTCACTCGGTTTTCCATCGGATCTATAGGCACCGAAAGACTGGATGACACTCTACCTGAACCTCGACTTCGTTGAGACGATTCTTCAATTTCTCGAAACAATCATGACTCCCGATTATGAAAATCACATCTTTCACTAATTCACTACAACTGCAAGACAGATCGAAATGATTTAAGGACGACGAGCGTCGTTATGAGCGCTCCCGAGGCGATGAAGAGGATGACATGAGTTGAAAGCGCGGGAATGACACGGCTTAGTCAGCAGATGATGGGAAGAAGGTCGGAGGAAACTCACCGTTCTCTGAATTCCACGAAATCGTCTTCCTTGTCGGGCAGTCCCTCTTTATCGGCATCCAGCTGACAGTGTTGGCAGAGCGACTGAATGAGCACTAATATGTAGGGCTTGAAGAACTCTTGAAGTTGCCGATTGTTTTCGTCGTATATTCGCGTTGAGAATTTATTCCAGAAGTTGAATGTTATCTCCGCGACCTGCGTGAGATCACAGCGTTAGATTACTGGAATCATCCGCGAACCTTGAGAGAACATCGAGACAGAATCTCACCTCATAGTCGTAGTGTTGAGCACAAAGTAGGATCAGATCCAAGGTTCGCGAGTCTCCCAGCCCCCGACCCGGTGTTGCGATGATG